TCGTCGAGATTACATGTTTGCCACAGACGGTAGGAACTTGCAGAAGCCCACAGGAGCTGCAAGACACGAAGCGTGCGATGCGCTGCTTGGCCATGTCATGGTCGTGCTTCTTTGTGCGATTCGTGCCAGAGGACCTCTGATTGTGGGCAGGAGGCATGCATAGTAGATGCTACGCGACCCGCCTCGGCCTGGCGAGGCAACCCAAACCAGAGATCGGGTGTGAAGGTGCTGTTTAGCTCTCAGGGCTTTGAGAGGCTTGCGCAATCAATTCTTTTTGATGATCCTGTGGTACCACGCAGGCTCATGTACAGACCCCAAATGTGGGAGTGGTAAGTACACAAGCCGGCAGGGCATGTAGAGGTGAGGGGATAGGCTTGAAAGGTGGGGTGTGGGGATGCTGAGGGGGTGTGGGCAGGGTGGAATGGGGGTTAAGGAAGGGGTACTGTGCCCACTCCAAATTCGAGGTGGGGGTACACCAAGACGCGTAGAGTGTAGAGCCCGAGGCCTCGGCGGAGTACAGGCCACAATCCTGCCTCTAACGCGGCAACATCGTGGGAACGTAGTGGGAACGTGAGGTGCCATCGACAGCCCGAAGAGGGCAGACACCATCTGTGCAACTGCACGGGCGGATGCGCTGATGGAGGCCCCCCCTTCAAAGAGCACCTGAAGGTCAAGGGTTGCCTGCACGTTTGTTTCTCTCACTCAGACAGCAAGCCAAGCCAAGTCGGCCTGCCCTTCGCTCGCTTAGCTGTGAGGCAGGGGCGCACTTTGCATCCTTGACGGACCTCAGCACCTCCACGGGTGAGGTACGCGGGTGAGTTGAACAGGGCAGGTGAATTTGGCACTCATCAACATGGTAGCTTTTCTTATGGCCGGCCAGCCCCCCTCAACTGCATCCGCCCGGACGAACCCATGCGCCTGGCTTGAACACCTTTGATCGGACGGGCCGGTGGTTCTGTAGCAGGTTGATGACTACGCGGCTCGCAAGCCGGTGACGGGGCAGCAGCAAGCGTCAGCAACCTGCGGAATCCGACGGGGTCGTCGCAGACCGTTCCCTACAAAGTACACTATAGTCAATTCATCAGCACCTTCACGAAGGACGGACGGCCAAAATCACCAACTTCCAAACTCCGCAAACTCCTCAACCCGCGAAGCTCTTAAATGTTGCGCCCGAGTTTTCGTGGGCAGCTGTGGGCGGAGACCCGCTTCGGGTTTAGCGGAGACCCGCTTCGGGTTTAGGGTTTAGGGTTTAGGGTTTAGGGTGTAGGGTTTAGGGTTTAGGGTTTAGGGTTCAGGGTTCAGGGTTCAGGGTTTACGGTTTAGGGTTTAGGGGTTAGGGTTTAGGGTTTCATCTCGGGAATATCCCGTAAACCCTGAACCCTAAGGCCGTCACGCGGCATGCCAGCATGGGGGCCATCTCGGCGTCCGAAGCGAAAGCTGAGCGCGCGGCAGGTCCTCTGGGAGTATTCGTCAAGGTTCATTAACCCTAAACCCTAAACCCTAAACCCTAAACCCTAAACCCTAAACCCTTATATAAGTGTATATTATATTTCACGTCGCTCTTGCGACACTGACATGGTGCTGAGCGCAGTAGCGACTTTCCAGGAGTTGCTTCTCTTGGTGCATGGTGCAGAGATTGGCGAGTCGTGACTCTAACGTAGTTCCTCTGTCTTGTCTAAAATGCTGCAGTTTCAAGGAGGAGTTCCCAGATTGCCATCCTCTTTCAACAAGCCCCGAAGGGTTCAACCATGTTCAACCCATACTCGGCTCTCTCGCAAGTGCCAGGCGCCCTCGACGAAGCAAGAAGAGAGCTCAAACGACAGCAGAAGGACCATGCCCCTGTGAATAACATAGCTCCAGCTGCAGCTCAGAACGGACGGACTGTTCCACACCGTGAAGGGCTCTGAAGTTCTGATGTAGAGGTTGGCGTTCAATGGACAGGCTGAACCATGGCAACTTTGCTGAAACCACTCACCAGTTTCGCGCTTTCAATATGGTCTTTGGTCCGCGGCTGTTGCTGCTGTAAGTTACTTCTGCCCATGACGCAGGAGGCAGGAGGTTTGCGACGAGAGTTGGCGGTGGCGGTGGCAACAGCGTTAGCAGCAAAGGCCGAGATACATGGCTGTGATAGCTGAGCACGCGCGAGGAATTGCTGTATGGCTGCTGTGGATTCAGCGTGGCTCATCCCGTGAAAGCTCTTCTAGCTGTCCCATGGGCCATCACGGACCCTGTATGGCTATCACATGCTCAGTATGACAGCATGACTACACATAGTATATGCTCTCATGGTTTTCCCGTGGTAGATTCATTCAAGGTTGAGGCATGTTGAGGCCCACTGGTCCAAACAGAAGCACAAGGATTTCAGTGCAGGGGATGCCCTGGCATGGAATGAAAACTCCGCTGTTTCACCTTCGCGGCTCCAGGCCGGCGGAGACTCTCCTCCTTCGCGGCGCCGCTCCGGTGTACGTTTGCGCATCGAGCAGGCAGCGGCTTTTGTTTTCTGCTCTCAGATGCGGACAGGGGGTGGCTACTTGCGTGTTGTGGCCTGGGTCTTGGGGGTTGTTCCTTTCAAAGGGGTGGGCTGTGTTGTGCCGACTTTTTCACGTGTCTGGTGCGGCACCTTCTGGAAGCCTTCCTGGGCCCCCTCTCATTTTCCCAGCTGGGCTGATCATGAACGGTAAATCGCGCGCCAGAAGCTGCAGTTGCAATGAGTTTCCGTGTCATGCCTGCAGAGTGCACCCTCAGTACTAGTACCCAAATCGCCGTCTACCCCGTGCCCTATGGTGGGCCTAGACCCCCGAAATCCACTTCGCAGGAAGCCGCAGAGAGGCTTTCCCTGGGCCTTGGCGCGGGCCTTGAGAAGCGAGATTTCCGAAAGCTGAGGGTTTACGTTTCGTATGGGCTTCGTGGGGCGCATCCCCCTGTAGAGAAATCACACAGCCGGACTGCTCCGAGCCTGCCTTTTCCTGTTTCCAACGATCCATCCATGGGGTTCACGATGACTCGTTAAAGCGCAGGACCAAGAGAACCCCAACCCAGTTGCCAGGTCGAGTTGCTGCCTGAGTGTGGCTCCAGCCACTGGTGGGGAGATGCCTCGTTTTCTGTCACTGGAGTCCTGTGAGTAAGGGGGACAGGCATATCGTCCTGGCATGGGCTTTAGGGCTAGTTATACTTAAAGTGCCTCAGAGTTAGGGATCATTCTTTCTTACCAGCGAGGAGGATCTTTCCACCCAATTCTCGCCATGCTTTGGCTTGGCACGGCAGGAGTCAGGTGGTGTAATGAATGTTTGATTTCGACTGTGGGATGGAATGGCTTCGCAAAAATGCGCCCCCAACCCAGACTACACCATGCAGCCTTCCCTGGACTAAAACCCTTCCTAGAAATTGCGGTTCTAAGGATGAGCTTTCTTTTTTAGCCACCCCACCCATCCCCGCCCCAAGGCCTTTGTGCTACCAGGGGAAGGCTTGTAGATCGTAGCACTGAGGGCACCTGCAAATGCATCGGACCGAAAGAGGTTGCTCAACGGCAACGCCCCTGAGAAGCACTTTGTCGCGTTGTCTCCGGGGCTTTTAGCCCTGGCCGGAGAGCCACCAGGAATGATGCCAGGTCCACTCTCAAGGTTCCCCTGCCCTTGGCTGACTTTCGGAATTGTCTGCATGCCAGGACCCAGTAGTTCGCAGTTCCTACTGGCCTCGTGCCCGATGGGTCGCGTGGCTAGCCTTCATACAGTCGTTTTTATGCAACTGAGCACAAGAACGCCAAGCGCACGGGGCAACCATGTATTCGTGCAATTCGGGCTTTTGCGGTTCAGTCTGGCCATCCAGTCCTGCCTCTTGGAGCAGAGCATTGCGGAGTCCCCGCATCGAGCCGGAAGGGTTCCGAGAGGGTCAGATAACAGGGCCGGGCCCTTGGAAAGCACAGCGCAGCTGGCAAACTTCTGCTGTAGCCGTCTTGTCGGTTTCGCTCAGGGCTTTTGGGCACTATCGCGCAGCTCCCAGTTTTGTAGTTGTTTCTTAGAAGGGCCAGACGGTCTTAGGCAAAATCATTGTGGAGCAGGTCTGAGCATTATAGTCGTCACAGGCATCATAGATAGCATAGGCATCATAGATATCATAGGTATCATAGGCATCATAGGCATCATAGGAATCATAGGTATCATAGGCCGCCGCCCAGCTAGCGCTGAAAACGTAGTCTGCAGACCGCCACATCTGTAAAACGCGTAGGCCTTTGGCTTCGGTGAGGCAGGACGTTCGGCCGGCATGCAGAAGCTTCCAACCAGACTCGTGCGCCAGGCACTGAGCTGTGGGCTAAGCCCAGAGAGTGGTCGATGCAACCCTGGGTTCGGTGGATGACAGCTTTACACGAGTCTACAACAAGGTGGCAGAATGAATGCGTCGCAACTCGGACGCCCCATTGCTTGTCATTGCTTCCCTGTGGCCGCATTAGTGGAGTGAAGCGAACTGCGAACCCGCAGTTTTCAGACCGCACGCCACTGCTCAGCTGCCTCGCCGAACAATGCTCCCCTCGACAAGAAAAGGAGCTGATGGTGGGAGCTTCGGGGTGTCGGGCTTAGGGATTGCGCCTCTGCTTTAGTTGTTTATTCCCTCTCTTCCAAACAGTTGCGACCGCGACTCTGGTCCCTAGCTCGAAAAAGCAGAGGCCACCCAAACTCTCAGTACAACAGGCTTGGGCGGGGGGTGGGTGGGTTCCTCCCTTTTGCCACCATGCCAAGCACATGTGCCCACACGAACCTGCCAAGTGGGCCGGGTCACATGTATCAGCTTCAAGTGTCCTTGGCCGGTGCGAGCATTCAGAGTGTTAGCAACAGGGCTTGCTCTACAGGTGTTACTTGCGTAGATAGTCAGGGCAGGAAGCAATCTGCAAGAAGAGCACCCTTATGGGACGCTGAAACCCCCCCACTTGCAACCAGCATGCCTGGGGTGCTTCACAGGTGATTTTGGTCCAAGCGTGTCGTAGAATCTGTTAAGGCCAGAGATCCATGTGGAGGAGAGCGTGCTGGCTGTCCCTTGGAGCCGCCTTCGCGGCCGGGGCACGCCTGGACTCCTCAGCCAAATCCATTTCCAGGCGCAGCGCGCCAGCGCATCGGTCGCCCTCAGACTATACGGCCCGCCCAAGGTGGTGCCCCCAAGATATCGGAATAGAAGTGGATGGCTGGAATGAGGAGGGCAGGCACATTCATGTTAGGAGCGTGGTCGAGCCTGAGCAGTTGAACCGAATGGGTGGCGTCCCGGATGCAAGAATCAAGCTTCCCTTCAGCTGCTTGTTGCTTTGCTTTCTAGACTTTGCAACAGGTGCGTGTATGTGTGCCGATGTCGAAGAGTCCCGAGGCTACAAGGCTTGGCAGAAGACGAAACCAAAGACGGGCCAGCACACAGCCTTCTACATCAGCTGCAACCTGGATGTGGACCGGGCATTCCTCTTCTCCCAGGACTTAGACAAACGCGGAGAAGGTGTGCGGGTGCCTTACTCCTTGTCGCACGTTCGTGCAACTTCTTCAGCATGAATTTGGATTGTCATGCTGGCGTGAGACTGAACTCACAGGCGAGTCACTGCACTAGTTCACACTTACTTGCTGGTTTGAGCCCTTGGCTGCTGCTGAGTTGGGCCAACATGTCGGAACCTCACGAGATCGGCCACGCGTCGGAATTGGTTTATTTAATGGGCCAGCAGGATGCGGAGATCGTTGAATTTGCTTGGGATACACTGATCCTCGATCGATTGCTGAATGGGACCATCGCTGTGAAGGACGTGACGGGGCTGATGCTTTGCTCAATACTAAGAATTTTCTGCCTGATTGCTTCAAGTCCCTTGGCCATTTCGCATCTCCCGATCCGGTTGCGTTGCCCTGGCCATCCGACACATTGAGTCTCTCCCGAAACCCGAAACCCTAAACCCGAAACCCTAAACCCTCGCACAAATCGAGAAGTGTGCCAAGCAAAAAAAAAAACCACCCAAAACATTCTTTAAACAAATATAACAACTGTATTTCTAAGGCATAACTGGGAGTCCAGCCTGGTGCCACACACTTCCGAGTCGAATGCCTCGACTTGCTCTGGGCCCAGGAAGGTTGTTCGCTTTCCTGCACGTGGGGTCGTACGATTATAAGTATCATCGTATAGTATGGTACGATATACTATAGCATAGTATAATATCGTAAATATATCAAGACATAGTATAATTAACATCATAAGGTCATGTATGTATGTATATATATATATATATATATAGAAAGAGCCTGATATAAAATATACAGTATATCATACTTGCAGCAATCCCGACCCTGAGATCGATCTGCTCAGGTGAGCAGTTGGTGAATCTGGAGCTAACTGGCACCGTGACGAAGTCGGGTGAGCAGCAGCAAGTCTCCAAGACGGTGCAGGCCGGCCTTTGAGAAGAGAGCAACAAGGAAGTTGCAGACATCTTTGGTGTGGTTTCAGCGTAGCTGATGTTAGAAGCCAGCTGCGCCCGCTGCTTTTTTTGCTATTTCGATGTGGTTCTTGGAATGTCTGAGACGCAGCGGATGGCAAGGGACCCATACCCGATGTTGCATGTGGCGTAGAGCATATCTGACCTTACAATGTATATCTATATATACATTTATGTGTGTGTGTGTGCATGTATACTTATATATGTATATATTCCAGATAGCCCGCAAAGGCTTGAGGATGTTGCACATGAATCTCGTTGTAAAGCTATGGACGCATATCGTGGTCATTTTCCAATTCAGTTCTGGTTGCCCCCGAACGCCGGCGTGAACCCTTGCAGAAGCTCCTAAGCCCTTTAACCGTAGCCATTTGGGCTCAAGCGCTCGAACAGGCCGTTCTGTCTCTGACTCCGTTGTTTCGTACGAAGGTGCCTCTGATGCAGGTTTTGGTGGCCAAGCCTCTGGTTGGCACCCGGCGGCAGGATCTGTGGGCGCACTTGGACGAAATAGCCGCGGCAATCAATGGCAAGAAGAGCCGCCGCGAGGAGACCTCCCGGGCAAAGGTTTAGACGGAAGCTTGCGACAGCCCCTGGATCGGGATCGCGACCAGCTCTGATTCCTTTCTTGTCCAACGGTACTCCTTGCATGAGGGTGCAACCCAGCCCGAGCACATCAGTCTTTGATCACAAAGCCCAAGAACAAGGGCTACGCTTGAGACCTCCTGGCCGCCGTGCAAGTTAAGCCGATGTTTTTGTTTCCCTTTCTTCCTCTCTCTGTCTCTCTCTCCAAAATGAGGGCCCTCTTTGCGTGCTACTTGAAGCACCGAATGGACACCAAACACTTCAATCAATTCGGCGCAGCTGGCCCCAGGCCTACTCGCCTCGCAGTGCAGGGCCTGAAATATGTCATTCCTAACCAGAGTTCAACTGGCCACAGGTGTGCCCATAGTCCAGCATGCAGGTAAAGGTGCGAACGCATTTTCCTGGTAGGGCCCACCCAAGCCCACGTGGGTCGAAATGTTCTAGTATCCTCAATGATTTTCTTCCTCTTCCAGGCATTGTTGTACCGGCCGCTAGAATGCAAAAAAGAACGATATCCTTCTAATTTCCTCAGGTTGGGCAAGATCCTTCTGTAGTCTTCCCCGCCGTGCGTGGCTAGGTGGCAGGCAAAAATCCTGAAAACCCTACTTTGATAAGTTCTGAAGCCTGAGCCACCTAAACCCTGTGGAGGTGAGCCCATGGCTCTACACTCGTTCCGAGGGCTTCCGCATTTTCACCAAGACCAACGAAGCGGGCCCTGTGGCATTGAAATGGGTTCTAGGGCTTCTAAGGTGGCTTAGGACGGTGTACTTGGAGGTTCGAGATACTTAATCACCCAATTATAGCTATACTATAACCATATTCGGGCACTTAAGGGGCTTTTAAGTGGGTTGTAAGTAGAATAATTATTGCGTTACAAGTACCATGAACCTCCAGGCAGGCTTTATGGTTGGTAGTTTCGGGGATTTGGAGGCCTCTAAAAGAGGGCTTCCAGGCATGCAAGCAAGGGGCTCGACCCAGCGTCAAAGGGTGCCAGTTTGCCGGAGTTGCTGGTAAAACGCTGAGAGGTAACCCCCATGTCATCAGCCATGCTGACCTAAATTCTAAACCCTAAACCCTGTGGCAAAAAACCCTAAACCCTAAACCTTTTGTGCGAGTGTGAGAGTCGAAACTCTAAATCCCAAACCCAAAACCCTAAACGATAAATTCTTAGGCGAGGAGATGACCTACTGGCTTCGCTGCGCCGACGGCTATCCTGTGCTCGCCAAGAAGGAGACGGATGGCCAGGTGTCGCGCAGTCGCGAAAGGGTCATTTCACAAAAACATGGTCCCTGTTAAAGTCATTTTTGCAAGGCAGCCCCCTCTCATGTAGGGTACCCCAAAAGGGACCATGATTTAGAGAACTGCCCGTATAGTCTTCAACCTCATCGAACAAAACATGCCGCACGTCACTGTTTCCTCCATCCTCCTGGCCAGGTGGAGACCCGTGCCTTCGATATGTGGCACGGTTGGCGCAGAACAGTGAGTGTCAAGGACAGGCTTGCGTAAGGTCAGAACATGAGCTACTTCTGTTGCCTCGTGCAGACGTGATGCCCTTTTCACTTTGCCGTGCAGGAAGGGGAGCGCTTACATTTCCTTGCGGACGCATCCGTGACGAGACCCATCGAAAGCGGGCAAGTTCAAATCACACTGGGCTAACATTGCTCGCAGATGATGCCGGAAAGGATGCGCGTGACGTATGCCCAGTGAGAACCACCCTGCGGCTCTCTCCGTGATAATGGGCGGTTGCAGCTGATAGAACCCTGACCCCCCAACACACACTTCAATTTGGAGGACTCGTAGTGTCAAAAAACAACAGGCCGCAAGCCCAACAGACCCTGACATGGGGGGGAAATCGGGGGTGGAAGCCGGGAAGCTTTCTTTGATGGCTTACTGTCGCCCGCTGTTTGCAATAGTTTGTGTGCTTAGGAAAGATCAAGGCTTGGGTTTCCGCGAGACATGGCTCAAACTGGCCAGAACTTGGCTCAGGGTTGGGGGACTCGGGGCAATCTACAGGCAGGATGCCGGGGTGAGGATGCTGGGCCTGATTCCTTTTTTGTCTCTTTTTCTGTACAAGCACCTTTTTGGAACCTTACAACCGCAATGGGTACCCTTCTTATTCCTAGGTTACTCATGGGTCTAGAGGGTCTGCGGCTGCAGGGAATGAAGCCTCCAAACCATGCCATGGATCCTCTGCCGTATCTTTGCCTGATCCCATGAAACCACCAACCGGTCAAATATGGATATAAACGTGAATATAACTACATATTCATATAAAGATCCAAAAAGGGACCATAATTTTGACACCCTAAACCCTAAACCCTAAACCCTAAACCCTAAACCCTAAACCCTAAACCCTAAACCCTAAACCCTAAACCCTAAACCCTAAACCCTAAACCCTAAAGTTTGGTTGGCGTTGGGCTTGGGATGGGTGTCTCGTCGTGAGCTTTGGTGTTTTACAGAAGTTTCTTGAAGCAGGAGGCGCCCGTTTGAGTTGCAGGGCCTCCCCGCAGCCTTGCCTGCCTTGTGGAAAGCCCTACGCTCCGAACTCGTTAACACAAATTCTCGAAGCCCGAAGCCCTAAACCTGCAGCCTTGCCAGCTTGGAACCCCGAACCTGGTCGAACTCAACCTGGTTAAGGGCTGAGGGTCTTAAAATCTGGGGGGGTTCGGTGTTGAAGTTAGGGGTTTTGGGGTTGAGGTGTTAATATGAAAGTCCAGGCGGCGCTCGTAGGTTTGCTAGAAAGTTATGACTTTTAGGGTTTTGAATTTGCAGTGCATTGTCGGTCAGGTTGCTAGGCAAGTGGTAGGAAAGCCTAAACCCCGGCTCCCTCAATTAAGCACAACAGATCCCAACAAAACCTTGCCCAGCAAACTAACCCTAAACCCCAAACCCTAAGTATAACCCTCAACCCTAAGCCTTCCAGCTTGAACCCTAAACCCTAAACCCTAATTGAACCCTAAACCCAAATAGTTCCCGCTCTTCTGCCAGGCGATCCCTGGAACAATCCCAGGCGACATGGCCTTCTACCCCCAGTCACTTGCACCGGGTGCCCGGGGCCTAGGTTCTCCAGCGAAGTTCCGGGTTGTAAGAGTCGCGCTTTGTCCGGGGCCACGAGTGCCTTGTTTGAGCTTGGCAAGTGCCCGGTGATCTGCAGGGGCCTGGTAGGAAAAAGGGTCCACGTTCCGAAGCCACTCCCGAAAACCCCAAAGCTAAAACCCAACTATTGCCGCTTGCCCATAAGTTTTGGAACCGGCGAGCTTGATCCTACAATGCTGTCCTTTCCATTTCTCCCGAAAGTCACCCCTCCGGTCACCCCTTGTCGGGGTACTTCGGGCATCTTGCGGGGTACGACGGCTCATAGGCGAAAGGACACACAAGCACCCAGCAGTGGCCTTGCTAGAAGCACTTGAAGGTTCATGGGTAGTTAGTAAGGATCGTAGCTATACTCACAACTGGTTAGAACCTGATTCGGGGCGCTTATAACCCTAGTTGTAACTACCCATGAACCTTCAAGTAGCCGGAAACCCTAAACCCTAAACCCTAAACCCTAAACCCTAAACCCGACTAGCCACGGCAAAGCGGGGTAAATTGGTCGGAGGAACGGTAAACCCTAAACCCTAAACCCTAAACCCTATTTGAGCATGGTGCCTGAGGTGTGGCCCCCACAGCCCGCGCCGCATGCCATGGTACAGGCTGCCCTGTGGGGTGAGTGCTCTCTTTAGTGCTTCAAGCCGAGAGGGTTTAGGGTTTAGGGTTTAGGGTTTAGGGTTTAGGGTTTAGGGTTTAGGGTTTAGGGGCGCAACCTTCCAAAGCCTGCTGCAAAAGTGTTTGGGGTTTAGGGTTTAGGGGTCCAAACTTGTGACGAAGAGTGCGCCAACAAGGCGGTCCATGTACCCTCCTACACGCCGGGATGGGCCGACGCACGCGGGAAGCCCGTGGCTGTGGCCTCAGGAGTCTGCACACAGAGTGTGAGAGAGTGAGTGTGAGTGTGAGTGTGAGTGTTACGTATGTGCTAGGTATGTATGTCGGTTGTCCTTGGGCTCCTTTGTACAGGGAAGCTCAAGAATCTCGCGGCGCTTTGCCGGAACTTGATGGGACTTGCACTGCCTGGCGCTCTTCCCGAGGTCGGCGAGCCGAACAGTGGGCTGACAAGCCTCTTGACAGGTTTTTTTGGGCTCCTTCTGAGGGCTTCAGGGCGCAGCTTGCAGATTGAGTCCAACACCACGGTTAAACAAGTGGCCTGCCCTCAGCCCTCAGGCTCCACGACGACCATGGCTCCCTCCGATGATGCCACACCTGCAATCCTGCCGGGTGACCTAGTGCCCAGAGGGTTTCCACCCCGAAGTGATGGAGAGTGCGCTTTTGGGCCAGCTTCACCCCCAATGCTTGAAGCCATCCTAAAGGCCCCTCGACCTTTGTGTGGTCTGGATGAAACACTTGGCGTGGCGGCCCAATGGTGTTTATTCGAAATCAGAGGGCCCCTTCGAGGTGCCTTTGAAAGCCGGACTCCTTCACAAAACGCGAGCTCCGGTCTTCGACCCCCACCCTAGCACTTCATGGCTTGCGCAACCGGGAGCCGTTGATGAGGAGATTGCCCTGCTTGGCCCCGTTTGCCGCGCTTCCTCTCACGCTTTCCAACCCCTGGGCCGATGAAGCACCTGCCTGCGCCGTCTTCACCAACCTCTGCTAAAACCGTGCAACGGAACGTAGGGTGGTAGGATGCATGGAAGGTACCATGCGGTCTGTCTTGGTGCTTTGCCTTGGTTGGGCTCTGACGGCCACAGTTTGGCACAGCATTTTCGCGACTTCTGGCCCTGCTGGTCTGCGAGAGGAGGGGCACAAAATGGGTCGCCCAGCTATGCAGGAGGCAACGAAACAGCCGAAAGATGTATTTTAGATCCCCTGAAACCGAGCCCCTAAACCCAATGGCAAACAACAAAACTCTAAACCCCAAGCCCCTCCCCCCCCCCCCCCCCCCCCCCCCCCAAAGCCCAAACTCAGGTTCCGCCCGGAGCGCCGGGCAGTGCCAGGCAGCGCCTCGAGCTCCCTGTCGGCGCGGCCGGCAGCCCAAGACGGTTTAGGGCACTGAAACGGAAGTAGAGCTTTATAAAGCAGTTTAAGAACAGAAGGGCTTAGCCTCCTTTTTTTTGACGCTTAGGTTTTTGTTTTGAGGTGGCTGAGGCTTGTCAACGGGTTTAGGGCTTAGAGGCTCAAGGGGCTCAATGAGGCCCTCATGAGCACGGTCATTCATGGGTGACTTCCGATCTCCATTCCGGGGCACACACAGGCTTCGGGGGCCCAAAGTCCCTTGAAAGACAGATAGACAGACAGAAAGAAGTAACAAAAGCAAGCAAGAACGATGAACACAGAGCAACAGAAAGCAGGAAGGGGCAGATGATACAGGGGCGATACCGACAGAGGCCGATTCGAGTCAGAATAGGCAGAAGAGTCATAATCACCATGAGAGAAATCGTACTCAATATCGACATAAAAGGCAGGATAGCCATAAGAGTCATAATCGTCGCAATGGTCAGAAGTACTAGTTACTAGTAGTAGCAGTTACGATTGGTTTTCACAATCAAGTAGGTGATAGTAGTAGCATAGTACGAATCGTAATGATCGTAATAGCAGTAAGAACAGTAATAAGAGAGTACTGAGTCATTCCCCACAAGCACGGGTCTCTTGGATGCCCCACGGACTTCAGTCGACACAGTGGCAGCCCGAGTCCCTCAGAGGTGGCCCCTCGCGTGTTTCTACTAGGCTGACGGGGACTTCGGACACAAACTCACTACTTGCATGGTCTCTGTCTACTGCTGCATGAACCCAGGTCTACAGAGAATGCCAAGCTGACCACCGGAGCTGCTACGTGGCTGCACAAGAAAACATCCCAAGCCGATCCGACCGGATGTTTGATGTTCCTGGGGCATTTATTCGCAGGTGCATTGGGCACTTCCTCCGCATGTCATCGGGATTCTTTGGGACGCACGGGGTTAGGGTTTAGGGTTTAGGGTTTAGGGTTTCTTGCAAGGAGGCGGCGGCCATCCGGCTGAGATTTGAAGCTCCTCAGGCGGGGCTTGAAGTGGGTCCCGAAGCTGTGGCATGGTCAAGAAACGGTAGGCCCGCCCTTGGAAGCGCTAGCCCCTCCATTGCGGTGCCACGGACATCTCCAAAATTCTCGAGCGAAAGGCAAGTTGCGAAGCGGACTATCGGCAAGGCCCTGGGGAAGATGGGGTCGGAAGGAGTTGAAGCACATGGCGCTGGTGGGTTCAAGTGCTGACAGGAGTGAAGGAGTTTGACGATGGGTTCGATCTCTATTGGGCCAGGGTGTATATAAATCTACATCGTGCGCCAGGGTGTAAATCTACATCGTGCCCCAGTTGAAGTGTGGACGGCGGGGAAGACTTTTTCAACCAAACTAAGCGCATCCCTGGCAAACTGCAGCCCTAGTCCCCGAACCCAACAGATCCGTAAGGCCCTGGGACTCGAATTCGTCCTCCTTGCAAGTGGGGTGGAGTCTGGCCAATTGGGTGGTCGGTTGGTCTTTCTGAAGACTTCTTGGAGCTGTACCTAGGTTTCCAAAATCAACAATCTGCAGGTGCAACGAGTGGCGATGCGGGGCGGAAGCCGACAAAGGGCGAGGTGATCCGACTTGGTTGTGTTTGTCTTGGGGTTTGGGATTCGTGTTGTTTCAGGAGCACTGGGACTCGCAGCAACAGCAGTAGTAGGCACAAGGTGGTAGCAGCGGTGGTCGTCAGAGTTGAAACAACTGGTTTGAGGCAACATGGAGCACAACTTCAGACAAAGCCCCTCAAACCCAACTTTCGCCATAACATTGACATCACATGCTTGCCCGAGACACAAACCTTTGGGGCCACTGTGGAGCTGGAAGATCCAAGCTCTGCCCCAGCCAGGGGAAAGTCTTCATTGCCTGCCCTAAGCCGGCAGGCACGACAGATTCTTGTGGAAAGTTTATGCTGTGCTTATGCTGTGCGGCAACGGCAGCGTCTGAACGTCCAAGGCCGTCTTAGAAATGAGGTGTGGTCGCTTGCATTAGAGGGCTGCGAGGACCGTGAGTGTCGCTCAACGAGTACTGTAGGGTGGATGCAGGAAGGGGCCATGAAACAATGTTTGTGGACAGTCAGACTTGGCCCGTACAAGCTGGTTTCGATGTCTAAGCTCAAGCTTTCAATGGAGACTTAAACGGCCAGAAACAGGCCACACAACCTTGCTCCCCTTCCTCCTTTGTTGCGTAGGAGCACCTAGGGTTACCCCCCGATCTCATTTGATTCCCCGAACAGGCCGTGCCCGGTCTCCGGATGCAGTGTTGTTGGGCCGGCCAGTGCCTAGCACAGGTGCCTCGCAGCATAGGGACGTGCAGCATTATTACGAGCGTCTGTGTTTGTGGATGTCCTGCAATGGATGGGGTTCACCTGAGAGTTTGGACATTCGGGTTCAAGGTCTTAGCCTGGAATTCAGGCTTGGGGGTTTATGGTTTAGCCCTTGGAGAGCAATCATGTGGCGCGCTGGGTACACGGCAATGTGCTCTTTGTTGTTGCTTGTGGTGTGTTAGTCAAGCTCTGCGTTTGCACTTGCAGATGGAACATCGCAATCACAGCTTCCGCCAACACCACGACGACCACCAAACCAACGAAACCGTAAAACCTAAACCAGCGAAACCCTAAACCCTACTTCTGTCACAAGCCTGGTGGAGTCCTCTAAGGGTGAGATAGAATTTTAGCGGATTTGGTCTCTTGCTTGCACGGTGACCTCACAGTAGAAAGAGCTATGCCATCTTTTTTTCCCGATTTCTTGAAGATGTGAAGCTCTGGACGTCTTGCATCCTTGCAGTGTGGTTGCGAGGCCGCTAGGTGGCTGGCAAAAAGCCCTTAGCATCTGCTGCGTGCGACAGGCACCGTGCGAAGCCCTGTGCAGGGCGGTGTCAAGATGCCGGCGCAGGCAGCGGCCAGTTTCCTTAGTGGCAGTGTATAAGAGCAGCACAGTGGCAACACTGTAATGAGATGAAAAGCAAGCACGCCTGAATCAAGCGGGTCTTTAACCTAATAGTATGATTTCTATGATGCTTGTGCCTCCGTGGAAGGCATCTGGCAGAAATCTCGAAGTCGATAACGGGGAAGAGCAGCCCGAATGCACGAATAAACCGCCACCCACCTGCGGGCATTTCTGAGAGGCTGGCACCAGGATCCCAGTGCAGGCAAGGTCCTGTGCATTGCCGGTTGTTCTGCTGCTTTTCGGAGGTTCTCTGCATTCAAATACTCGGGGGTGGCAGATGATGTTTGTGCAGTATGACACGTTTCGTCTTGCCTGCACGATCTTGTCGTCCGTCCGTGCCCATCTGCGGTCGTGGCTGGTCAGACCCTGCCATTCGTATGGCGCTTCGCAGTTTGCCTTAGGCTTGGCTCATGTCGTTGTGTGCAGGGCGGCGTGAAGACTCCAATGCCCCATGCTGTCAAAGCACCCGTGAACGGCGCGAGGACGCGCGGCTGAGCTGTCAAACATACTAGGCAAGTACTTGCAGCAGAGTTCTTCAGAAACGACATAGGTTGGGATGCTCATAATGCTACAGATGTAGTTGGCCGCTTGCAGTTGTAACACGAGCACGCGCAGGGGAACGGATTCAACGGCTGGGTGTCCTTGACAAGTCGTCAGAGTCTGTCATGACAAACAGTTGCATTGTAATCGCGGTGCAGCCTTGTTTGGGTTCCACAGCCTCGCCCCGCAGAGGACTCCGGTGCCAGGGGGCGTTCGCACGCCGGTGTCAGGTGGGCACTGGCTTCGGCCCTGAAGGGCCAATCAGATGCTAATTGCACCTTAGGTCCCGGAACCATGGGCAAGTGCCTGGAAACCTCTCGGGCTGAGCTGTTGTTCCTAGCCATATCTGATCTGTTATGTCCGAAGCTTGGCATTGCTCTGTGACTGCTGCTAATCTTTCAAACCTGAAGTCGAGAGCCGGGTGCTCTCAGAACGAGACTTCTTTTTTCTTCGCGCCCAAGCGCTTCCAAAGACTCAGAATACGGTAATATTGTCGTTAGTAGCTATTACTATTTCTGCTTCTTGTAATAACAATTATTCTTACCTATCATAGATTTTCCTGCACGATTAACTTCTGCAGCAGGTGGCGCGCATTCTCCCGGTCAGGGTGGGGCAAAGACCCCGGTCTCGCCGCTACCAGGCCTCGCACCCACTGAGTTCTGGAACGCATCTATATACCTCTAGACATATGTATATATATATATATCTATATCTATATCTACATATATATATATACCATGTATACGCATGTTACTCTCTGTCTCTATCTCTCTCTAGATAAATATGTTTCTTTATACGCATGTTTCTAGATCGTATGTGTACGTGTATATGAATACAGATGGAGTACAAATATTTAATATCATATATATATATATATATATATATATTATATATATATATATATATATAATATTAAGGTATGCAGAGGGTGCAGCAAGGGGCAGATGCTCGACAGAGCTTCGGGGCTTTTCCAGGGTTGGCTTTTTGGATTCTTCGCAAAGGCGAGTAGTGAACACAGGTGCCAGACATGTGAATCCGCAGAATCACCTAGTTGCCACCGGGCCTGCCCCTCTGTTACAGCAGCATCACTTGCTGCATTGCAACGTGCGTCCGAAAGATCCTGCCTCAAGGAAATGTGAGCAGAGATGGTGTGAGAACAGAGAATGTCTTGTCGGCTAAAGGGTTGGGTGAAGCCATGCTTGGCAGAGCTAGGTGGCTCAGGACATATATATATATCACTAGGGCCTTAGGGCTTACGTAAGGTCCGTTGATTCTGCGTTCTGGCTTTGGCCGTTGGTCCATGTCGGTCCGTTGGGTTTTGTGACTCGAGACGAAGTTCTTGGGCTGGCTGCTTTGTTTCAACTGGCGGAGCCATAGCGCACCCCGAAGGCACCCCAAAAGCCGTGAAGCCCGAAGCCCCGAAGGCCCAGTTCCTTGCCCTGGCGAGGCGCGCGAAGCCCGCTCCAACCACACAGGGTGCTCATGAGGGCAAAGACAGGCCCGGGGGCCCAGGGAGGGTTTCTTGTGGTGGGTTCAATAGGTCATTGATTAGGGCTTAGAGATTGTTAGGGTTAGTTTTTTGATTTTGTCTTTCTGAAGTTGGGGTGTTCAGTTGGGGTTTGGGTGCTTGTTTCCGGGGTTTATTTCGAGGGTGGCTTGAGAGATGGACTGGACGATGCCAAAAGGGGGTATCTTGTTACTCCCCGTCATCAGACATGTGATACACCTAGCAGGTCACCACAGAATGCCGCAAAGGCCAATGGACACGTCCTGACAATCCCAGAATGCCCTAGAACCCTCTGAAGTCCCTCAGCAGCCCCCCCCCCCCCCAAAGTATACAACCGCTGCTGCAAAAATCACACCAACTCTTCGGAGAGGGCACATTCAGTCTGGCTCAGGGTTCTGCGCTGGGGGCAGTTGCGCCTCCCCCGCGGGTGACAAATAACTCCTGAAGATCCCCAAAGTCTGAAAGTTGAACGGTGTTGAAGCCCACATGCCCAAAACCACCCCCTCCCACAACGAGGAGGGCTGGCCGTCGGCCCCTATAAACCTTCAAGACCAAGAGGGATTAGGGTTTAGGGTTTAGGGTCTTCTGAGGTGTGGACCTGATAACGCCAACAGCCACCCCCGCGACGGGGAGCCCAGCGCTGGTGAAGAGCAAGACCGGCATAACCGCCAGGACCTCTCGATTTTTGGGTTTCTTGGGGGGGGGAGGAGGGCAAGGAGGGGGCTTAGGCTTGAGGGTTCAAGAAGGATTTCTCAATCAGTGGTTTTGCAAAGGGTTTGAGTGTGGGGTTTGTTATGTTGCCTGAAGGCATTGAGAAGGTGTTTTCGTGGACAGCCCTGCTGATGATTGACGTGTGATATCCCTAAGCCCTAAGCCCCTCCTCGTGGTGTGGAGGAAGTCCCAAATGCGCACGAACTGTTGTAGCACATGTTGTAGATCTCTCAGAAGGTCGGTTTTCTGACGCAGTACGGCAGCACGACGAACTGTTGGGTTGGCATGCTGATACAGGATACAGGGATGGGGGAGGAAGTGAACGTCGTGCATTTGTCCTGTTCTTGGTTTTCAGGGCTCTTGCCTGGTTCTGCCTTTTTTTTTTTTTTTCCCTCTCTCTCTCTCTCTCCCTCTCTCTCTCTCTCTTTCTCGCTCTCTCGCTCTCTCGCTCTCTCGCTCTCTCTCTCTCTCTCTCTCTCTCTCTCTCTCTCTCTTTCCATCCCTTTCTTCTCTGGGAATATGAAAAGCGTGCAGGGTGAAAGATCGTTGGTGGTGATGGTGCTGGTGATGATAGTGATGGTGATGGTGATGGTGGTGATGGTGATGGGGGTGATGATGATGATGATGATGCTGATAATGCTGACGAAGATGCTGTTCAGACTTTGAGAAGTTGCGCGTCGCGAAACTCTTGCACATGCGGCACCCTACGCATTCCGGGACTAGGAGGACAGTGCAGCAAGCGTCCGCTCTCGGCCGCCGTCATGGCGACTTGACACGTTGACACAGCCATCCTATCAGTTTCAAAGCCTTAAACAAAGCCGAAAACCTAAGCCCCATACATACTGGCAAGACAGTATGGATAGGCACATGACGACACATGTATCTCAAAACGCTTTTTCGTCTTTGCTGCTGTGGCAGTGGGGCAGGCGCGTCCCGAGCCCGGTTCTAGGGCATCGCCTCGTGGCACCCGCTTCTGAACAAGGCGTTCTTCTGGGGTGGCCACTGGGTTTTTAGGGTTTCGGGTTCAGGGTTTAGTAAGCCCCGAAAGCTACAGGTTTCAAAGAGAAGGGGCAAGAGTTGGGTTCTGGAGGTCTTCTAAATCCTGAGTCATCCAGAGCTCAAGCCTTCCGACCGTGTCGGCTTTCTTTCGTGGAGGGGCTCGTGACGATTCTTTGACCCGCCTGTACCCTAAACCACAAGCTCCTCGGGGAGGTGGTTAGGGTTGAGCAGAGGAAGATGTGTTCCCTCCCCCCAGGCCGTGTTTAATTTTTGGGAGAAAGACTATTATTATTATTATTATTATTAATAGGTACCCCGTGTGATCATCCCTTTTTAAGGACTGTTAGTATAAGTCCTTAATCGTATCCCCTATGATAATCCCTATTAGGGACTGTTAGTACAAGCCCTTCATAGTACCCCCTATTGCAATCCCTATTAAGGACTGTTAGTATAAGGGGGAACATCCCAAGATTTAGGGCAAGCGGCTTTGCCGCTGCTTTGGAAACTTGGGTGCTTGGGCTCTCGGGGCTCAAGTTCAAGAGCTCCTCCCAACCTAAATTCTCAAGCTCGAGCTTTCAGAATACCCCCCCCCCAAAAAAAAAAACAAAAGAAAATAATAAGTAAATAAATTATATATACATATATATATACACTATATATATATATATATATGTACTAGTATTGATGATAATAAAAATGATGATAATTATAGTAATAATAGTTATTATTAGTAACAAAAACTAATAAATATAATACTAATAATTATTATTAATGCCTTTATTATTACTGTTAGTAGAAGGGGCAACATCCCCAACCTAAATCCCTAGACAGTGCTCCCCAAACAGGCAATCGGAGCTGCTCCCCGGATGGCCGCAACCTGCCCGGGCAGCCATCCGACTGGGTTTAGGGTTTAGGGTTTAGGGTTTAGGGTTTAGGGTTTAGGATGGTTTAGGGTTTAGGGTTTAGGGTTTAGGGTTTAGGAGGAATCGTTGCGGGATTTAAAGGCAGAGGGTTTGGTAGCGACTTTCTGTGAATAAGCCTCTATCTGACTTGGCTGCCACACGCATTCAGCGGCTGCAGCCATGTGCAGGCTTTCCCGGTCTTTGGACAAGCCGTCCATGCATCTGTTGGCAGTTCTGCCAAGGACCAGCCCTCCATCATCGCCGCAGCTTCCGAGCCGAACAGTTGCGGCTGGGCACCGACTTAAGTCCTCAACGGCATGGGCGGCAGGGATATCGGAGTGGATCAAGCTTTCATGTTGTTGGGACATGTTGGGACAAGCAACCCATGCAACGCCCAAGCCCCCCAGACCCCTTTGAAAACCGAAACCTTCCAGGCCCCTGAAGAATGGAGAAGATGTTCACGCAGCAATGCTTCCCACAGCATCCCCCGAAACTTGCCCTGGTCTAATCTCAATGTGGCCTGAGTGTCAGCTAGGCGATGGCAAACCAAACCTTCAACTCATAACCCACCCCTCTGTCCCCCCTAAACCCTAAACCCTAAACCCTAAACCCTAAACCCTAAACCCTAAACCCTAAACCCTAAACCCTAAACCCTAAACCCTAAACCCTAAACCCTAAAAACCCTAAACCCTAAACCCTAAACCCTAACCCTAACCCTAAACCCTAAACCCTAAACCCTGAAACCCTAAACCCTAAACCCTAAACCCTAAACCCTAAACCCTAAACCCTAAACCCTAAACCCTAAACCCTAAACCCTAAACCCTAAACCCCAAACCCTAAACCCTAAACCCTAAACCCTAAACCCTAAACCCTACACCCTAGACCCTACACCCTAGACCCTACACCCTAGACCCTAAACCAAACCCTAAACCCTAAACCCTAAACCCTAAACCCTAAACCCTAAACCCTAAACCCTAAACCCTAAACCCTCAACCCTCAACCCTCAACCCTCAACCCTCAACCCTCAACCCTCAACCCTCGACCCTCAACCCTCAACCCTCAACCCTCAACCCTCAACCCTAAACCCTAAACCCTAAAGCCTCGTGTCCGTGTTTTGGGAGGCTTGCCGAGTCCAGGTTCACAGTCCGCAGCACAGTCCGCAGCGGTCTCAGAAGGACCCTGGGGGAGCTCCGGGAGGGGCATTCTGCCAAGGCAGCTTTTGTTCCTTTGGGTCTACGAGAGTAGCTCCTGCTGTTCTGGTCCCTTGCTCGTTTTAAATGTGGTGTCAGACTTAGCTTGCTTGCTGACTTGCCGACTGACGTATCCTTGGTCAGACCGTATGAGGTCTTGCCGGGTCAATCTGCAAGATTTCACTGCAGCACGTACCCATGGGTCTTCCCAGCGCAGTCCGCAATCAAAGACCTGCGTGCAGGAGAAGTCCCCGCAGAAAGTGGCAAGCGCCTCTAGCGAGGGCGAGGACGCCCTCCACAAGCTGCATGGCGCCTCGGGCAGAAGCAAAAGAGATTGAAGGAGTCTGGCTCGTGCTTTGGGGACTTGTGTCTTGTTTCCGGCGCGTTGTGGTACCGCGCCCTAACTTGTACCATCTGCAAGACGCTGTTGGGGTGTTCTGGTGCTGGTGCAACATGGGGGTTTCCGAAAAAAGCGGTACCCTATTTTGGGGGTCCCCTTAAGGCCATCCTATTCTGTTTGGGGTATACCCCTATTTTCGGAAGCCCCCCGTATGGTGTTACCTCTACACCACGAGTCTTCGTTGAGCTTGTCGTGTGAACTGTGGCAGGTAGCGCCAGCCTGATCAAGGATGCCCTGGAAAGCAAGCAGAAGTTGCAGAAGTACGCAAAGTCGCTGCCTTTTTGTTGAGTTCGCTGCAACACCCTGGCAGTCGCAACGAAGCTGCAGTCGACTTTGGATGCTACCCTAAACCCTAAGCCCTAAGCCCTAAGCCCTAAGCCCTAAGCCCTAAACCCGATCAGCCCCCAAACGCTAAACCCAGAACTGTGGGTACCACAAGAATCAGGTCCTGCTTCCAGGCCTCGGACGCCAACGGCGACGGCCAAGTGAGTGCCGCAGCTCGCAGCTAGAGGGCCTTTGAGGCACTAGGCCTATCAGGGTTTAGGGTTTAGGGTTTAGGGGTTAGGGACCTTTACCTCCCGAAGAGTCCCGAAGTTGCGCGAAGAAGACGCATTGAAGACGAGGGGGCTCGCACAGGCTACTACGGTCAAGGGCTGGAAAAGCACAGGGCCCCAATAAGCCTGAACATCGATCCCAGGCATGCAACCTTGCGGGTGGACTCAGGGCCCTTGTCCTCGGCCCTCATCCCATACATCGCCATGTCACAAAGCGGGGCTTCAGGCCAAGAAACTTCAAGGTTGGCTCAGGGAATCGTCGTCCTGCTATGCAACCTTTCTCCGAGGTTTCGAGGAGCTTTGCAGATGCCTCTTGGCCCCAAGGGCAGGGGAGGTGGTGAATCTATGTAGGCGGCCATAGGCATGCCACAAAAGTCATCTCCCGGAGACAGACACCCTCCGGTTTCCAGACTTCCCGGATTGCCAGCATCCCCACGTATGAATCGGATGTCCCGAGCTTGTCGCAGCAGGGGTATGCTTAAAGAGCTTCGCGCTGAAACCTGCTGCGGTTTTGGACGCCAGGCATGCAGAAGATGAACGCTGACCTCGGCATCGGGGACTTCACCGAGCGGCACGTGATGCGCTTCGGTTCCGATGTTCCGGAGGGGGGCCGAGGGGTGCTGCCCCTCTCGCCCAAAACGGGCCGTTAAAGGTATTTATAGTCATATTTAGGGCACGCTAGGGGTCATTTTGAGGTTGCTTGACCTAAAGACATGACACCGAAGGCATTATCTCCAGAGGTTCGACACTGATGGCGACGAGCTGCTCAATGAGAAAGAGCTCCCTGGCGGAGATTGGTGACCGATTAAACCCTAGGCCTGAAGCCTATAAAACCCTGAACCCTGAACCCTAAACCCCATAAACCCAATAAACCCCATAAACCCTCAACCCTATGAACCCTAAACCCTATAAACACTGAACCCTAAAACCGTACTCGACAGCGCTCGTTCAGGGAAGCGGCGAAGGGTGAGGGTTCAAAACCCAACTTCAAAGGCTGAGTGCCGGAGTCCAAGGTTTCAGGAGCTCTACCGCGCCCTGCTCATGGTGAAGCTGGAGGAATTCTGGGGGAGGGGGGGGGGGGGGGCTCGAGGTATGTTACATTGCTTGGTTGAGGGTTTTCAGCCCCACCTTCGCTGGCAGGAAGTGGAGCCTGCGGACTTCTCGCGGGACATGTTCATTAGCCGGCGGAAGGCGCCTTAAAAACCATGCATGGCACCCCGAATCTGCAACCTTGAGCTGAGCTCTAGATCAAGCCTTGCGCCCCAAGTCTCAAAGCCGTGGCACTCCTTGCGGCTCTGTGGCCCCTTAGTCTCGAACTTCTGGCGCTTGAGTGATCGATCCTTGGCAGGGCAAGCCGGATGACAACTACGAGGTGTTCGGCACCTCGGGAACTGTACAGCACTTTCCTACCCTGAGCTGAAGGTTTGAGGCTTCAGGGTCAGAACCGGGGCCCCCTCCGGATCAAGGCGTGCCGTGCTCCCCAGGTTGTTCCTGCGCCGGAGGGTCTCAATAGTCCAGGCTCTAAGCTATAGGGGTGGGTACCTTGGATATTTCTGGGGACTCAACAGGGTACCTAATTCCCTCATTCCCTACCAAGAACCAGTTGGGCCCTAAACCCTAAGCCCTAAAACCGAAACCCTAAACCCCAAGGACCTTGCCTGCCTTGTGCGAGAGTGAGCGTCTGAACCCGAATTCCCTCATTCCCTCCTTCCCTCCTATCAGAACCAGCCAAGGCATCGTCGGGGTGGGCTCCTTCGGCGTGGTCCGGAAAGTGAGGCTCCGGGCTCGGACGGGCTTTCAGGTTTAGGGCTTAGGGTTTCTGGTTTCGGGTTTAGGGCTTAGGGCTTAGGGCTTGGGTTTTTCTGGACACCAGAAGCCCTTAAATTCTGCAAGCCCCTAAAAAGCCTAGAGCCTGGAACCCAAACAACTCCATGTCCGAACCTCAACCCTGAACCCGCACCCCCCGTAAATATCTTAGGCAAGCTATAGAGGCTGAAGTTTCTTAGTATTGTGAGTATCAGTATTCTTCGCGTGACGAGTGTTCGTGGGATTATTCGTGTTTTTAGTATTCCTCCTACTTTTGGTATTGTTAGACGAATATTATTGGGTACAAGTCGTATTGTTCGTATCATTCCTGTTATTTGTATTTTTTGCATATGCAGTATTAGGTGTATTCTTACTTTCATTGTCCGTGGCTGCGGTGCCCAAAGGGCGCGGGGCTTCTTATGGCAGACATCTCTTTTGGAGCGGGGTTTGGGGTGCCGAACGCCACTTTGGCTTTCTGGCTTAAGGTTCCGAAACAAAAGAAGCATCCCGCCTGCGCAGATGTTCGAGGTGTGCAACATAGGCCGACACACCCACGTGTTGTGCACAGGTGCAAGGTGACCGGAACCACTCGGGTCATGAAGGTGGTTGACAAGCAGAAGGCGCTCAATGGGGGCTCCTTGGCACGCAAGCGTGTGGTAGTGCGTTCAGTACAAGCCAAGAGCCTCGGGAAGCAAAGGCTATCCTTTGAAGCTCATCATGGAGGCGCGGGGGGCGAGTATTATTGTTATTATTATTTTTATTATTATTAATATTATTTTTGTTATTATTATTATTACTTTTTTCTGATAGTTCAGCATGCGACCTCAGCCTGAGCTGATGTTATTGCAAGGCTCCAAGTGGGAGCTACTGAAGTTGTACTTGTGGCATGACCATGCGGGATTACGAAAAAGCAAGTTCGTTCAGCAGGTACGCAGGAAAGACCCATCTTAACCCTAAGTTGCCCTAAGCCCTAAACCCTAAACCCTAAGCCCTAAACCCTCGGTGTTTGTTGGGGCGCGTCCTCGGTCGTATGCAGTGGAGACCAAGCGGCCGAAGCCTTGCCTTGCACGACTGTGAGAGGCGAAACTTGGGATGCTGCCCCTTTTTCTAGCAGTCCTCTGTAAGGGTTTACTAGGTTTAATTGAGTTGGATTATAGTACCCCCCCTATCGTACCCCCCCTCTTAGAATCCCTATTAAGGGCTGTTAGTATAGCGGGGGAACATCCCCAGCCGAAAGCCTCTGGATAGAACCCACGCGGCCGCGGGGCAGGAGATCGACAAGCTCCGGGCCCTTGACCATCCATCCGTGCTGCGGCTCTTTGCACCTTTCCTGCCCAGTTTCTGATATGTGGCCGCCCTCAACCCTGATTGGACTCTAAACCCTAAACCCTTAAAGAACATCCTAAACCCTTTAAACTCTTAAAGAACATCCTAAAACCCCTTTGCAAGTTCCGAAGCCACGAAGAGTCTGCGGGACTCTGACTGGAGGGTCGGGGCTCGCTAGGGGTCAGGAAGACGGAAAAGCTTGTGTCCTTGCTTATGCTAGAAGGCTTTCTTGGAATCCCAAGCCCGGAACCCGAATTAAAAACCCCCGGAGACTGCCAAGGAATACTGCGCAGACGCGCTCAACCTGTACCTGATCACAGATATCCTACCAGGCGGAAAGACCCCGAGAGCAGGGAGCCTATGACCCGAACCCTCGGAATAAATGTCATCGAGAATGCCATTTTCTTGGTAGCAGAGTGGTACGCTTTTCCCTTTTTTGGTTCAAGGTTCCCTTGAAACAGGTACCCAACCCAAAAAAGGCTACTGGCCTAACACTAGTAGCTAACATCGCATATAGAATATCTGCAGCGCTTTTTACAAAACTTGGGGCCGCAGACCGCGTCCAAGGGTTGACAATTGCGCCTCCTGTACGTGCGCGGCCCGAATTCCTAAAACGAATTGTTGCATGTCAATCGATTTCTGCAGCCTCGTTACTTGGAATGAGCGAAGCAATATGACAGATACGGCGTTCCCGCCCGAACAGGCATAGGGCCCCCAATAGAGAATCGCGCCCGATCCGACAGGTGGCGACTTGCTGGACATCGTCGAGGGGTCCTACAATAAGAAGCGGCGATTAGATGAGCCATGGCCCTTTGGGGCTTTTTAGGGGCTTATGTTTTGCAGCTGGGTTGAGGGCGAAGGTCTTTCATACTGTGGGCCGGCATGTCATTCAGCATCTCTGATCGATTTATACGCACGGCAGCCATGCCTTCGAAATCGCAATCGAAGCCAGTGCCCGGAGGGCCGCCCCATCTGTTTATGACACGCAAAGAATCGAGAAAGATTCCACCCGATATACCTGCAAAGTATATTGACCCAAAAGCCCTAAAACCTAAACCCTAAACCCTAAACCCTAAGCCCTAAACCCTAAACCCTAAACCCTATAATTCTGCTATTCTGGGCAAATTCTGGGGGCGCCCACTTCGCGCGTCGGCTCAGACGGCAAGAACACCACCCAATGTGTGGCGGGGCTGATCTCTGTTAATGGGTGCCTCCTGGGGAACTTAAACGATAGGGACGAGACCATGCCGGGCACCCTAAACGGGCCCACAGACGTAGATCAAGCCTCCCATAAACCCTAAACCCCACACCCTAGACCCTAGACCCTAAACCCTAAACCCTAAACCTGTGCAGACCCTAAACCCTACATCCAACTTTCAAGGGTGAAAGAGAAGGGAAGCCTCAGAAGCGCTCCTGACGGTCTGAGGAGAATTGGGTGCGTGATGTTTTTCGACAAGCTGCTGAAGGACAAAGGGCGAGCGCTTGGGATAGATTGGGGCAATCTTCAGGGTTTAGGGTTTGTGGGTTTGGAGTTTTTTTTTTTTTTTTTTTTGTGTGTGTGTGTGTGTGTGTGTGTGCGTGCGTGCGTGTGTGTTTGTGTGTTTGTGTGCTTGTGTGCTTGTGTGTTTGTGTGTGTGTGTGTGTGTGTGTGTGTGTGTGTCTGTGTGTGTATGTGGGGGTGGGGGGGGGGGTTAGGAATCGAGTCTCTTGCCGGCTGGTTCTGTGCTGCAAGTCTTTCCTCCCTTCCAGGGGCATCAAAAACCGGAACCTTGCAAGAAGATGGTCTTCCAGTCCAGCCCCAGATCGATATCAAAGCCAGCACAGCTACGACTGCCAGGAGTCGCCTACTGCCACGCCAAAGGTGCTCTTGCACGAAATTTGGGGTTGGGGTTGGCAACTGTTACCTGCAAACCCAAGTTCATCTTAATCGGCCTTTACGCAATGTGGACGACTCGAAGTGTTAGTTGAAGTAGCTTCTAACAACTAATGGTAAGTTTGCTACAAACAATATAATACAACATAAAACGTCTGTAGTTTAAAAAAGGAAGTTATTCGCCATAAGCACTTGAGGTTCGGCCTAAGGGGACCCCCCACTTTGAAAGTGTGGGCGCTAGCCATTCCAAGGAGCTGCCCCACTTCTAGGCTTGTTTTTAGGGGCAGCTCCATCCGGATTTTCCAAAGCATGTCTTGCCCAAGAAGGCACTTCCACGGGAAGTTGAGGCAGGTGTGCGCTGTAAGGGAGAAGCGGTTAAGCGGGGGCATGTTTGGCCAAGGCCCTACAAACCCTAAGCGCGGAACCCTGCCAAGTCCCCGCTTGCCGAGGCGTCATGCATAAGGACTTGAAGCTCGAAAACATCATGCTGGCCTCCGTCCAACCACCGGAGGCAGGGCAACGCCTTTGACATCTTTATGCAAGTCCAGCGTATACCTACAAGGTCATCCTAGACCCGAAACCCCAAACCCTAAATGGGGTGAGTCTTTGGGGATCTGAGAGCATGAGCGCCGAGGCGGTGGTCATCGACGTAGGCCTTGCCGAGCTCTTCCCGCCCTCCGAAGCGGACTCCTTCAGTTACTGGGATGAGGGATGAGAGAGGCCTTCAGGTGAGGTCCCCCATACAGTAGGAGGCCTAGTTGCCCTTACTAAACGGCAAACGACTGGATGGGGGCGGTTTACTGTAGCCTAAGAGAGGTCACGTGAGGCCAGATCTTCAAGTCGTCCTTTGCACGGCTCTTACCGGCTCTGAAGGAAACGCTCCCGACTGCAGGTTTATGCCTAGGTGTAGCTCCCTGAGACCCGAAGCAGATATGAGCTGGTTGTGTGTGTGTGGCTTCGGGAAACCCGAAGAAACCTCAGTGACTCAGGGCACCCCCGTTCCCGACCAGCACAAGGCTCTGCCGACCCCGCGGGAACACTGGCGACCATGGCTCCCGCAGCTCACCTTCGTCAGGGATTTGGGGTTGGGGGTTTAGGGGTCTAGGGTTTGGGGTCAGGAGCTCTGTTGTGCTGCAACGGAACCACCTCACGTAGTTCAGTTGCGAAGCAGTGATGTGTTCGTTGCTGGATTGTACTCGCCTCAAGGCATGCGAGTCCACGGACGTTGGCTCTGAATGTGTCGACACGTAAGCTAAGCAGATTTCTGTATGCCTCCCATCGTCGACCTGCCACACTTTCCTAGCTGACCCAAGCCCAGCACAGACCTTCGTAGGAAAGTTTACAAATTCTCTCTCTTGGGTGCGTCACGGCTGTCCTCGAGGCCTTAGTTAGTCCTTAGTTGGTTGGTTTATTTGGTAGTTGAAGTAACCGACAAGATTGCTTCAATCATTATTTCCGTCCCCCTCCCCCTAAACCCCTTTCCCCCGAATATGGCCCCCCCCATGTTACCTCTTGTTTACAGGCTGCGTATGGGAGTGGGACCACGGGCTTTGCCCTGCCGCAAAATATAAAGCCGATAAAGCCTCGCTTCGCGTGGGCTTGATCGAACGATCCTCGAAACCCTAAACCCTAAACCCTGAACCCTAAACCGCACTTCTCCCCTGCATTCCAGGAAGTGATTCGAGGTAACTTCAACGCGAAGTGCGATGTTTGGTCGTTAGGCCCGCAGCCTTTTGACGGGGATGCTTCGGGGCTTGGGGCCCTTGCTCTTGGGGTAGTCATCAAGATGTCTGCGTTGGAGACGCCCCCCAAACCCTCCACTCAGCTTTCCCCCTCATGTGCCGCATAGCCAGCCCTGGGACGTCCCTCTCTAAACCCCAAAAACCCTGTAAAGCCTACAAGACCATGTAAAGCCGAAACCACCCCCCCAAAGAGCCAAGCGCCCCAAAGACCCTGGACTCCGGAGGATGCTGCCTCTACGCCTTGCTCTGCCGCAAGCCCCTGCGCCTGGAGGATTCAAAAGGCGAAGGCAGGTGTGCTTTAGGGTGTAGGAGCTTCGCTTCAACCTCCTGGAGCTAACCATAACTATGGGATCCATGGATTCCTTCGCCCTATCTAGCTGGCGTGGGAACGGCGAAGCCTCTGTCGAGGAATGCCCCGAACCCTAAACGTCTATAGACTTCTGGCACAGCGCCCCAAACTCGAAACCCGAAAGCCCTGCCTGTCAACACTGCTGTGACCTTCGTTTCGCGGGCAATCAGCCGTTTATCTTGGCAAGCGAGTCGCGGGCCGCGGGGTTTAGCGAGGGTTTGCTCGGCAGGCAAGGAGGTGGAGCTCTACGACTACTTCTACCCCTACTCGCCGCCACCGGATGAGTCCCGCCCGGAGCCATGCGCGGGTGCCAGGGTCATCTCTCCGCCTGGTTGGAAGTAAGTTGCTCGCAGAAACCTGAAACCAGCTGTGGCTCTGGTGCTCGGGGGCCAGGGCACATCTTGCATTCTGTCGGTGTTCGGCTACACCCAGTTTTCGCCTCAGCTTAATCAGCTTCGTTGGTAGAAAATTAAAATAGCAATACCTTATTTTAACAATATAGGAATGCAAGCCTATAAGACTATAAGTTGTATCATACTAATCTTTCTAACAAGACAGCAATTTATGTCATGAGTTTCCATGAAGTGCGTCCATGCCAGTGCCGCAGGAGCTGAAGGCCTACATCACGCGGCAAAAGGAGGGACCAGACTTCACCAGGCCTTTCCAGGGGCCAGAAATTGCTGCATAAACTCGTATGTAGATGCGAGAATGGTATCGGTTCGTGTGGCAGTAGGTGCAGTGACAACGGTGGCTAAGAATTGTGCAACATTCGAACGCGCTACCCTCGATTACTCGATTGCGAAGCTCCACCAATGAGTCGCGAAAGCACCTCTACAACTTGAGGATACCCTGGGTTTAGTCCAAGTTGTAGTCTTGGATAGTCTTGGGATCAGGGAACGAATGTCTTGGGGGGGCGGGGTGCTGGCTGGCCCCTGACATCAGAAGTTCGTCCCTGAGGGGTGGGCAAGCGATGTCGAACCCGCGAAGTGTAAATCCATGTAAATCCCCTCCATGACAAAGAACTTGGTCAGCGTTAGAGATCCTTTTTTGCTTTTTGCTGCGGTGCTCTCAGCTGGTATGTAGTTCTCACCCTACACCCTTAACCCTTAACCCTTAAACCATAAAGTCCAACGCCCCAAGTTGCTAACCAGCCCCCTGACGAAATCTAGCCCCTACCTTTGAACCCAACCCCATTAAATCATAATCAATAACCCCTAAACCTGTAAACTGAAACCCTAAACCCCATTGCCCACCATGTGCCGCGACACGGTCAATGCTATGGGCATCTGCCTGAGGGCCCCGAATAGCATTCAGCATTTCCATGCCCCGTTTGAAAACGTAGCCCCGAGCGATGGTATGCGTACGGGAATTGGTCGAGAGCCTGACACAAGCACAAGCCGCGAGCGCGGCTGCGTCCGTGGTGCCATGCCATGCCTCGTGCAAAACACGGCAGGGACGGACTTCTCGGCGTCCTGCGTTCTTTGACTTAGACTGTGCTTCGCGCATCGGATGTACCTTTGCAGAGTTCGACGTCGCGCTCCCGCCTGAGTCGTGTACGTACGCTCCTTGCAAAGAGCCGAAGTGCGGGCTGTGTGCGCCGGAACAGCGTGCCAACCAAAAAATGACCAAAACCTCGTTGACAGTGTGACCTCATTGCCAGTGAGCTGTGTTATTTCGAACGTGAAAAGCATAAATGCAGTATTGGTTTATCACCTTCTCTTTCCCTGTACTACTGGCTCTTGAAGAGGTTGTAGTCTCTACTCTTCACCTTATCTTCAGCAGATGATGGTGAAGCTGTACGGGTTCATCACCTTGACTTTTCCATTGTTGCTGGCCCTGGATTACATGGCAGTTTTCACCTTTTACCAGCAACTGGAAAGATGATTTGCTGCCGTAAGGTCAACTGTGTCTGTGTGTCTGTGTGTCTCTGTGTCTCTGTGTGTCTCTGTGTGTCTCTGTGTGTCTCTGTGTGTCTCTGTGTGTCTCTGTGTCTCTGTGTCTGTGTGTCTCTGTCTGTGCGTGTCTGTGTGTGTGTGTGTGTGTGTGTGTGTGTCTGTGTGTGTGTGTGTGTGTGTGTGTTTGTTTTTGTGTTTGTGTCCCGAAACCGTCTCCGGAAACCCTTGCCAGACTGAAGTGTCCTTTGACAGGCTGGAGTGCTCAGAGGATGCCAAGAACCTACTCACCCTGCTGCTCACATACGACAAGGCGACCTCTAAATACTTCACCTTTCGCATTATGTTGGGGTTTTTAAAAAGGTGTTCATATTCAGGAATATTTTTCAAAGGGTTTTTACAGGGCCATCCTGGGTTTAGCTGCTTAGCATTTCCGCGGCTCGGGGGGTTCTTGCTGCTGCTGCCATGTTTCGGCGTAGGGCTACTAGTCGACCATCCACTCAGTTCTCAGATGCAACCCTAAACCCTAAACCCTAAACCGTAAACCCTAAACCCTAAACCCTAAACCCTAAACCCTAAACCCTAAACTACAAGTGACCGCTGCCCACAGATTTCGTCGGAGCGAGGTTCTGCGCGTGCATTTTGCCAGGAGCCGCGGCCCTCGATGCAGAAGGTGCTTGGCCCGGCCCTCAACAGGCTAAGCCGCCTGCAGGGCTTTCTCCACGTTGGGGGCTTCGGGTTTCGGGAACGGGTTCCAAAAAGGTGTATAGGGAACCGACAGTATATTCTAGGGCTGAGAACTGCGTCGGCTCTTGGCATTTCCTCGTTCCTCACGCCTTTTTCTCGTCCTCCAACATAGCTTGGAAAGCACACGGCTTTGATTTCATGATTTGGCTGTCCTTTCTTGGCTAGTGGAGCTTTTGTTATTCTTGTTCTTCCTGATGTTTTTCCTTTACCCCCATGCCCGCGAAAAAAAGATGCCCTGAACGGCCTCTTCGTCTGCTGATTCTGGGCGCGATATGGCGCGACATGTTCGTCGGTTGGAGAGTCGCGGGCGGCCTCGCTGCCTCCCAACACAACCCAGCAGTGCCCCTGTTCCCTAAAATGAGCCCTTTCGAGGTGTATGATCATCAGCCTCGTTGTTCTGGGTCCTAGTTTCAGAAGCTCAGGTCGAATTTGGGGAGGGTTCTCGCAGCCGACTCTCTGCAGCCAGCCGAGCCCCAAACCGCGCTGCGACCAACATCTCCGCGTGTCTGATGGCCGAAGAGGGTCGCGCCCTGTTTGAATACAGCCGCCGCGGCAAGCTGGAGGACGTCCAGCAGGAGCTTGCGAACGGAGAGTGCCCCAATTCCTACTTCAGCTACGACGGGAGCACTGCACTTCTGGCTGCCGCCCGGGGAGGCCACGCCGAAGTCGTTTGCGCGCTGCTGGAAGCGAGGGCAGACCTAAGTGCTCGCTCCGAGGATGGCAGCGACGCGCTGTTGCACGCCTCCAGCGGCGGCAGCGCTGGGGTCATCCGAGTCCTGCTGGGTGCCCGGGCCGACCCAGGCACCCTGAACGAGGATGAGGTTTCACCTCTCATCTTGGCCGCCCACTACGGCCACGGCGCGGCCACCCAAGCACTGCTGGAGGCGCGGGCGGACCCCAACTACAGCGCTCCTGGCTGGGGCTCTCCCTTGGACTCTGCCCAAGGGCAGTGTGTTGCCATGCTGCTACGGCATGGAGCACGCCGACAGGGTACCGCCAAGCCTGTTTCCGTCAAAGCAGGTGAGCACTTCACGTACAACTGCTTGGATGAAGACCCTGCGCAGGCAGAGGCTGCCCTGCGAGAGTTTGCAAAGCTTGAGAGAACAGACGGAGAATCCACTGGCATTTGCCGGCGGCGCGCCGGGTCACAAGCCAACTCTGGCTGTAGAATTGTCTGAGGAAGAGGCGACATTCGACTTTGTAGTTACTCTTCGCATGTGACACAACTTGCGGCTCCCTCCGATTCTGTTGCTAGACTGTGAACTCTGTAGTGCAAGGTAGGGTGTTAGCCATGCATCGCTTGTTTCAGCATGCAGGCAAATATCCTGCTTCGGGCACCTGACTGAGCAACACATCCAGCCTACGTGAGCAAAAACAAGTCACGGGCCCGCAGTCGTTGGGTGCCATCATCGGCACGAAAACAACCCTCGCCACCTACACTCCGTCCATGGGCACGCTGTCACTCGCTGTCTTCAAACATAGGCACGAGGCAGGTATGGTCCTTCACATGGCAACACGTTTCATGCCCACCCCAGAATTTTCGAACCCACTCAGCCTGATAAATGGAATTCAGTCATCGGGGATGGACGGACCCGATACCCTAAAAAAACACCTGTACAGGAGAACCGCAAGCCCCGAAGCTTCTACACCTCAAGCCTGAATCCCAAACCCACGGAGCCCCAAAGACCTCGAAGTCCCTAAGCCCATCTAAACCCCAGGGTTTAGGGTTTAGGGTTTAGGGTATCCCCAAACCTGAACCCTGAGTCCCCTTTAAGCTCCGAGGTCATCAGTGGCTAGGGCTGTCCAAAGCTTCGAATCGCTTCTCCAAGCACCAGCTGGTTCCTTGGCGATGTTCAGGGGATTTCCCTAACCCCTAAACCCCTAAACCCTAAGTGTCTGATATGTGCCCTACAATCCGAAAAATTCCCCGTAGGGGCGCCGCTGAGAATCGCAGCATCGTAACCATCTAAGTCCCCAAGAGCTCTGGCCGAGCCCTACTAGTAACCCCTTGAGAGCCTGAGCCCTGGGTTTAGGGTAAGAATGAGGGGTGAAGCCCGCTTCTTCGGAGGAGAGCCTCTTGCAGTTCCACAGGATCAACCCCCTTGCTCAGGCGGGGGCGAGACTGCCGTGTCTAACCCTGCGAATGCCTTCGCGCGCACGCGCGCGCGAAGATTTGTAATTTAGTGTGCTCCTGCTCCCAGCTGGTGACAGGAGTTCGGGTTCAAAACAAGGTTTGGCAAAGCACTGTCCCCGAAGCTTTGCCTCGTGCAGAGCTGGCACGTACTGCTACATCGTGAGCACGTGCCTTGCAAACAGTCAAGACGACGGGAAACTCTACGTAAGCCCCAGACCCACCTACTCCGGCGACCCCTAACCATTCTGAGGGCCATCACTACCTTCATGGTTTGACTTTGATTATTGGAGCCACTTGTTAGGGTTTCGGTGGGGTTTGGGTAAAGTCGCTGAGGACCCGGAAAGGGGAAAAACAGCCTTTGAGCGACAGGCTGCCTTCAGCCCTCTCAGCCCTTCTAGAACGACATCCGCTGGTGCCGGAACTTGAACGCTTGCCTGAGTACCCCGGTCCTTCGACCCTGAGCCCTGAACCCTAAACCCAACACCAGGAATCCTAAACCCTAAACCCTAAACCCTAAACCCTAAACCCTAAACCCTAAACCCTAAACCCTAAACCCTCAACCCTAAACCCTCAACCCTCAACCAGGGTTTGTGGGGAACCTCTCCATCCAGGCCGTGCTGTTGGACTTGGCCTCCCAGCTGCCGCTGAAGCAGCTGAGCAGCTGGGACTGGGGATCCTCTCAGGGGCTTTGTGCGTCCTTTGCCCTTGTGCTTAAAAACCCAATTCTAACCCTTTTAGGGCACTTAAGGGCCTTATAGCTGGGATATAAGTGCAGCTCTCATTGGGTTATTAAGTACCATGAACCTCCAAGAAAGCTCCGCGTTTCGAGGGGAGATGACGAACCTCTTTGAGTCCATGGACAAAGACGGCAATGGCATGCTCGACCAGGCACAAGGGGCTCGCAGGGAAGCCTTATTTCCCAGATCCGAGGATGCCAAGCAGACGGCCACTTGCGACAGAGCCGATCCCCGCCCCAAAAGAAGCACTTCTCTCCCCCCAAAATAAATAATGTAGACCCTGCAAAAAAGTATGGAGGTGTAGGTATGCCCTGTTGTGTTGGGGGTTAGGGAGGGTAAAGGCCCCCCCCGCCCCTGAGAGTGGTGCTCGGCCCTTGAGGGATCTAGAGCCCTTAGGCTCGACAAGGGTTAGGGTTTCAAGGATTAAAGGAGGAACCCTTACAAGGGACCTTGGTATATGGACTGTGTAAGGTGCAAATAGGGGTGACAATATAGGGGAATAGTCCCTTCTAAAGTTTCAAACCCTAAGCCCCAAGCCCTAAGCCCTAAGCCCTAAGCCCTAAGCCCTAAGCCCTAAGCCCTAAGCCCTAAGCCCTAAGCCCTAAGCCCTAAGCCCTAAACCCTAAACCCTAAACCCTAAACCCTAAACCCTAAACCCAAACCCTAAACCCTAAACCCTACCCTAGACCCTAAACCCTAAACCCTCAGATCCCCTCAAGAGGGGCTTTCCGGCGCCCCGGCCAGCGCAGGCGGAGTTGGCCGAGGGCCTCAGCCTCGCAGGCCGCCTTGCCTGCTGTACCGAGCTTTGTGGGGATTCGGGTTTGGAGCGTAGGGTTTAGGGTTTAGGGTTAGGGTTTAGGGTTTAGGGTTTGGAGCGTTGTTGTTGCGCTGCTGCTTGAGTCATGTGACGCGCTCTCGAATTCAAGAAAGTTCAAGCCGCTAGGGTTTGGAGCGTAGGGTTTAGGGTTTAGGGTTCAGGGTTTAGGGTTTAGGGTCGCTGTTGCCTTGTACCCCGGCGGCATCTGCCGCGAAGAGAGAATCTAAGCTGGCCCTTGTCATCCAGCAGCAGGGATGTCATAGCCTCTTAGGAGAACTTCTTCCCAGAACCCCCAAACCCGAAAATCCTGTTAGCCTTGGGATGTTCCCGCTGGTCCTAACAGTCCTTCATAGGAACTATAGTAGCCCCCCTATGACAATTCCTTTAAGGACTGTTCGTATAAGGGGTAACGCCCCAACGTCAACCCCGTGAAGCCCTGAAGCCTTAAGCCCTACACGAGGAATGGCGCCATCGGCAGCGTCCGACACAGCCGAGCGACTAGCCAAGGGCGCAGGTGGGAGCTTGTGGGCCTGCAGGTGGTGTTTACACTAAACTGTTTGGGGTGTATACGGCAGCCTAAGCATTCCTCCCAAAACATGGGAACGTTGCATTTCTTGTTGGGAATCGGCCCTTTCCTATTGTAGAGTTCAGGGCCTGGGGGGCCGGTTTAGTTAAGGATGTGCGGGCGTTTTGAGCTTCGATCTTGGCTTCAAGGTCTGTGACATGCGTCTGTAAAGCCTCTGTCCAGGGCAGATTGGGCCCACATATTTGTGAGGGTCTGTGCATATATGCGCTGCCGACTGAGTGCAGTGGCACATGATCTGCTACTGTATTGAAAATTGAAGCTTTGGCGAGTTTCTCGCTTAGGGTTGATGCTACCAACGCCTGCCTTTCGGGCCGCCTCGACCCTGCCACCTGTTGGAGCATAAAAATCAGCCCGCCAGCATCGTGCCGCAAGGTGGGCGTGTCGAGTTCTCGCGCTTCGTGGCTGCCCTCGCGCCATCCTGCCAGGAAAGGGCGCCTTTCTATCTGCAAAAGCCAGTTTACCTTCAGCTTTGATGCCGACAAGGTTCATAGACAGCGAAAGCTAGTTGCCTTGACCCTGCCAAATCCGAGAGCCTGTGGGCCGTGTCACCGCAGCTTGCACACTGCAGACCGCCAACGTACCAGGCCTTGGACGCCCCAAATCAACGTAGCGGACAAGACTGTTGTTCAAGACAAGAATTGAATTGCAAAATGGTCGTGGAATTTTATCATAGTTGATGGGATACTGGGAGGCCCACCACCTGAAAAAGCGCCTTGACACCGCAACTAGCCCTAATTGGCCTAAGTAGCACCAAAGTAGGCCCCCCCCTGTTTAACCGCAATGACCCGAAGCGTTTCTCCTTCAGTCCCTCAAGGAATGCCGGGACTTTTCCGTAGCTGCCTACATGAGAATGCCACCCTTCTATGGTTCATGCGCGAACCGCCGCTACAGTTGCAGTGCCACCTCTTCTTTCAGAGCAGGTTTCAACGCGCAGGGCTGTCCGGGTATGCAGAGTCTAGCACTCATGTTGAGAGACTCAAGGAGTTCTGAACGGTGGTGGGTTGTTGACATGAAAATGAGCAGGAGCTGATAGATGACGAACACCTGCGCAGCAGCTTCAATCGCTTGGACGCACCTTGGCATACACTTGGGTGTGCTGTCAGATCATCAGAGTTGCCCGGATAGCTTTAGTCACTTCTCGGCTGTCTCGTCCACACTGCTGAGCCGTGCTTGTATGAGGGCAAGCCCTCAAGGTCGTCCTCAGGCAGACGTTTGGTTTTCGTTCCATCGCCCTCCAAGGCCAACGGCGACGGGTACGTGAGTCGGTGTCGCTTGGCCGTGACCGAGAGCTTTGTTCTGGGTGCTCGGGCTTCAGGATTAGGTTGTGACCCGATGGACGAAGACCTACCAGCCCAGCTGGATTGCCTAGAGCCAAACTACGATAGAAATTCTTTACTCCTGAAGGCCCTACCCGAAGAACCGGCAACCCAACCGCACCTACGAGCGCAGCCGGCGCGCATCCTCAAACCCGAGCACCTACGACATCCGACCATGACCGGTTTAGGGTTTAGGGTGTCGGGTTTAGGGTTCAGGATTTTTTCCTTAAATCTTTTTTTCCATCGTGGGGTGGGCCACCTCAAATCCTCCGCCAGGCGAGCTCCAGCGCTTGCTGGAGCGAGGCTCCAAACCTTCTTCAGCACCTGAGGACCCCAGCGATTTGCAACCCCAAACCCATAACCTTCTGAAGTTTGCCGGCATTGTGCGCAAGTGCCGGGCGAGTGGCAAAAAACCCCTCAACCAGTAGGGCCCGGGGTTCATGTCAGGGGGGCCCTGGAGTGAGAGGTCGAAGCGGGGGAAGTCGCCCAAAGTCCCCCTCCCCTCCTCCCCTTTGCAACTCTCTGTGCGTTTTTAATTTTAACGCTACGCGACCCGCCTCGGCCCGGCCCAGCGCATCCGCATGAGCATGGTGATTCCGCAGCGCCCAAGTCGCTGTTTAGGGTTGAGGGTTAGTTTAGGATTGAGCCCTAAGAGGGTAGGGTAGGAAAAGGAGCGCGGGGGAAAAGGGGGGGGGGTAGGGGGGTAGGGGGGGGGGGTCGGGGGGCAGGGGAGGAGGGGGGGTAGGAAAAGGGGGGGGGGGCCCTGCTGGCAGGGGCTTCAACTGCCTCTGGTCCTGGGGGTGCCAAAAAAGGGCTTTGGGTGTGGGGGGAGGATTTGGAGGGGGGTGCCTGTTCTGACAACCTATACACCTCCGGCCCGAGGCCTCGGCGGATTATGTTTTGGGGTTCAAGACCTTGCGCCTTCATGTTTAGGCTTTTGATTTGGGGTTGAGGCCTGGATGCAAAAAGGGGCTGGATTTGGGGGGTTCAGGATGTAGGGGCTTTTGGGTTTAGGGTTGAGGGGGATTTATAAGGACATCGCTGGCCTTTTCGGGCCTCTTGTGCTAGATCTCGGGAAAAAAAGGCAGGCGCGTAAAGTCCCACTAGCAGAGTACGTAACCTAATGGAATCCCCTTAGATTCCCAAAAGGTTAACCTTTAGTTCCCCCGGGTTACTGGACAACTAAGAAGTCCCAACTTCATCTGAGCCCACCGTGCCAGCAGAGAGGACAGGGTCGATTCCAGCCGGCGCGAGAAGGCCGGGGGCGCAATAGGTCGCAGGTTGGATGCTGCTATATAATTCCTCGGGAATTGTTTTTTTTATTTTCGTGTTTATGTAAAACCCAAGAGGATAAATACATTTTAAAGGTTCTATGTAAAACCCAAGAGGATAGATACATGATTAAGGTTCTAAGGGGAGTATAGGCTGAGGGCCCCCATGAGCACGATGGACTCTGCTCTGCGACGGGCTTGTGCTGGAGTTCTAGAGCTGAAGAAGTGGCATCTCCAAGCAATCCAGGGGCTTCGTTTCGGAAGGACTCTGTGAGATTCGCTGCATTCTACATGCACCACACTTGGCATTTCATCGCAAAGAGCGGTTGAGGGGCACCCCCCCCCCCCCGCCCTTAACATCTCAGATGCGCAAGTCGGACTTGCAAGCTTTGCAGCCCTTAGGACGGCCGTTTATCAACCGGCGTCTTGCGCACAGTAAGGCGATGGCTCATGGCATCAAGTTCCGTCCTGACCGCCCCCCCCCCCCCCCACCCCACCCCCCCAGCCGCAGTTCGGTGAGCCTAGGATTTGGTCAGAGTTTGGAGCGACAGTCTCCGGGACTTGAAACGCTGAGACCACCCAAAACTCTTGTCCTTGGAGGCAGCGCGGTCAGCACAGAAGGCGTTCGACGCAATCAGCCCGGGTCCCAAGCGCATCCTTTTGCAGCTTCAGCGGCCACTTTTAGGGACGTACGTCCGGCTTTCTCTCATTGTGGTTTGTAGGACTATAAGGTTTCAATCATTGCTGGTATGTTGGTGCTTGCCGCTCGTTTATGCGCCGTATTGCTAACGCTCTCAACTCTTGTCCTTGCACGGCCAACTCCGCGTCCGCTCTATAGAATAACTGCTAGCCTGAGTATTCGGATGGTTTTGCTGGGCTACTTGAAGGTTCAGTAGCTGGTAAATAAAAAAGCACATAAATACATTCAACAGATAAATTTTCATACATACATAGTGCCTTATCATGGTAGCTCAATTCCAGTTCCACAAGAAGAGCCCCCCACCCCCGAAGGCGGAGAAGGGCGCATGCGCGTCTCCTATGAGTCCTTCCGGAGACATCTTGGTAGCTTCGTGGCCTGAGCCGCGCGGCGCGGTTCAGACTTGGGCATTGTGGTGTTGCGGTTCAGGGTTTAGGGTTGGCGTGGTCTCGCCTGACAGGACACTGAGAGAGAGGGAGAGAGAGAGAGAGAGAGAGAAAGGCAAGTGCTTCACGTGAAGAACGAGCACGATGTCTGACACGATGAGACGTTATTTCGGGACAACTCTAGCCAATAGGGCGGGAAGACTCTCCAGCGGTGAAGACAGAGTAGCAGCTCAGTGCAACCGACCCACAGCCCGTCGCTGTAATCTCACCTGGACCTGACTCATCTCCGGGCGCCCCTGGTGCGCGGGGGACCCCCCATGCCCTGCAGAAGAAGAAGAAGAAGAAGAAGAAGAAGAAGAAGAAAAAGAAGAAGAAAGAGAGGGGGGGGGGGGGTGTTTTAGGGTTTCGGGTCTAGGGTACTTCAGAGAGATCGGGTTCCTCGTCTTTGTGTTGAAAACACCCCCAAAAAGGGTCGAGTGCCCCTGAGAATCGGAAACCAGAGGAGTGTCTAAGCGAAGGGCTTCGGTGTTCCGTGGCTTTTGGAGTTTTGGGTGTTCTCCTCCCGTTGCACCCTGAAAGTGCCACCATCCCCCCCCCCCCCCCCCCCCCCCCCCCAAAAAAAAAAAAACAAGCTCTCCACCCCCTGACGCCAAATCCCCGAAAGAGACCCCTGAACGCCGCGTCCCTCAGGAGAGCTCGAGGTGCTATATTTCGAGGGACTCGAGCTTTGCACGCTCTTCGATCGCAGGGGACAAAAAGAAGGGCACGAGAGGCCCCCTCCCATAAACATGGGTTGGGATCCTCGCCTTAACCTCCCCCTGGTTCATGGTGAGGACACCGCCCTCGCTTTAGCTTTGTGGCGGGTTGTGGTGAAAACAGGATTTAGGGGGCGGGGTGGGAACATGGGCAGGAAAGGAAGCCATCAGAGCGTCTGGTAGTCTTGAGGACTAAGTGCGAAGTCAGTTTTCTGTTGCATGTCCTACCCTTTGCCGTTGGGCCACTGATGATGGAAGCTCCTTGTCCTCAGCCCTGATGCGAAGTTTCGATAGAATCGCATCGAGGTAGAGGGGCTTTGTTTAGTGAGGGAAATCCAAATAAGGCCCCTGCAGACTCAAATTAGGGGACTTCACTGAGAACCAGGGAGGCAAGTGTATGTCAAGCAAGCGGAAGTTCGGGCCACTCGGTGCCTGGAACCTGCTGATAAGTCTGAACGTATCCAACACCCTGCCAAACAAAAAGCAGGGCAGCCCTTGTTACAACATGGTCATATCATGTATTAGAATTAGTACCCATTGATGTTCAGTAGACTCGAATCATTATTACTACTAATGATTCGTATCTTGTATTTCTTAATTACGGAATCTGTATGGTACCTGGGCCACCAAGCTTAGGGGCCCGAATGATGCCTGCTAGTTTTATGTCGCCGCCCTGAAGGGGCGGCGTTTCGCGATCTGGGTTCTCATTTTAAAGAAGTGTCGTCCGCTGGCTCCGGCCCGGAGGACAGGGGAAGCTGAGACAGCCAATGTGTCGGTGATCTGACAGAAATTCTCGATGGATGGCTATGGTGCGAGAGAGGGCAGTGGTTCTGGCCAAAGGAAGCAGGAGGGCCACATCTGCAAATGGACGAAGCAGGGTACAATATGTACGATATGTATAAGATGTATAAGATGTATAATATGTATAATATGTATATGTATTAATATGTATTAATATGTATTAATATGTATTAATATGTATTAATATGTATTAATATGTATTAATATGTATTAATATGTATTAATATGTATTAATATGTATGAATATGTATTAAAATGTATTAATATGTATTAATATGTATTAATATGTATTAATATGTATTAATATGTATTAATATGTATTAATATGTATTAATATGTATTAATATGTATTAATATGTATTAATGTATAATATACAATATAAAAAATCTAATACATAATATTTAATATATAATATATTTATAATATATAGTATACAATAATATATAATATATAACATATACCATGTAATATATACAGCACAGCTCCCCTGGACCCGGGCCCGTGGTCGACGTTGGCCTGGCTCGCCGAAGTGCGCCATTGCTCTGTTTGGAGCAAGGCGGATGCCATCCGAGTACTCCGCTCAACGGCACGGTGGTGGCCCAAGCGTTTGAGCAAATCGTGCGCCTCATGTCCCCAAGTCTGCCCAACTGCCCAACCCCGAGCAAGCGCCCACGCGCAGATGTCCCGGAGACTTGGGTGGCCAAGTGCTGGCTGGAGCAGGCGTGGCAGCCCCCTAGAGGGGTTTTCCCAATGCATCCAAGGGATCAGAACGGATTCTCTGCCAGGAGGTGCTTCAAACTTCATGGGACATGTTGGGGATTCCCCTGGGGCTGCAGCAGTGCCTTTCAGAGGGGCATGCAAAAAAAGGTTTGATACGTTGCCCCGTATGGGACAGCAGGTTGGCACCTGTCCCCGGCTGTACCAAGGGCGGCCATCGGAGAACCAAAGAGTTGGGAGGGTCCTTGAGACGAAGGCCTCCGACTCACAAGGGATACTGAATACTGACATAGGCAAACAGGCAAACATAGGGACTTGAGCGGCTTTAGGGTCTCCAGCTTTGAGAAGGGCTTCGGCTTTGTTAGTTAGGGCGTCTGAGTTTGGTGTCAGTTCTCGCATGGCCAGCCTCTGCCACAGCATCAAGACTGTGGTTTCCACATACTCATGGTGGGACGCAGAATCCGAGATGAGAAGCAGAGAAATTGTGCCTTCTTAGGGCTTAGGGTTTAGGGTTTAGGGTTTCTTGCAAGCACCCACGGGAGTCCGGATGCAAGAAGGGTTTAGTGTAAGAATGAGCAGGAGCCCGAAGTGGCCATTGCAGCTTCCGTACTTAGAGCCTGCGCAGTTGTAGGGCAGTCATAGTGTGTGTTGCGTAGTCGGTCTTTTTTCCTTCAACAAATGAACAAAAACACAAGATGTCAACATGGGTGCTCGAAACCTGGGGTTCTGCGCCCTGCCCCTGCATTGGTTGGATGTGCGCAGTCGACGCACCCAACCCTGCGGGATTTTCCTGCGCCTTGATCGCGCATTTGCGAAGCGAGAGAAACTGGCGCGACGAAGGGCAGAGTTGGACCCTAAACCCTAAACCCTAAACCCTAAACCCTAAGCCCTAAGCCCTAAACCCTAAGCCCCTTAAGTATGTCCAGCTCCGGCTCCGACCTGCCACTGTAGCTTTTTGTGAGACAGGCAGAGACTCTGAGCCCAAGCCCCCTTCGACCCGCTCTCTTGTCTGAAAGGGGAAAACAAGGGGAAAAGTGGTCGGTGGCGTGGGACAAAGCATCTTTTCCTGCAGCCATTGAGGCTCAGTTTTTTGGTTTCAGTTCGCAGAGTAGCATGGACAAGGGTCTGCTGCAAGGAAGCAGTGCTTGCAGAGCGGGATCCTCAAGACGCAGCGCCGCAGGAGCTAAACCCCCGCTACCGACCTCAAGCCATCCAAGCATTTGGGGTTTCTTGGTCTCCAGACATGCTGCGCAGCTTCATTCCCTGCTAAGTATACCAAGCCTAGTTGTGCCTCATGGACTTCTCCGACGTTCTGGGGCAGTCGCTGGCTCAGTGGTCGCCCAATGCGAGGTACGTTGCGGCAGCCGACAAGCAGCTTCACAGCATTTGGTCACTGCTCTGTGAGGCTCATCAGCTCATGAAGTTTTGTAACCCACGCAGTGTGGTTGTGATGTCGTTGCCTCTCTTGCTCTAGTTAGAGTCGCTGGGACCCTGACCAAGCAAGCTGACGAGATCTGTTAGCCTGTCGTGTAGCATTTTCAACAATGGGCATTCCAGAATTGCATGGCTTGGAAGGGATCGGCACGGACCGCCGAGGAACCGGGTGCAAGTACGTGAGCCCGACTCATTGAAACTCGTCCAAGCTGCTGGGAAGCAGTTGTGGCCACCGTGCTTGGGGCATTTGCGGGGGAACCCCACAGCTGAAGCTCAGGGACTAGAGTTGTGCTGTTCTGGTCAGATGTAGTTTTTCTTCAGTCAAGATTTCCAGAGCCATGTAGTGAGTGAACTCGAGTTAATGTGTCAACAGCTTCGTAGGAGTGGCTGCTGCTTAGGGAACCTCAGGCATCTTCTCTGCTATGCTTCTTCTTTCCTTAAAGCGTTGTCACAAGCCGCCGTGGGTCGAATGATTCAGACAAAGCCTGAAGCATCTGAGCACCTCAGTTTGTCAAGTTTCAACAATCAGAGGAACCAGAGAACGCAAAATCCCCCGAACCTTAGGCTTACATCTGCATCGACAAGGTGGAGAGGAGACCATTTTGGCATGGGTTCTCCGATATGGCTCTTCTCCGAACAACCCGGTGAGCATGTTTTGAAGATTGTGTGTTGAAGATTGAAGATTCTGCTGCCACCACAAAGCGAAGATGACTCTTAGGGTGGGAGGGGAGTTTCCTTTTTGGTGGATGGGGGTTACTATCGTCAATTCCCTCAACAGCACAAGAAGCTCATCTGCAGGATCGAGTGGTCGCCAGACTCGCAGTTTCTGCTGACAGAGGTGGGAGATTGTGCGAATATAGGGGAAACCGGTTTCCCCTCATATTGGACCCCCAAATGGTAGGATTCCCTTTTATTATAAGGACCCCAACAAGGTACCCCTTAATTGCGGAAACCCCCAGGTGGCCAGACAAGGTCTTCTTCAGATCTGGAGTCTCAGGCGCAGCATGATCAGGGTTAATGGGCCACTCTGGCCCTGCAGCCTCCAGTTCAGAAGTGCAACCTGTGTCTGTGAGGGTGAAGGGCGCTTGAACGAAAGGGAAGTCGGTGCATAAGTGTGCTTGTAGACGGTTTTTGCGCCACTAGAGTGGGCAGGCCATGATCTGCTCGGAGCCGTCCCGACACGAAGGGGTAGTGTCATCGAAACGACCGAAATTATCGACAGGGACAGCGAATGGACCTGCCGCATCTACGAGGGCCTTGCAGGCGCCTCGGGGCCTGAATCCCAAGCCTCACATCCTCTTTGCCATCAGCTGTCAAGGCTTAAACCTTTGGGAGTTGACATGGTGGTTCGGGTTGCTAGGGGTTTTTGGGGGGTAATGAGGCTTGTTGGGGCTATATCAGGCGGAAGCAAGGCCCAGTCACGACCCGCAAGATGGCGAACATGTTTCAAAGCTGCAGGCATTGCCCACGCCCGTTGGGGCCCCGGCTCAGACCGGGTGCTCGTGGCTGTAGACTTCCAGCCCCTTGGTGGTTCACAACATAGTTTTTCACATGGTGAAGTTGACCCTAAACCCGAAGTCCGAAGCCCGAAGCCCGAAGCCCTAAACCCGAACCCCTTGTGGGCAGCATCGCAGAATGGGATGAGGCTCTACTTGTCGATTTGGCCACTGCAAGAGGGAGCCAGTGCCCGGGCACTCAGCTTGGGGAGCAGCATCCAGCAGTCACAAGATGTCAATGCGCAGAGTACAGCGCTGGGAAGCCTTGATACTTTGCCACTCAGCACCTTCGAGCCTTGCAGCTCCCGCCTTCGGGGCCTCATCACAGATCCACGGGAACCACTATCCCTCATTCTCCTCGACCTTTTGCCGCCACCCGAAACCCGAAACCCGAATGCCAAAACCCTAACCCCACACCCTAATTCCTAACCCTAGCCCCAACCCCCCGGCCCGCAAACCTGAGAACTCGGCGAGGCCATTCAGATTCGCTACCCGAAGTTCCCGCGACGCGGCTTCGCCTTTAGCCGCGATGCCTGCTGGTTCGCTGTCCTTCGGCGGAAAGACTGCAAGGCCTCCGCGGAACCATGGTGTTCAGAGTGGTTGAGGGCTTGAGTTGGGGGGCCGGATCGCCTGGGGCGAGATCGCTGTATGTGCCCGTCCATGAATTGTCAGGCGTCGACCAGAAGAACACAAGATAACCCAGAAAGTCGTGCATCCTACAAGACATCAAGACTGCATGCCTACCCTGCCCAACCCTAGGAAAGCAAGAAGCCCCAATCCGAAGGTTCCAGTGTCAGAGTCGAGTCGCAGCTTGAGAATAGAAAGAAGATGAGAAGTGCAGGTGCGCAAGGGTCCTTAAACCCTCGCCTGGCAAGCAAGAGTTTCAAGAGTGCTGAGTGAAGCCCCAAAGTCCGCGCAGGACCGCTTGGGCATCTACAACACAGAGGAAGGCTTCTCGCGGCTCACCGCCCCTGTTCCAAAATCTCCAGTGGATCGTCAGGGTCGAGGTTTGAGAGGTTTCGGGATTTGCGTAAGCTTTCGTGCTACCCATGTGGTGACACTGCAGCAGCTCGGCCTAATCACTACTCCCTGAGGGAGCTGGATTGGTTTGTGAGTGGTTGGGCAGTCCAGTGCTCAGAGCTCAGAGCGCCGTGATATTTGGGGCGGGGGGGGAACGGGCAGGAGGGGGGGAGGGGGGGAACTTTAGAAGGGAGCCTGAATGAATCCTACTACATGACATAACCCACACACACACATATATATATATATATGCTACCCCCCCCCCCCCCCCCAAAGATCTAGGTATTTTCATGATTTAGCGATATCAAGTTGAATACTTGCATGGGCCCGGAGGCGATGTGAAGTTGAAGATTTGACCGCCATTTAAACCTGAACCCTTAACCGTAAAACCCTTTTGGGTTAAGGCTTAAAAGGTTTAGGCCTTAAGATTTAGGCATTTAAACCTAAGCCCATCGAGTGTAAATCTTAGCGTACAGGGCCTAAACACTTAACCTTTAAGCCCTATAGGCTATAGGGCTAAGGTTTAATGGTTTAGGGTTTAAGTTCAATAGCAGGCCCATAGAGTTAAAGCCTTAAGGGGCCTAAACGCTTAACCTTTAGACCCTATAGGCTATAGGGTCAAGGTTGAAGGGTTTTGGTTTTAAAAGTAAGTCTATAGAGTTCAGACCCTAAGGGGCCTAAACGCTTAACCTTTCAACCCTATAGGCTATAGGGTTAAGGTTTAAAGGTTTAGGATTCAAGATTTAGGCATTTAAACCCAAGCCCACCTTAAGGGTTTAGGGTTTTAAACCCTCAGGGCTTAAGAAATACCCTAAGCCTTTGGACCCCCCTTAAGGTTTAAGCTCTATGGGCTTGTGTTTTAATGCCAAAATCTTAAACCCTAAGCCTTTCAACCTTAACTCTATGGCCTATAGGGTTTAAAGGTTAAGCGTTTAGGACCCTTAACCTTAAGGGGCCTAAACGCTTAACCTTTAGACCCTATAGGCTATAGGGTCAAGGTTTAAGGGTTTAGGTTTTAAAAGTAAGCCTATAGAGTTCAGACCCTAAGGGGCCTAAACGCTTAACCTTTAAACCCTATAGGCTATAGGGTTAAGGTTTAAAGGTTTAGGATTCAAGATTTAGGCATTTAAACCCAAGCCCACCTTGAGGGCTTAAGGTTTTAAACCCTCAGGGCTTAAGAAATACCCTAAGCCTTTAGACCCTATAGGGCTGAAAGGTTAAAGAGAGCGTAATGTCTGGGCATTTATACATTCAACGCCTATAGGGTTAAACCCTGTTAACGTTTTAGAGCCCTACAGGGCTTCAAGGTTCTGACCCTAAAGGGCTTAGGGTTATCGTTTCAATGCTGAAACCTTAAACCCTTAAGGCTTAAGCTCTATGGGCTTGTGTTTTAATGCCAAAATCTTAAACCCTAAGCCTTTCAACCTTAACCCTATGGCCTATAGGGTTTAAAGGTTAAGCGTTTAGGACCCTTAAGGTTTAAACTCTATGGGCTGACTGTTGAACTTTTCAACCCTAAACCTTTAAACCTTAACCGTATAGCCTACAGGGCTTAAAGGTTTAGCCCACGATCCCGAAACACCGCAAAAACCAATAAGAAACATAAAAACTATGGTTTCTGAAACTACTCGGCCGGCCACCCCAGCCACTAGTTTCGAAAATCATGGTTTTTGACATGTTTTTTTTTTTTTTTATTGTTTTTTTGCGATGTTTTGGGAGCATGGGCTCACGAAACATCGGTTTTACTGATGTTTTTTAGAGGTAGGCCTTCAATAACATTGGTTTTACCTATGTTTTTTGAAGGTAGGCTTTCAAAAACATTGGTTTTACCGATGTTATTTTGAAGGTAGGCTTTCAAAAACATCGGTAAAACCGATTTTTAGCGTGGGACCCACGCTCCCGAAACACCGCAAAAACCAATAAAAACCATAAGACTGAGCCAGCCACTGGGATGCGAGCCATTGCGAGTATTACAAACACAAATGGTCAAGTATATTTCGAGTGGAATGTCTGCGAAGACACGTGATCTTGAGCGACGTCACGAAAGCTAATTCTGACACTTTACAAGACGTGAACCCGATTGAAAAACGATTGAAACGATTGAAATTCAATCGGGGGCAGGATTGAAGATTGAAGATTGAAGATTCCCAGAAAAAAGGTTTCCGGGAATCTTCAATCTTCAATCTTCAATCCGGTCTCCGATTGAATTTCAATCGTTTCAATCGTTTTTCAATCGGGGGCCCGATTGAAAAACGATTGAAACGATTGAAATTCAATCGGGGGCAGGATTGAAGATTGAAGATTGAAGATTCCCAGAAAAAAAGGTTTCCGGGAATCTTCAATCTTCAATCTTCAATCCGGTCTCCGATTGAATTTCAATCGTTTCAATCGTTTTCAATCGGGCTCACAATTTGAAAAGACGACCACGCACATATGAAGACTCGCACATATCAAGATTCACATGTCCATATTGAGTTTTACATGTTTAGCTAGCCCCCCACCCCCAACCCTTAAACCCTAAAACAGATCCCAAAACCATGAAAATACCTAGATCTTTTGGGGGGGGGGGGGGTACCATATATATATACATACATGCATACGTAACTTTGATAAACAGGTAATTACATACAGTCACATGATGATGTTATACTTCAACTCCTAGGCCCCTTCGGACTGCGATTGAGGTTGAGTACTGAAGAACAGTCGCAAGCGAATCTTGATGCGGTTGAACTTCACACTTCCGGTTTTGATGCCTCGGTGTGTGGAGGGGCCAGAATCCAGGACACGGTCCTTGCCGGTGATGCTTCGGATGTTGCGTGGGCGCCGGATGACAACACGACCCTCGACTTGGAACAGCAAGTTGACATGTCAAACATGGTATAGATTGGTGTAGGCCCAGGATGCGGCCTGCTCTTAGATGAGGTGCGTCCGTCTCGGAGAAACTTTTGACCCCATGCCCGTCCCCTAGTACTATTTCTTTTCCTATATACATAGTGTACATATCTGTCTATGTATATGTGTATAGACACATTTTGTGTGTTATTATACCTATTTGTATACACGTGTATCCTTTTTTATCATGCCCACACCCATAAGGTGAGATTTTGCAGGGTTCGCCTCCTGGCGGAGGGAAAGGGCAGCAAGCCCTAGCCACGAACCAAAGGTTCTCTCCAGACCTTTGAGCAGCGTAAGAGAGCTGTCCTCGTGACCAAATTCCGAAAGGCACGAAGCCGCACCCCTCCAAAGTCACCCCCCTGAACCCTAAACCCTAAACCCTAAACCCTAAACCCTAAACCCTAAACCCTAAAGGCAAAAAGCCCCTAAACCCTAAACCCTGAACCCTCAACCCTAAAACAAACACCTGAAGCAAGTTCAGGATCCTTGTCTGGGAGCGTCCGGCCTCACCGCCCTGGTGTCGGATGCCTGCTGGCTGGGCTTCGCATTTGGTTCGGGGTGCGGTTCCTTAAACCCTGCACCCTGAACCCTAAACACCAAACCCTAAACCCGAACCAGGAGGCTTTCGCCTAGAGTCCTGTATGTCAATAAGCTACCGTAATGAGAAGCTTCAGCCGTCTGGGACTCGGGTTTAGAGTTGGGGGACCGTTCAGCAGCGGAGGTTTTGATGCATGCTAACCCGCCTGAGCACAGCAGTTGCTATGCGGCAAGTTCCTTTGCAGAGGTGTTATGCTGCATCTAGGGCCGATCTGGGGCCGGTCAACCAAGTTTTGCCAAGTGCCTCCTCCCGAATCAGTTCTTGACCCTGCATGGGTGGGTGGGTGGGTGCGTACTCATGAGGTACCTTATCTCCCCCCATATAAACCCCGAAGTTAAGCAAACCCCCTAACAAACCCGGAGCCCTAAACCCGAGCAAAAAAGCCCAAACCCTCAGCCAAACCGTGCGAGTCGAAGTAATTCCAGGATACAGTAGGGATGTAGGTCCCCTCCTCCGCGGTCTTTAGGTACTCGCTGGCCGGCGAATGCCTCGCGCAGGTTGGGGATGCCCTGCCAAGGTGCAGAGCCGCAGCAATAAGAAGGATGATGATGGGATTAAGGGTTTAAGGCTCAGGTCCTGCGTGAAGGTTCAGGGGTGGTAACAAGTGAAGTTATAAGCAAGCTAACCTATGTTACATACAACGTCTTCAAACTACCCATGAGCCACCATGGAACCCTGAGTTCGCGTGGGGTCGAACGGGAGGGGAGGGGTGGGAAGCGGAATATGATTCCGCGCAGCAGACGAGAAAGGATATGGGGTGGGAGCTTCACGGGCCACCCACACCAATCCTGCTGCTGGTTCAGCTGTGTCAGAAACCCCCGACTCTTTTACTCACCGTGTGTTCTTGCAAGTTATCCTTACTGCCCCAAACCCGAAACCCGAAACCCTAAACGAAGTGAAGAGAGAAAAGAGGCAGAGAAAGATGTCAATGATGAGCGTGTTCATGAACGTACTGATGATGGCGGTTTTGGTCGCGAGGAACAGGGCGTGAGGAAAGGACACTTGAAACGAGCGATGGAAGCACAAGGAACTAGATTCGTTTCGTCCTTTGGCTCGCTAATGAATAAAAGTACTGAAAGGGTGTGAAAATGAGAGAGGAAAAAGTAGCAGAATTTCAATACGACAAGACCTGAAGCCTTGTTCCGCACCCTGAACCCCACACCCGAAACCCTGAACCCTAAACCTTCCTTATGCGACACGGGTGGGAAAAAAAAACCTTCCTTTTGAATCACCCTGAGGCCCGCCCGAAGCAGTCCGAATAGTATCTGAACTTCGGCCATAGTCTTGTCTGCCCTTTTCCCCGCAAACGCTTGCGAAACGGGTCGGAAAAAACCCCAAACCCCCTTCACCCGAAACCCGAAGCCCAACAGGGGAGGGGGGTCTGGTCTGGCTACACCGTTTTGTCGCCCCATTTGGTGCCTTGCCAGATCTGTTGCCCTTTCGCCCTCGGCGCAGCTGCTGGCGGCCTTGGGCCTGGATGGGCAGCTGCAGCTGCGCCACGGCTGTCACATAGGTTTAGGGTTTGGGGTTTAGGGTTCGGGTTTAGGGTTTAGGGTTTAGGGTTTAGGGTTTAGGGTTTAGGGTTTAGGGTTCAGGGTTCAGGGTTTAGGGTTTAGGGTTTAGGGCGGTTCAGTAGCGGTCTTAACAACAGCAACAATGAAGACAAGTGTGTTTTTTCAATATTCTAGCTCTAGCGTGTTTTGAGTGAGGTTCTGAGTTCGTGTATACGCGCAAGTCACATGCCCCCCGTTGCCCACCTGAGAGCTCCGGCCCGCTACTTTTTGTGTCAGGATGGCGACTTCCCTGGAACTGTCAGGTTACGCTGGAGGGGGTTCTTTTTGTAGGGCACTTCCCTTAGGAGCCATGTCCGTTAGATTCAGCTGCAGTGGCCGCGTGAGGGTCAGCGCTGTGAGCCGCCACATCCTCACCAATCTGCCGCACAACCTAGCAGCTTGGCCTCAGCGCTGTTTAGGGTTTCGGTTTCGGGGTTTAGGGTTTAGGGTTTGGGGTTGACAAAGCCGGTTCCACTTTTTTGGAGCATGGATAGGCGGGCGCACAGGATCCGCACAGGTTTTGTCTCGTTTTCCTTTATACTTTAAGTTCAGGAAAGGTATCAACCCTTCCTGCTTGATACAGTCTCTGACCTTTCTTGGCAGGCAGAGGCGACCATCCAACGTGAGGAGGGCGAGGTGCTCTTGGATGTCGTTTAGGGGGTTGTCAGGGCTAGGGCTGTGCACACACGTGTGCACGCACGATGTTCACTCACGGCATGCACGCACATGCGCGGGCACGCACATGTGTACACACGCACATGCACACGCCCTCACACCACCCACCCATCCTATGGGCCCTCACACCCAGCCCCAGATTTCGCACGCGCTGGCACAAGTGCCTGCATGCACACGCACACAGACAGCCTCTAAACTCCTTTGAGGTATTCCTTTGGGGGGAATACGTCGAGCTGGCCGATGGCGTTCCGGCCGCCAAGAGGGGATACAGCAGGATTCAGGCCTGTCCGTTCTGGTGAAAGGTTGGGCTTAGGGAAGGCTGGTTGTAGGGGCTACGTTTAGGATGTGGATTGTGAGCAGTTTGGACTGCAACCGGTCTATGTGACTAGTCTCTAAGAAACTGCTGGAACCATTGAGCTTTCGCACATGCTGGCCAAGTCATCTGTGAAGTGTTCCGTACAGGTTGTCTGTATGCTTCGTAGCATTCGGCCACGATTTTTCAGATATACGTAGAGGTTCGGCCCTTTCAAGACAGACAGCATGGCCCGCCGAGCGCCGCAGCTGCTGAGTGCCGTGCTCCTGGCGGCACTCTTCGTGTGGAACACGGCCTTCCTGCCGGTCGAAACGCCGGCTCCCAGACAGGCGGCCGCGGCAGCCGCCACCGCAGCTTTGTCAGTAGCTCCCCTGCCTGCACTGGCGGGAGAGCCTCCCAGCGTGGGCATTCACTGGTACTGGGACCTTGGCATTGGCACGATCCACGGAGAGACCGCCAGCATCATCATCTGGGTGTTCCTGGTCTGCACCATCTTCGCTTTGGCCGGAGCGGGTGGCAGCAGCCGCAAGAGCGCAGCATAATTACCTATAAGCTTTTCCGGACAGTTAGACGGTCCAGTCTGCGGGCATGGAAAAATCTGCTGCCGAAGAGTCCGCCGAACAGGAGTTTCAGTTGTGCACTTTCGCATGCAGAGCTCCCGATGTTGCCGTATGAGTATGCTAAAAGTGAGATGTGCACACTATTTGCTGTTTACCGTCTGCTCGGCAATGCTCAAAAAACTTAGCCTTGTCTGAAAGGAAGCTCAGGCTACGTAACCCCTTCCAAGACAGCATGGCCCGCCGAGCGCCGCAGCTGCTGAGTGCCGTGCTCCTGGCGGCACTCTTCGTGTGGAACACGGCCTTCCTGCCGGTCGAAACGCCGGCTCCCAGACAGGCGGCCGCGGCAGCCGCCACCGCAGCTTTGTCAGTAGCTCCCCTGCCTGCACTGGCGGGAGAGCCTCCCAGCGTGGGCATTCACTGGTACTGGGACCTTGGCATTGGCACGATCCACGGAGAGACCGCCAGCATCATCATCTGGGTGTTCCTGGTCTGCACCATCTTCGCTTTGGCCGGAGCGGGTGGCAGCAGCCGCAAGAGCGCAGCATAAACGCCTGAGCTTTCTAAGAGGGACTGTCTGACTAATGGCCTGCCTTTCTGGTGCGCCAATTTTTCGCGAGAAAAACATGTGCGCAGATCGCGCCCGCTGAGTGTTTCAACCCCGAACCACAGGGCCCGGCAATGCGAGCGCCTGAACCTAACGCGCCTTTGATGCAGGACCCTGCGAGCTTCTTGGAGGAGAAGCCTGTGCCGGAGACTTTGGATGCAGAGGGCATACCAAAGACGCTCGAACGCACCCTCCCGCACGCCTTGGTTCGCTCTTTCGGATTCTTGCAAAGGTTGGGCAATGCTGGGACCATGTTTGGCGACCAGCCGGAGCATTGTCAAGCATGTCTAGGATGTTCGAGAGTTGTGCCTCCCTAACAACAGCTTGTGCGACCTTAACCTTGCCCATTTCTGCGAAGAGATCTGGATGAGTGCATGCCAAGATGCCTTGCGCAGTACCGGTGCGTCCGTCATCCTTACAGAGTCATCCTCAGTCTAAGCCGACGCCTTGGATTGCACATGTGGCCACACGTAAGGCAAGGGATTACCGTCGCTGCCTGGAGCCCAGACGAGCGATTCCTGGCCACGAAGCACGAGTCGTACCCCAGTTCCACGGACGGAAGAGGGGATGGTTTCAGGTAAGGGGTCGATGTTTGGGGGGATGTGCTTCCAAGAAGTGCATTTCCCATGGAGGGGAGGGGGGACCCTAGTTTTTGACAAAAACCCAGTGATGTCACGAGACCTCCTAGATGTCCGATTCCAGGTGCCGTTTGGATTTGGGATCTTGGGCGGCTGGTCCTCCACTCCGTGCTCAGGCGCGGAACACGGATTGGGGCTCCCCCACCTTCAATCCCAGTGACACCATCGAAGCCCCACCCTGCTAAAGCGCATACCAAGCTAAGCCCCAAACCCCTAGAATGCCCAAAGCCTCATAAACCCTCCTAAGCCCTTTAGGCACCGCGGTGCCGTGGTGGCCCTCGCCTGGGACCCTACTGCGCGGGGGGGGCGGAGTCGGCTGGCGGGAAGCGCCCTGGCGTCATGGGGGTTCAGCTTGCAGCCTGCCTGGGAGGTTCCTAGGGTTTAGGGTCCTGCCGGCAGCCTCCTCAGTCCGTGCTTAAAAAGGGTCTTCGCTTGGCACCTCAGAGAGCCCGGGTTCAAAAAGGGGGTTTAGGGGTTCGGTTTACATTGCTTTGCCACAACGGCATTCTCTAGCCGGCTGGTGCAGACAAGGGCCCTATAACCATCCCGACGCCTCCAGCCAAAGTGCGCTGGCTTCAAGGTCTAAGGTTGTATTTGTTCTGGTATACTCTAGAAGTTTATCAAACACACACACACACACACATATATATATATATAGAGATATATAATGTATGTATGTATGTATGTATGTATGTATGTATGTATGTATGTATGTATGTATGTATGTATGTATGTATGTATGTATGTATGTATGTATGTATGTATGTATGTATGTATGTATATCTATATGTATATGTATATCTATATCTATATCTATATCTATATCTATATCTATATCTATATCTATATCTATATATAGAGTGTTACTTATCAATACACTGTATCACAGCATTTCTTCTCGTTTAAGGATGCAAGATCGGTGGCAGCAGTGCTCGTACGACCACATGCCAACATAGTCATATGTCATGTTGTATAGGCACGTTGGCAGGAATTGGACCTTGTAACATGAAACAAGCTCCTTTCGTGACATGTCAGCACTCAATATTGGTCAGCCCCTCCACTCAATGTAACCCCCTGGCGTAACCCCCTGGCACGAGTATCACGAGTGTGATTGTTGAGCCCGCCCCTTCTCTCCCAAAAAGGAAGAACTCAATCGTCAGCCGATTACAATTATACTTGCAAGATCCCTGGTTCCCTGTGCTGTTGCGCCACAAGTCAGGCACTGCAGATGCTGGACTTCTCCTTTGGACGCCGAGCAGTGCGACACTCGCGTCGGCGCCGTGCTTCGGCTTGGCAATGTTTGGGCCGGTTGTGTTGGTGGAACTGGCAGGGGGATAGGAGATCCTGAAAAAAAGCGCCGGTTGGGCAACTTTCAATTGGCACCAACCTCCTCCAAAAAAGGCTCTTATTTGCCTGCCGCCTAGCCCTCGAAGTCCTTTCAGCCAACGACCCTCCACGATACTGTTCCGGGATACCTGGATACCGGTTGCAGAAGACCCCGAGACTGGTGGGGGTTGGTGCCAGGATGGTGGCTGCCAAGCTTCGGTGGCGGAGCGATGGGCGAAGCTCCTTGCAAGCAGAAGCCAATTCCTGATACACTCCGGTTGGCTTTTCACACGGCTAGCTCGTGCTGGGCAAGTAAGCTCGATCTTGCGCACCTGGTCCCAGGGAAAGATGGCCGCGGACGTTCCCTCGCTGTTTCTTCCCCTGGTGTTGTTGCACCAGCCCCGTTGCCAAGGTGTGCTGCTGCAGGAGAGGCACAGCTTCTGCGCGTGCCAAGTGGGGTTGCCGGCGCTGGAAAAAGCTCGCGGATGTCCTGAATAAGTAACACGCACACGGGGCCTGGGTCCTCACACCTCAACCCCCCAAGAATTCACATACGTCCTACGCCAACCCGAACTTGGCTACTTAAAAGTTTGCCGAGTCGGCGCGGCGTGAGTTTGGCTGTGTGCCGTGGATCCTTGTCACAGGCCCAAGTGCCACTAGCGGCGCTGGCGGTCATGCTTTGTCCTCCAACGCAAGGCACCATGCGGTCAAGAAGCCAAGAAAAAGCCCTGGCAAGCAGCAATCATAAACCAGGCAGGGCCCTCGAAAAATAGCATCCTCTGGGAGAAGCATCAACCTATGGTAGACCTTGAGGCTTCGTTGTGTCGAGGTTTCGGGGATTCGGATCCAAAGTGTCATGGATGAAAGCCTTACGTCGGATCTCGACAGCGATGCGGAGACGGAGTGCCACGCGCTCCTCTCCGAGACCAGCAGGTACGCTCACGCAGTGTGGACGCGTGCACGCAGGGGCGGCGGTTCGAAGGCTTCGGTTGGACGTGTGTGGGTCTATTTATGGCATGTCAAAGCCCTCACAACCCTCATTCTTCCAGAAAAGGCGCTTGGCTTCTTGTGACTTCTTTTTGGGTGGCCATTCTGTCTGACGTTGCTTTGCCCGGACTGATGCTTACAGTACCTTCACGCTTCAGTCAGTGCAGGGTTCAGGAGGTGTCCTGTGTATGAGGCCAGCTTGTAGACACTTTGTTTTTTATATTTGCGGCTATAGATGTGCGCATGGCCCCGCGCTCTACCAGAAGGTCCTACAGAACTGAACCCAGGACTCCTAGCTTGCTGACAGAGGTCGGACGATCGCTGCTGCCGCTGTGGGCTGTGCTGCAAGGCTCTTCGGGAACCCCTGGGTGATTCTGTTGGGGGTGCGTTCGTGTTGTTAGAGTCAGAGTGGGCGCAGGTGGGCTGCACAGCTGTTGCAAGCGAACGCGAACGCACCAGAGCAGGCTTTAAAGGCTAACCCTGAGTCGCGGATGCTGTAGGCAGTAAGTAGGTTGACGTGTCTTCTTGTGAGCAAGAAGCTCGCATGAAGAGTACATACTCTGACACCCAATGCGCGTTCATACATACACGTCATACAGCAGTATATGTGTATAGAAATTCGTGTCTGTGTGTGTGTGGGTCCGATATGTGGTGGGTCGGTGTGTACGCCTGTGTATGTTTACCTGAATATGAATGTGAATATGAATATGATGAATATGATGAATATGAATTGTGCACAGAAATATGAATATGAATATGAATTTGAATATGAATATGAATATGAATATGTATATATATATAACATATATATATATATATAACATGTATATATATATATACATATATATATATATATAAGCATGTCTTTGTATACACATACATTAGACCTCAGTCGTTTCATAGGGTCCAAGCTTCTCTGGGCTACTTAAGGGGCTAAGCTGGCATCTCTCGTGGCTTCCTGTGGCTTCTGTGGAGCATTTGGTTGGGACATGACTCCCAGCCACACCCACACCACCCCCCCCCCCCCCCCCAAAAAAAAAAAAACAAAACAAAACAAAATAAAAGAAACAACTAACAAAAGCTAAGCCGGCCTTGTACGTAATCCGCAACAGCAAAACTCCCTTTAAGTCCTCACCTGCGCAAGGCCTGCCTCTTCCTATCCCTGTGCGCTCTTGTCCTTTGTGCCGTGTTCCGCGACGCTTTGGTCGCGCGCCTCGCGGGCTTAGGCGGGATCGGGGCCATTTCACTGACAGACCTCGTAGCAGGGCAATCGTCGTACAAGAGGATTCTGCGGATGTCCACGGGCGTTGCTTGGGGCGCATGCGGGCTTTTCGCCAGCATGCCTAAGAACTAAGATCACTGCCGCAGCTCTGTAATGTCTAGCTGCTCAGAGATTTTAAAACTGCCCTAAAACCCTAAGCCCCAACAACCCGAGAGCCCGAAACCCCAAACGTAAGCAGACTTTTAGAGTTAGGGCCGGTAAGGTTTCAGGGCTTAGATTCGGGGCCCAACAACAAATAAAGCATAAGGATCCTACCATTGGGGTATAAGGGCCCCCATATGGGGGGATTCTGGAACAACCATATTCGTAGAGTCCTTGTGTGGTTTCTTGGGCTCCTAATCTCAGCCCAAATTCCGAATCCGGTGGTCGTGAAAGAGCCACCTCCACTGCAGGCATTGCAGCGGCCCGGATCCAGCTCCCTGCCTATGTAGGCTTCGGGTTTACGGGTTTAGGGTTGAGGGTGCAGCAGTCCTAGCCGTAAAAGGGTTGAGGGTTTAGGGCTTAGGGTTTAGGGGGGTTAGGGTTGGGTTAGGGTTTGGGAAGGTTTAGGGTTCGGGTTTAGGGCTCAGGGGGTTGGAGCCTGGCAAAGGCTTGGGGTTTAGGAGGCTGGGGTTTCGGCTGCGGTTCTTGGAGGGCTTCGCCGCCCCTAAACCCTAAAGCCCAAAGGGGGGGAAAAACATCTGCAAGTGTGGTTGCTAGGCAGGTGGCAAAAAAACCTTAACACCCCACGACCTGAACTCAACCCTTAGGGTCACGAGGGCCTGGCGTCCAACCTCGCCTTGCCAGCTGAACCTTGCAAAGTGGATCGAGCTCGGACTTAAAGGATTGGCTATCTGCCAGAGGCCCTGGATATACCAATGTAAAATGCGAACATAAGAAGACATATGTGTATATATATATATATATATGTATATATGTATGTATACGTATATGTATGAATATGTGTACACGATGCGATATACCAATATAGTAATATACTAAGGTAGCAATATGCACATGCAAACAAAAACGCAAGTAGAAGAGTATGCGAATAAAATACGTTGGCTAGTACGACTGGCTATTCAACGGGCCTCGGCTGCGTATCACTGAGGCGATGCGCAGGCCCTCACGTGAGCGCCCGAAACCTTTTCCCACTTTGAAGAAACAAAGGGTTAAACGCCTTGCACGATGCGTAGGTAGCTTAGAAAAAATGTAGGTCCTTCAACTCCTAAGGCAGACCTCAACCCGGAGACCCTCCAAGCCTGGAAGATTATACATTTGTCTCGGGTTTTGGGGTCAGTGATTACAGATAGTACGTTTTGTAAGCGTTTTTCGGTTAGGGGACTTTCTCCAGACTCTCCGGCCTCAGTTTCGAGTCCGTCGATGTGGGCACGATCCGAAACTCTGCGACCCTGGACCCGCGGATCGTCGCCTGGATCGCGCGCCCAAGCCCAGTGGGCGTCGATGTGAGGACAGTGGTGCAGGTCCCTTCAGGGACTTTAGGGTCGTGACCTCCTGCCCATAAGATCGACAGAAGCGTTGGATGTTCAGTTCGGAGTGGTTCTGGAAATGCGAGTTGTCCTGTAGTTTCATGCCCTGTTGCCATCTGTTGCCTGTGGGCATGGGTAGCTTGGAGTAGCTCTAGTCTAGCAGGCAGGCAGTACACAGTAGACAGCTATCGGTACAAGTAGAATGAAGCACCAGCAACAAGTACACAAAAAATACCAACGAGAGGGGAGCAACACCAAAACACAATCATACCACAGACGCAGTCACTGCAACTACGACGGCGACAGCCGTGACCCCGGGATACTCTTCGGGGGTTTCTTGGGCGCTCTCTCCTGCGAACGTCTCGGGTGGACATTCTCTGGGGGTGATGCTCTACAGGATTGTTGTGGGTTTCTCTACTTCGTTATCGTATTCAAAGTGTCAATGATTATTGTGCCTTGAAGGAGAGTTATTAATAGCTATTAGAGTAGGTCTCACAACAACAAATTAAATGCTGTATACCGTTGTTTTTCTCCGAGAGGTTTGAAGAAAGGGGGCTCACGGAAACAGTTTGCGACCAAAGCCGAAGCCAAGCTGGATCTAAACCCGAACGGCCCGGAAACCCCTAAACCCATCTTGATTTAGTGTTTCCATGGAGGTGTGGCACAGACCAACAGGCCGATCTGACATCGCCTTGTTTGTCTCGTACAGAATATGCCATATGCCCTGCAATGTGGACTTTCGTTCAGCTAGGCGGGAAGCAAGAACTCTAAACCCTAAACCCTAAACCCTTTTCCCCTAAACCCCGGATGTGCGGAGCCTCCGAGTCCCTACGCGCAGGCCCCAAACCCTTAAGCAAACAAATGCACCCAACCCCAAGCCCTAGGTGGGAGCGAAAAACAACAAGCAAGATTGTATACCTATTAAATGCACATACTTACACATGCACATAGTTTCTACATGTAAACGAATAAAATCAGTATCATTAAATTCAAACGGCTTTACTTATTATAAGTTTACGAATGCAAATCTAGAACACATATACATATACATGTGTATATATATATATATATATATATGTGTGTGTGTGTGTGTGTGTGTGTGTGTGTGTGTGTGTGTGTGTGTGTGTGTGTGTGTGTGTGTGTGTGTGTGTGTGTGTGTGTGTGTGTGTGTGTGTGTGTGTATGTTTGTCTGTATACATATATACATATATACATATTTGTACATGTATACCCTCCTCTCTTTGTTTGCAAAGCCCCCAGGATGACGCGGCTGGTGCTGAAAGTGCCGACCTTCCCCACCGGTGCCCTGGCCCGCGTGGGCACGGTGACCATGCCGAGCTTGAGGGTCGAGGCCGCTTGGGGAGGGGGGAGGTTTAGGGTTTAGGGTTTAGGGGGTTTAGGGTTTAGGGTTTGGGGTTTGGGGTTTAGAGTTTAGGGTTTTAACTTTGAACTCCTTCCCATTGTGTTGGTTTGAAGGAATGCTAATCGACGGACCTTTGACGAGCATGACCTTCATGGCTTAAGAGAGCGCCGGGGGGGGGTTGGGGGGGGGGGGGGGAGCTGCCCCAAAACCCCACACCACAGGCCCCGAACCGCAGGTATAAAAGCTAAACCCTGAACGACAGGCTTTCCAAGACCTACGCATCAACGTCACGGCCCATGTGGACATCGAGGACTTCGACGTCTTTGGTCTAGCAGGCCTGCCTGTGCATGCCAGGTAGTAGGTAGCGATGTGGGGGCTTGGGTTGAGGGTTTTGAGAGTTTCAACACGGTTTTTTCGCGGGGTTGAGATGCTTTCAGTGGGACTTCTCTAAGTGCTTGCTGGTGTTAGTGATTGTTTTTGGTGAGAGAATCTCAGTTGGGGTGTCCCCAAAAAAGGCATCTTGTGCGTTATGGTTCCGCAGACAAAGGGGCCCCCACCTTGATGGAGCCCACTTGCCGAAAAGAAAGCTACTGTAAGCTTTTTGAGACCTGAGCAGGCAAGCATGCTGTACGGGAGCGCGACTCTGGCTGGGTGGTGGAAGGGAAACTGCAGGCAGGTCCAGCGCTTTAAGCTTTCTCACGACCCGACTTCTCTCAACTTGCGAACAAGAAGAGTGGACTCCTGTGGGCACAAGCACCGGTTTGGCAAGAAAGCGTCCGCGAAGCATCTCCCGTGTAGCCCAGCCATGAATCTGAACTGCCAAACCCCAGGCTATGCCCAGCCATAAATCCCCACAGAACCCTCAACGGCTAAAGCCTTCAGCGTTCGGCAGGTCCACTGTGAACTCCCACTCTTCACGCTTGACTTGCCTGATATCCCCTTCCAGCGGCAAGTGGCCCTGAAAGGCCAACCTTTCAGCGTTGTCGGGGTAAGACAGGGCTCGAAGGTTCAATCGGATGGGTTTTGATCCCAGGGTTCATGTTCCACTGTGGCTGACAAAGTCGTTGGGAAGACCCCGCAGATTATCTGGTGAGGTTGGCAGGCTACTGCAAATCTAACGCTTTTAATTTTGTAGGCAACTAGAGCCCACCTTGTTTCACACGAGGCATGGCAGGCTTCGCCCAAGATGCCAACCCAGTTACCATGGAGGCGCAACTGCGCTACAAAGCTGTGCATGACTGCGGAAGCAAACCATGACAGTCGAGAGAAGGACTCCTACGAACAGAGCCGAGCTTTAATTATAAATCCCTGAACCCTCAGATCTTTGATGCATGATACAGCGAGGCCTTAGGATTCGGGGTCGGTTTTGCACAAGAGGCGATCACCAGTGCCTATGGCTACCCAGACCACCTCGACACCACTGTGGCCATCAGAATCTACAACCCCTCCTACCTCTCAGCGCGCCTTGTGGCTGTGCCTGCAATCAGAGGGACTCCAGCGGTTCGGGCATGCTTGAGATCGGGCTGCCGAGTCCAAACATGGAGATTCAAGGAATCCCAGAAGTTTTGTCAGTATCCGCCTAAGTCCCTGACCGTGGTTTGAATTCTGAGAGACTTTCGTATGCTTCAACCTCAGGCTCCTCTTGCAGGGTCCTACGCCCTGAGATCCAGGACACGCCCACGCAGTTCAACATCACCCAGCGGGGGCAGCCCTTCGGGACGGCAGTGGTCCAGGAGGCGTGCCTTCGGGCACCTTAGATGGAAGCAGCAGTGCCTCCACTCCAGATCCTGAACCTTGAGCTTCACGCCAAGACTCCAGCAAGATGTGTTTGTGTGCAGGTTGCCCTTAAGCCTGGGCACAACACGGTGAACGTCACTCGCCGCATTGGATGGGCCTTAGCTGTGCAGCCACTGCTCTCCACGACCCCGCCCTCATCTCCCAACTTGTTTCAGCAACCGGCCAAGCAACACTTTTTCTGCAGTACAACCTGTGAATGCTCCGAGAATTCGCCCATGGGAGGTACGGTTCTTGCTGCATGATGACAGCTCCAACCGGGAGGCCGTGCGCGCCTTCATCCTCGGCCGCTCGGCACTGTGAGAGCGATCGAAGCTGTAGTCTGGGCCTTCTGATGCCCACTGCATCCAGGAGGATGCGACGCCACATCCGCCATACTGCGCTATGCTCTCTGCATCTTGACCTGCCGCGATATATGCAGTTGCAGATGTTCGGCTTAAGTCGCCGAGGCTACATCCTGGCAGACACGCAAATGGTCACCATGCACGGCTCAAAGAGGCGCCAGAAGGGGTGGGGGTTGTTTTTGGGTATATTTTTTGTTTTTTTTTGGTAGTTTTTTTGGTTTTCTAAACCCTAAACCCTAAACCCTAAATCCTAAACCCTAAACCCTAAACCCTAAACCCTAAGTCCCAAAACCCTAAAAACCTAAAACCCTAAAACACCCTAAAACCACCCTAAAACCCTAAAACCCTAAAACCCTAAAACCCTAAAACCCTAAAACCCTAAAACCCTAAAACCCTAAAACCCTAAAACCCTAAAACCCTAAAACCCTAAAACCCTAAAACCCTAAAACCCTAAAACCCTAAAACCCTAAAAAAACCCTAAAACCCTAAACCCTAAAAACCTAAAACCCTAAACCTAAAACCCTAAAACCCTAAAACCCTACCCTAAACCCTAAAACCCTAAAACCCTAAAACCCTAAAACCCTAAAAAACCCTAAAACCCTAAAACCCTAAAACCCCCTAAAACCCCTAAAACCCTAAACCCTAACCCCTAGCCCCTAAGCCCTAAACCCAAAAAAAACCCTAAACCCAAAAACATACCCAAAAAAAACCAAAAAAAACACCCCAAAAAACCTGGCTCCCGCCAGAAGCGTGCCCCCCCCCCCCCCTCCCCCCGCCCCCACATCCTCTGCCTGCCCATCATGCCACGGCACGGTGTGCAGGTCCTGCTCTGACCCACTCCTGGCCGTCGTGCTGAGCCTTGGCCTCGTGCGATCGCAAAACGTACGTAAGCATGTTTTGAGGGAGGGGTCTGTCAAAGCCCGTTGCCTTCTCCTCCTCCATGAGATCCTGTCAGATTTGCCTGGAGGCAGCTAGACGCAGCTAGGCCTGAAGCCAGGGCATTGGAGCTCACAGAAACCGTACAATACATGCAGATGTGTGTGTGTGAGTGTGTGCATACACGTACATATATACATATATATATGTATACATACATGGACTCTCTCTCTCTCTACATACATATAACCGCACATGTGTACACACATGCATCAAAACTTGTCCTTGAGCTCTCGAAGCATTCGAGGACTGGCTTAAACCTCAGCTTCCGCTTCAAACCGCCCCCGGCTCCATGGCCTGACCTTGGATCGGGCTCTGCTACAGAATCCTTCGTGTTGTTTTGGGGGACATCTCATTCGGGATGTCAACAAGTCCCGCACCGTCCTTCCCCAAGCTCGAAACAGCCCAAACACTCAGCATGACCTACCCTGTACCCCTGCAACCCTACAACCAAAAGCCTCAGAGCTCAGGCAAGCTTCATCCACCACATCACGGCCAACCTGGGGCTCATCGGCCTGCAGGCGCGCAGGGGTGGTGGGGCGTTTTAGGGTTTGGGGGGTCCAGGGTTTAAGGTTTAGGGTTTAGGGCCAGGGTTCCATGAGAAAACACTGTAAGAGATCCTGTTTGCACATCGGCGGCTGTGAATTCCGGACGCCGCCACCAGGCTTGAGCCTGAGCCCGAAGCCAGAGATTCCCAACCCCCTCAGTCCCACCGGCTCTTTGATGTCATACTCTTGTCTGGGAGGTCACGGCGCAGATTGCGAACCCGCTGCTGGGACACGCTGGGCCAGGAAACGATGATTGAGACAAGAGTGCAATCGCATTAAACCGCCCATGATGCCCACAGTATCGGCTGATCACAGCAGGGGCAATCTGCTTCCACACCAGTGTGAGATGGATTCGCTTTTGTTGAGCCTTCCCAAATTTACGTCGGCGAGTTTCTTCTGAGGCTGCCACAAGAGATTGTGATTGGTGCGACGGACCTGTCCGTGCGCGAGAACACCGTGCAAGGACACGACCTAAACCCTAAACCCTAAGCTCTAAACCCTAAGCCCTAAACGCTAAGCCCGAAGCCCCAAACCCTAAACCCTAAGCTCCTGCAGCTTTGTGTGGCTGTTTAAATGGGCTCTAAGTTGACACATCAGCTACGTTGCTTTTGGGGGCTGGGGATGTTGTACTTTGATTGACGCGCGGTTCTGCGACGGGTTCACAGTGGTTACATAAAGGTAACCATGTATCAGGATGTTCATAAGTGATGCACAAGTGTGTTGTGGCAAGTTGTATTCCATGATAACGATAGAGTCTTAGAGCCCTTGCGAGGGTTTAGCAAAACATGAAGAACAACGTGACAAACGTTTGCTCGAGCTGCCAGACTTAGGATTGCAGTTGCTAAGGACCTATGTTGAATTGGCTAAGTGGCTACTGGACTCAGCGAGTAAGTAAAGACTAAGGAACCCTAAACCCTAAAATTAAGAAGTGAGAGGGATGCGTCACTGGAAGAAAGGAGAGCAGATCTTTCGCTTGAAAGGCGACGAAGATTCGGGCTCCGCGGCAGCACTCCTGCTCGGTTTAGGGTTTAGGGTTTCCTTAAACCTTGTGTAAGTACACGCAAACCCACGGAGATTTCAGAGTATCCCAGCACCTTCTTGCCGTAGCGGCGGCACCTCTCGAATCGCGAACTGGATTGGCTCCTGTGTCCTTAAGTCCTGAATGCGAGCCACCGGCGCCCGAAACACACACATCCCAAGCTTCATCTGGTTGAGGTCTTGGGGGACAGATCCTGCGTCCCAGCATCATCTCCGAGCTGGAGCTGTCCTTAAGTTCTTTGGCTGTGAGAGGGCTGAGGGAGGAGTCCGTGTCAGGTTTTCGTCTCGGCAGCAAAACCCTGAAAAGTGCCATGGACTTGCTGTTGCTTCAACTCACCTGCAGGCACTTTGGACGCAGATCTCAAGGACCCCTTGCTGGTCGCACGCCTCATCGAAGATGCTGTGGACGGGTCCGTGGTGGTGCCTCGGAGCCAAGTTGGTGTAGAGGAATTAGCTGGAACCCACGTTTGCATCAACCCGTTCAGGCTTCGTCTTCGGGTGACCTATGGGTCAAAGTAGATTATTCTGGTCGTCAGAAGTTACAGAGGGTGCGGCAGAGCGGGGCCATTGTGCCTTGTGATTGTTAAACTCTCTCCACACAAACATACACGTCTCTCTATTTATATATATACACACATATATAGATATAGATATAGATATATATATATATATGGTTTGGAGGTAAAATGAGTCCGCTGCGTTTTTGTTGCTTTCTCTTTCACTTGACATGCAAATATGTCTTCCGCATCTTGAATCTATGCTCACTTGTGCCATAGTTATACGTGCTCGAAGTATTTCGACTATTTTGTCGTAGCAAAAGAGGCTTGCCATGGCAAGTTTTGTAGGGGATGAGGGTGGGCTGGATGGGACACTCACCTTCGACGAGGAAGTAATTATGTAATAATTAATTAAATAAAAATAAATTAATTCATAATTAATACTTAATGAATAATGAATTAATAACGACAAAATGATTTAATAATTAAATAAATAATTAATCAATAATATATTATAAATTAATTAATCGTGGAAAATCGGAAATTAGTTAATAAATAATTAATACTTAAATAATAATTAATAATTAATACTTAAAAATTAATATAATAATTAATAATTAATAATTAAATATTAAAATTAATAATTTAATAATGAGTATTATAATTAATAATTAAAAATTATAATTAATGAATAATGAATAATGAGTAATGAATTTAATAATTAATAATTACTAATTAATAATTAATGATTATAATTAATACTTAGCATAATAATTAATGAATAATGAATAATGAATAATTAATAATTCATAATTAGTTCATATTTAATAATTAATTAATAATAAATCAATTGATAATTATTACGTAACCACTTAATAATTAACTAATCATCAATTAATAATTAATTAATACTATTAATGATGAATCATTAATGAATATTGAATGATAATTTATTAATAATAATTAATAATTATTTAAAAGTACTGAATTTAAGATTAATTCATAATTGAAATATAATTAATTAATAATCAATTAATAATTCGTTAATAATTAATACTTAATTGATAATTAATTAATTAAGAATTAATCAATCATTAAATAGTAAATAATTAATACTTAATTTTTATTATTTAATAATTAATTAATAAACAATTAATTGTTAATTGATAATTAATAATTAATAATTAAGCAGTTATTAATTAATGGGTTTAGGTTAGGGTTTACGGTTTAAGGATAAGGTTTAGGAAATTACGGTTTAAGGTTTAAAGGTTAGAATTTAAGGTTTCGATTTTAAGTTTTAAGGTTATCGCTACTGGCCAGCGAATTAATTGTTAATTATTTGTCAATGAATAAATTGAATTAATTATTAATTAACAATTAATTACTTCATGCTTAATGAATGATTAATGAATAAATTAATTATTAATAATTAATTCATAATTACTAATTAATCAACAAATTAATAAGTAATAAATAAATTAACAAGTAATTAATAGTCAAATTATAGTAAACCATAAAAAACTATGAATCAATAATGAATTAATAGTTCATTATTATTTCATTAAGACTTATATGCTGTTGCAAATCATGCTTAGGCTCCTCTGCCACCCCTAGGGGTTGCAGCAGGGCTATAGAGATGCCGAAAACTGGAAAACCAAACACCGCCAAAACCAACAAAAAACCAAAAACTGGAAAACCAAAAAAACCAAAACCAAAAAAACCAAAACCAAAAAAACCAAAAAAACCAAAAAAACCAATTTTGAGGAACTTTTCGATGTAAGGGCTGATAATAAGCCACTTCCAGGAGTTCCCCAAAATTGGTTTTTTTAGTTTTTTTGGTTTTTTTGGTTTTGGTTTTTTTGGTTTTGGTTTTTTTGGTTTTGGTTTTTTTGGTTTTCCAGTTTTTGCTTTTTTGTTGTGTGGGTATAATGAGTTCGCTGCGAGAAAGCAACAAAAACGCAGCGGGCTCATTTTACCCCCAAACCATATATATATATGTATAGTGCTTCCCTGCCCTCGACCCTCAATTACCACACCCATGAGCGACCTCAGGGAAAACACTGATGGTAGCAGCTCCGCTCCCAGAAGCCCTCATCAAGAGTGCGAGCCGCAGCGCGCCTCAAGGTGGGCGTTTCTGGACCATTGTCTTTGACCATCGCACCCAACTTCACCCTGCCGCTCGGCGTTCAGGGTCTCAGGATTGCTGCGGCGAACTCTATATGCTACACTTGGACAAGTTAGCAGAGTATCTGGCATCGGAAGAGACACACAGCTTAGCTTGGTATGCTCCACCGACAAACTCCCAACACAGAGGACGTTGAACTACATGGCAAACAACGTCACGGCCTCATTGACATGCCTCGCGGTGTGTGGCTCGTCGCACAGCCACTTGCCAAACATTAAGTACACAACGGTCGGCGCATTGGGGTGGATAGGCAGGTGGCAGATGCTTTTGTCATCCCCGCCATGAGTCTCCCTAAGCCTGCTTTTGATGCCTCCTTCATACCCAGGTCTGCTGAACCCCGCGAACTGGTTTCCCAGTGTCGGAGGTTGATCGAAGACCCCGCAAAGCGCATCGCAAGTGCCATGGAGCACGCGATCTGGGATGTCACTCAGAGATCGCACCCGGACATCCGGAAAGATAGCTGGCGAGAACATGCGAGAACCACGGCGGCGTGTGCACCCTCGCGATTCTGGAGAAGAGAGGTACGCAGCTGGAGTGCAGATGGTGGCTTGGTCCCGCCCCGGCATGTCCCAACTTTGCTTTGCTGCCCTTCCACTCAACCACCTGCGGCAAGATGCCTTCCGCAAGCAGAAGGCCTGAACTGTTCTGAACAGTCCTTATCATTCCGCAAGCGCTGCGGGCCATCCCCACAAGAGGGAGTCGATGTGTAAATTGATAGTTTTGAACACTGTTTGAAACATTCCTTCGACTTACGGGCGTTGCCACCGGCGTCTTTCAACGAGTCCTGAGCCCCTTTCGGAGAAGCGTTATTCCCCGACCTCGGTGGCCTTTGCTGACTGTTTTGGCCGCAGCCTGAGAGGCATCGCACGGTTTTGCGCTGTCAGGCGTCAGCTCCCTGTTGTGAGAGGCCTCTGTGGCTCAAGATCTGAAGGTGTGTTCGGGGCTTATGAGAGTTCAGAGTTTCGGGCGTTTTGGAGGGTTTCTGTTGTTACAGTTGTAAGGATTGTAAATTGTAAGGTTCGTGCAATGGAATGGGCGCGAGGCAAGAAAGGGCCGCAGAGTGCTGTAGGTTCCCTGCGTTGGCCTGGCATGGTTATTCCGCCGTACACCGGGCATGCAGCACGCGCCAGGAGGGCGCAGGCCCAACTTTGTATGAGACATGCGTCTTGTTGCCTCTTTTGCATAGGCCTCCTTTCTTGATGGCACTTTGCAAGAAAGCCGACCAAATCGAAGGTCCGCAAATCGAAGTAACAAGGCATCGAGGCCTCCTAGTCTTTTTTTCAGGGCTGAAGGCTGGCCTTGAAGCCCCTAAGAAGAGACTCCTAGGCAACCTACAAAAGACATGGAGGTGGTTCTTTATGAAGGTTGGATCTGAATATAGGCGTTCAAGTGCTCACAGATTTCATGAAGTTTCTTGGAAAAAAGGAGTTCAGGCCCAGGTTAAGAAGCCCGCACACTCTCAAAGATGAATGGTGGAATGCTTTGCTATAGTTTGTTAGCGTCATCCCTCGATGCAGTGGTGAGCTGGCCCAAGGCTGACTTCGTTTGGGGTCCAGTGGTAGCTAGCTAGATCTCAGGCAAGGCTGGGTGCAGGCCAGCCACTTGGCATCTCGATGAGCGCCAGTCAGTTGCAGCCAGCATGTGGTGACTGGGACTCCTGCAGCCATCTACTTGCGGCGCGAGGAGGCAGTACATCTAGTGAGCATGCCTTGAATCATCTGACAAGGTATGTTCATCCACTGGCTCTTTGTCCTCATGGTGAATCCTGTGCAGCTCATAAGCGCCTTTGCGAAGGAGGAACTAGTGTGGCAGATATTTGCCACCATTCGGTTTTTCTTCACGGAAGGCCCAGCCGTGGAGAGTGGGACAACTGTGCAGTTTTGAGCGGGTCAGACTTTGATTATGTTGAGGAGGGGAGGGCAGCGGCGGGGTACAAGCTTCTTTGTGGGAAGCACACGCTATCAGAAACCAAAGAGTTGAGCATCGCGGAGAGGCTGGACAATGAAGGAATGAGCTTGCTACGCAGGGAACTAAAAATCCATAATTTGGAGTTCGAGATGAGTCTTGTTGACACAGTGGTGCCTCGACTGCGGCGCAATCCTCGCCTTCGAGAGGCAAGTTCTGCGATTCCTTGGTTGACGTCCACACCGTGCCCGCCTTCCGAGTTCGATGTGCACTTTCAAGTTGGGTATCACAAGAAGAAGCTTGGCCTGCTGAGGAAGCTGAAAGAACGGCCAATAACAGATGCCGAGCTGCTGGCATGTCTGCTATGTACTGGCACGGATGCACAGGGCCTGATCCGAAGAGCCTTGCGCTCGCCTTCAAGTACAGGCGATGCCAAGGGATGGAAGTGGACATGCCATGCACTTCGTCATGCTGCTATCAAGCTAGCAGAGCCTCCCCCAAGTGTTCTCTATCATGGGCTGAACAACGTCCAGCCGCCAGATCCTGATTCATTGTACTATCCGACTGAGTACGACTCCGACGATATGGATCCGCCAGTCGAACTCCCACCTTCAGGTAGCTACAGCAACTTCATCAGTGGAAGTATGAGCATTGACATGGCGCGCAAGTTCGCAGTTGGAGGTGGGGGCACAGTCGCGAATCCTAGCTCCAGCGGATGTGTGCTGCACATCTCTCTTGGTGAAGGGGCCGGCAAGCTCAGCTGGAGAAGTGAAGGCTTGATTGTTGCGGACATGCGTTGGATCTCAAAGTTTCCCGATGAGCAAGAGTGGTTGATTGTACCAACCGCCCCCAACTTAGCCTTGTACTTTCAGCAAGATCCCGTCACGGAACGAACACCTTTCGGCGGCGAGATCATCCACCTGAAGTGCGAATGGTGGCGGGTGGGGGACGACCCCAGTATAGTCGATGAGCATTGGCAGCCGTACAGGGACCCATGGGGCCCAGATGACAACATGCCCTGCTCGCTTCTGTGAAGCACTTCTACCTCGAGTCGGACTGAAGACCAGCTTTCTGTCAAGGACCTTAAACTAAATTACCGAGCATGAGCACCATCATGTACACGGTATACCCATATGATGTTCACGTGTTTTGAGTTCATGTGCAACCCAAACACTGCGGGGCATGGGTCAACCATGCAGTGCCCTAGGTGACGTCATGCGCTGTCATTTTGATGACCGCTTCAGCGCAGGAACAAGAACGTGAGCTTGCACGGTCTCCTTAGAACTGAACTCGAAATTGCAAACGGCGACGCCGCACCCTGAAAGCAAGGCACCTTAAAACACTAAACCGTAAAGCCTAAACCCGGCCTTGTGAGAGAGTGAGCGTCGAAACCCAGAGTGCTGAGCTATAACCCTAAACGGGTCAAACTAATTATCGTAGCCTCCAGCGAATGCAGACAGAGACGGACACAGAGACATATAGAGACGGAGAGACACATAGATGGACAAAGAGAGACACAGAAAGCCACAGCGAGAGACAGAGAAAGCCCCCAGTCCATAACCCAACTCGCAGGCGTTGCCCTTCCCACCGCCAAACCCTGACGCTTCGCCGGCTGTCGAGGCGAGTACGGAATTAGGGTTCAGCCCAGGCTTAGAGGCTTAGAGGCCTGGATGCAATGAGGGTTTTTGGTTTGGGGTCAGAGTCTGGAGTTTTGGGCTCAGAGCCACAGCACGGCACAAGCAGACCGCAGCACAAAGTGCGAACCTTAGGGTTTAGAGTGTTAAGGATAGGACCAAACATGAAGGAAATGTTTGGTCAGAAATGCAGCCTACTGAACCCTAAGCCCCCAAACGCCTAAACCCTAGATCCTAACTCCTGACCCCTCAACCCTAAACCCAAAATAACCTAAAACCACAAAGCAAGCACCTAAACCCAAAAGTCTAAACTGGTCGAGGCCGAGCCGCCTGAAGGACGCCTAGAAGACCACTGCCAGAAGGAGAAACACCCGAGCCAGCGGACGCCGGTGTGAACTTCATCTACCTAGCACATCGAGCATGTCCCATACAACATATAAAGCCACGCCCTATGAGCCCGAGTTAGGGTGGGGGCTGGCATTCTTCATTGTGAGCTTCATTGTGAGCGAAGTCCAATCCAGAGTCCATCAGGCTCAAGGCCGCGCCCAATCCCGCTCGCAGCGTGTTCCTTGTCATGCTCTTCCTGCCTGTCCGGCACCTTATAAATCCTAAAGCCCCTGTAAACTCCTAAGCCCAAAGAAATATGGGGTTTACGAAAATAAGGGGCCCCTAATATAGACCCCCAACTAGTAGGATCCCCTTATAATGAGAGTCCCAAGAAGGTACCCCCAATTTCGGACACCCCCATATCGTGAATCCTCAACTCAAGCCTCGTGGTGCCATGAGTGCGCGGCCACGAGAGCGTCGTCCGCTGAAGTCGGTGAGGCCAGTGGCTGAAGGTGCTTTAGAGTTTCGAGGCCTTCGAGCCTTCTTGCATAGGAAGTAGGGCCTACGGAGGCCCACTGAGCCCAATAGGAGAGCCAGCCCCATCTCGCCCGGAGATATCTGCCATATAAGCGCCTTTTGCACAGCACTTCGATCTGCAATTCGCAGGAATGTGAGATTTCGAGACTTCGCCGCCCTCACTGGGCCACTGGCGGGCTGCAAGGAGGTATCGCCCAGGGCTTTCGTGAAGAACAGGCTCTCTTGTTTTTGATGGTTAGCATCTGTTGTGCAGAGCATGCAAGTCATGAGGTTTATGGAAAAGGCCTGCATGAAGGGCCCAGAACTAGGGGACGTGGACGATTGTTCCGTTCCGCTAGAGCGGCTAGGGTTCGGGAGGGCAGAGTGGGGAGGTGGGAGGGTGCGCAGGAAACATGGATTCCGTGCAGCCGTGAAGGTGGCACGATACCCGCCCTTCGCGGATGTGGACTTCATGTGGCAGGACACTCGTCCGCCAAGGATGGCTTTGCACAGCCGGTCAGCCTGCAGCATCAACCTGAGCTGCACTTGCTGCACTTGCTGAGCTAGGTGCTGCTGGCGGAGAGTGGTAGTTTCCAACCAGTCCAGGACAAGGACCGTTGGGACGATGTCTGCCTTTGCCGTTGCCGATTAATGCCTTTGCAGCTTCAGTTCTTCACCTTTCTGTGCTGCGATTGCGCTGTCAGTGCAGGACGAGACAGTGTGCAGTTTGTCTTCGGCTGGGCACGTGGTTGTGTGCGCTGCCGCGGAGGTCGGGGCTTGATTCGGAGAGTTGCGGCTTGGAGGGCTGAGGTGAAACCCCAATCAGATTCAATGGCGTAGAGACGCACCACGAAGTGTGACAACACTAGTGGGATCTCCCTCCATGACAGCGGTTGCCTTCCAGCAGGTTCATCACCTGACGGATTTTGGCGTGCAGGTGTCCTCCAATGCAAAGCCCTTCACAAGCTTCTCAGTTCGAGAGCAGGCCAGCTGAGTGAAGCTTCAGACCCTGAGAACCAAGAGCCCCAAGGCCCCAGCCAAATCCAACAGCAGCGCGGAAGCCTGAAACCCCTTCAAACACCCAGCAAACAGCGAAACCCAGCACCTCCCAACCCCAAAGCCCGTGTGGATGGGCTCAGCCACACCAAACAAGCCTGAGCCTGAGCCCGAATGCCGCAAGGGGGAGCTTCCTCCGCATCTTGCTGGCCTGGCCCTCTGGGTCCGCACCACTCCGCCTCAGGCGGGAATTCCCGGAACGGACTTTTGGGTTAGGATCCGGGGTTGCGAGCATGAGTTCTGCTCCGAGAGCCCGGAGGTCTTGCCAGGCAAGTTCCAGGCCCGAAAAAAACTTAAACAGCCCTAAACCTACCAAAGCCCCTACCCTTCAGTCCTTGCCTGCTTGTGCGAGTGCGAGAGTCGAAAGACCCGAAGCACAAAGCCTCTCCTGCCTCGAGGCCTCGCATTGCGTGCGCCCGTGCCGCCTGAGCGCGGAGGAGGTCGTGGAGACGGGTCCCTGTTCCCTCGTGGTGCCCTGGATTGAACCCATTGTCTGTCAAGGCATAAACATACGAGGAGGTAATTGTGCTTACTTGGGCTTCAGTGTTGCTTACATATACAACAGGGGATTCTGAGTAGTCAGGGTGGCATGAAGGTGCTTCAAGGACACCCCAAGGCCTGAAAGCCTCAGAACATGAGCCTGGCAATCGAAAAGAAGCCGTAGTTGCTCAGGGCGGCTGAGGGTCTAGACTAGCATGTTCCTTCCGAGGCAACGTTGCTTAGATCGTCTACTGACTTAATGACCGACAGGTGCTGACAGCACTTCGTTTTTCAACATGTACTTGAACATGGACTTTCCAGAGGAAAGTACACAGGCATGGACAACGTAAACCGTTGAAAATCAACAAATCATTGGATGAACCAGGCCAAGAAGCATGTGTCGGGTTGGGAGCAAATTTGCACAAGGAACCCTGAATCGCCTCCTCTGACCGATGCTGGAACCCTGAAGGCCCCGACGCCGCAACGGCAACTGCACCAAAACCCCCGACCCCCAAAGCCCGTGGCCCAGGTTGTCTTGAGCTTATGTGGCCTTCCCACTGCCTACTTCCCCCGCTGGCAGCAGCAGGGTGGCAACTCGCCGGAAAACCTCTGGACCTGGATTCGCGCGGCACGTTCCTACTCCATAGGCGGTGGATGACTCAATCCCGAGAGGCAAGCTCTGCCTTTGTCCCGACTGCCGCGCAGATGGTGGGGGCGATGGGCGTGGGCCTCGGTGATCCAGGCCTGCGAAAAGTTCGCGCTGCGTAAGAACTAATCGCACGATATCACAGCAGCTCCTGTAGAGGCTGGAGACCTGGCTTCCAAGAATCCAGCACGCGCCTGAGGTTCAAGATTCCCCCTGGCGAGGCCATCGTTATGCCGCCTGCCTAGCCCCAAACCAACCACTGCAACACAACAACAAAAGGCTGCGGTATGCGCCAAAGCATGCAAGTCCTCCCAAGACCTAGGCAGCCTGGCGAAAGCATTTCTGTGGTGGCTGTGGGTGGTCCAGCCGTGGTGGTCCTTATTGAGCTGCAGTTGCAGAACGCTCGACTGTAAGAATGGATCATCTGAATGATAGGGATGATTCGAAGTTGCTGTTCGGTTCCGGCTGCGACCCAACGCCACCATCGTCGACGACCATGACGCGGCTGAGGACTTCGCCGACGAGTCCTTCCAAGGCACCTCGCTGCTTCCCTGCGGGGCGATTAGGCACCCATGCTGAAGGATCGAAGAGCAAGGTTCATCCTTTAAGAAGTGCCTGTGCGGCGCCAAGCGTCAATCTGGAGAATACCACTTGTACCCTTAGCGCCAGAGCCAGGCGGCAAGGGGAGTGGCCAGTCGGAAGTCCCACAGCCCCCTGCTTTGAGGCGGTTTTCGGGCTGTTAACGGAAGCTGGAATCGAGGTTCTTAGTAGTAGAGTAGGTAACCTTTAACTTTAACCTTTTTGGCTTAGTAGATTCCCCTTAGAGTCCCAAAGGTTAACCTTTAGAACCCCTAGGTACTGGACAGCTAAGGGTTGGGTGCTCGGTTCAAGCTTGGCCCGAAGATTCGTGCGCCGGCCGCGGAAAAAACTGCTCCTGCTATCCTCAATACACCTGCAAAATGCTATAGCCTCCTTATCCTACCCCACCATATCTCAAGAGTGCCCTTTTCTGGGCAAAAAGCACGCTGGATTGTGCATTTTGAGCTTCTGGTTGCCCACTTGCTTCCTTTCATACACATGCATGGACCCATGCTCAAGCACCACAGCGACAGCGAGCCTGCAAACTTGAAGCCTCTTTGGGGTTTTGAAGTCTTGCTGGATCCCCCATAAACGCCCCAAACAGCTACAAACCCTAAACCCTAAACCCTAAACCCCTCAACCCTAAACCCTAAACCCTAAACCCTAAACCCTAAACCCTAAACCCTAAACCCTAAACGAACTACTACGTCAACTTCGGCGCTGCGATGGCGCCGAAGAGCCAGAGGGGTCAGGGAAAGCTGCTGCGCCGCGTGCTTCAGCTGCAAAGTTCGAACATGTAGGGTTTAGGGTTCAAAAAATAGGGTTTAGGGTTTAGGATTTAGGGTTTCAAAAAAAGGGTTTAGGGTAAAGTCTGCTTCCCGGCACGTTAATGCTAAACGACGCATGACCTAGCCAACAGCCTTGGAATAGGGGCAATTCCCCCTAATATAGGGGCCTCAACAATGAGAATAAGGTTTGGGGGTTTATAGTATATTTATAGAGGGACCATAAGTTAGGGAATACTATTCGTATTATTCCGACCCATGTCTTACCTAATCCCGCTGCTTGTTGTGTGAGTTTTTCCCCGGGGCCTGCGCCTGCGCCTCCTGAAGAGGTGCTCCTGGAGCCAAACTCTCGCCGCCTGTTCTTGGGCTACAATAAACAGCATGGCCAGCACTTGGAGGTTCATGGTGCCTATACTTATAAGTGCCGTTATAATTGGGTTATTAGTTATTAAGTACCATGGGCCTTCTTGACAGCCTTCCTATTCCCGTTTTCTTTTAGAAAGGTTGGTTCGGGTTCCATTCTCAACCCATTTAGGTTCGGGGGAAACCTGGGACCGTATTTCACCCTGCAAGCCGTAAACCCCCTAAGCACCCCAAATCCTAATCCCTAACAAATCCGCCCCGAGTAGGCCCTTATTCCCCTTATTTAAGGCTCAGGTTCCCTTGTAACCCCCTTCAAAACACAAAGGGGCGCCTTTAATAATTCCTAGGTTTCTCCTGCAATGAGGGAGGGGTTCATCGGTACAAGGGTGAGCAGGGCAGGACGCAGGGTGCGGGATGACTGGGGGCTGTTGGGGTTGAAAGGCGTAAAAACGAGTTCATAGATGTAGGGGCGGCGTTAGGCAGAAGATTGGGGATTTCCGTTTTGAGGGCTTCACCTGCTCCACCTCAGTTGTATGAACTCCCCCAAGCCCTTACATTAGTTTTCTCCATTCCTCTACAGTAGCATTCAATCTGAAACGCCGTCGACAGCTTTTGCCCTTTTTCCCCAACCAAACACTAAGGAGCCCTTTTTTTTTTGCAGCCTCCCGCCCAGTCCTGGAAGGCTGGCCTCCGCCGCCCTGCGCCTCCCCTGGCTGCTGCGCTGTGTCCCAAGGCCGCCCTACCACAAGGAGGCCGCCCAGAGATGCTGCCTTGTGGGTGTGAAACGTGGATGGCAAAACGTTGCTGACCAATGTATGCATATATACATATATATATATATGTACATGTATACATATATATATATATATGTGTATATATGTGTGTGTATGTATGCAGATGTACATATATACTTTTACACATTTACACATATATACACTTTGACACACATACATATATACATATGTACATATGTACATATATACATGTATACATATATACATATCTACATATCTACATATATACATATATACATATTCACACATGTATGTGCGTATATATATATATATATATTATGTATATGTGTGTGTATGTGTTTCGATATGTATGTATATATGTATATATATATATATATATATGTATTTATTTATTTATACATGAAGATATAGAGCTTGCTACCAGCAGAGAAGCACTTGCTTTGCCCGACGCCCTGCCTGGCGCTGTTAGTTGCTTGGGCCTGCTCAGGAAAGGAGATTCGCAGTGAGTCGTCTCGGGAGAGTCCGAGTTTTCGTTGAAGAGCCGCATGCCTGGTCTTCTGGTTGGTTTGGTGAATGTATATGTTAGACCCTAAACCCTATAACCCCATAAACCCTATAATAACCCCATATAACCCCATATAAACCCATATAAACCCATATAAACCCATATAAACCCATATAAACCCTATAAAGCCTAAACCCTCAATGGACAGACTGTTCCCGAGTGTCAGCTAGGCGGGTGGCCAAACAAACGAACCCTAAGGGTCTTGCGACAGACATGGTTTTTGAGATGTTAGGAGTGTGGCTTGGGATGTTCCCCCTTATGCTAACAGTCCTTAATAGGGATTAGAATAGGGGGGTACTATAATCCCGATTAAGGACTGTTCGTATAAGGGGGGGAACATGCCAAAGTATTGCTGCCGCTTTGGGGCAGGTGCAAGACGCACCGCTGGACTATGACAGCCTGGATGCGCCTCTCGGGTGCAGCCATTGGCCGATTTCTTCTTTGCACAGGTAAAGCAGCCCCGACAGTCTGCCGTGCTCGAGCTGGCTTCATGGAACGAACCATAAGGAGTCCCAAAAGGTCGATAAGGGACCCCCAGGGCCCCTTGTCACATGAAACTTAGATTCTTGAGCCCCGGGCTGAAAATTTACACCCGCCCGCTCCCTTGCCCAAGGTGGAGTGCCCATCCACACCGGCCACCGGGGCAGCGACTCGGTTTCGATGCTCGTGGTTGGTTTCGAGTTAGTCGGATGAGGCTTTGCCCTGGATAGGTGGCCAAGAACTCTCGTCACCCTTGTGTTGATCCACCCCCCCCCCCCCACCCAACCCTCAACGAAAGATGTTCATGAGCCCCTACTCTGATGAACTTGACCGCTCTGCATGGATACCTCGAACCTCTTGCTGGGAAATCCGCCGTAGATGTTGCTCTCCTGCACGCTTGTATGGTTTCAGGCGCAGCTTTTTGTGGACAGACACGCTACATGTTGCACAACCTTCGCAGAATTCGAGGTGTTGTTGTTGGAATTTGGAGATTCGCATGACTTTCGAATTTGTGTAGTTTTGAATTCGCTGCGGTTCCCTTGCTTTGTGTGACAATCTGTAATGTGTGTGTGTCTCTAAACCCTAAACCCTAAACCCTAAACCCTAAACCCTAAACCCTAATCCCCAAACCCTAAACGACGTTCTGAGCCCTGAGCCCTGAGTCGACCAACGAGGCGGGCCGTGGAGGACGTGAACCACGTCGCCACACCCGTGGCCCGGCATCCCAATGGCTCTGAGTTCTGAGATTTTGTTTTGGGGGTTCGGAATGATGTGTGTGGGGCTGAACTTGCCACCAATACATATACATGTAAATAAATAAATAAATAAATAAATAAATATATATATATCTGTATATCTATGTGAACACATGCCCCTACACGTATATATATATATATATATATATATATATATATTTATGCTTTTCTCATGTTTTTCATATTTGTCTATTGCGCACGAGTTTGTTTTTCAATGCAATGGGTGTACCTTTTTAGGGTCGATCTTAGGTGGGCACGGCTGCCGTGGAGCGGCCGCCTCCGGCCGCCGATCGCCCCTGCGACTGCTTCTTTGTGCACGACACCTGCTTGACCATGCGGCCCGGTTGCATGGTTTAGGGTTTAGGGTTTAGGGTTTAGGGTTTAGGGTTTAGGGTTTAGGGTATGTCCTGGGGGTTGCTGGGGCTTTGGAAGGTTAGGGCCTGAGCCTCACCAGCCCTCGATTTGCCATGTAAGTCACTGTAGGACTCCTGAGCCAACTCGGCAGAAGAGGAGTTCAGGTCTGCAAAGCCGCCCTAAGGCCTTCAACCCCCGAAACTTGGGATGTTCACCCTTGTACAAACAGTCCTTAATAGTACCCCCCCCCATTATAATCCCTATTGAGGACTGTTAGTGTAAGGGTGAACATCCCAACCCTAAGCCCTTCAACCCCTGAAACACATGTAGGCAGGAGTCCATGCCATTTCTGGGCGAAACGGCGCCCAGATGGAATGCCCCGGTCCAGGACCAACCACTGGGCTCAGGGTTTAGGGTTCCCTTGCTGGCAGTCATCAAGTCCCGTTTCAAAAGGGTTTAGGGAACTTTCCCACTGACTTCAGGAGTCTGGGTCTAGCACGCGACCCACAAGCCTGCAGACAGCACAAGCCCTATGCTTTCTACAGGGCTTAGGCAGTCTTGAAATCTCTGACCAATATCTTTGTGGGAACCAAAGTTCGCGTTGAGAACTCCAAGCCGCTTCTCGTTGCTTAGCCTCAGTCTTGTGGAAGCCAGGACGGGCTATTATACCCTATAACCACTTAAAAAGGCCCTATATTGGGTTGATTGTGCGGATTGTAGGGGTTAATAGCCCATCCTGGAAGACAGAAAAGCAAAGTCAGCCTGCTCCGATGGCTTTGAGTCTTTGACTTTACAGGACCTGCTCCCTGAGCTGACGGCCAAGGTTAATGAGCAGGCCAACGCTTATGGAGATGGTCAAACCCCCTCCCGCTTGTATTAAATACTCCCATTATTGCTAGACTATCGTATATAGGGGGGGATTTAAATGTTAGGGGTAGGGGGGGGGGAACATTACGGGGAGGGGATTATCCGAGAGCCTTGCGACGCCCAAATCCCCAGACACGAGACACAACATGTGACACGAGACGAGGCAGATACGAGGCTGTCGCTGAGTCACAGGATGCGAAAGAGGTCTGACGGGTGGTGAGACATGCGAAAGGTAGGCTTCTGATGTCTTCCGACGGCTTCGGCAGGCCCTGAAGCCCCAGAACCCGAAACCCTAAACCCTTGCCTGCCTTGTGCGAGAGTGAGCGACGAAACCCGAACTGGCCCGCAGGTTGACCTCCGCGTGGCGGCAGGCGCAGCCCCTTTCAACCGCCTTTGCCGAGTCTACGCGCCGCGGTACCGGCAGGCGCTGGTGGAGGGCGGCTCGTTTTGTATCTTCACCGAGCAGTTCTTGCACCATAGCGATCTTTGCAGTATGGGGGTTCTTATGCCGTCTTGTGCGGGTTCCGCGGCTCTTGCTCGAAGCCCGTGCGCAGTACACGCCGAATCCGGCTTTCACTTGACTTGAGGACTGTGCACCCTTTCTGCCCGGAATCACAGCAAGAGAACAATCATGACTTCCTGCAGCCAGAAGCTGCTGCTTCATTCCTCCCGCAGGCGAACGTGGTGGCTTTGGCACTCTACATGCCTCCCTCCCCAGCCCAGCGCTGGGAGGACTTTGCGCTAGGTGGGAATGCCCTGGAAGCTTCTAAGGGAAGCTACGTGATCCCTCAATCTGGTTCCTGACCTTCTCTTACAGGCTTCTGAAGTATGGCCCCCATTTGGGTTTGTAGGGTCTAGAAGCACTACGTAAGGGGTACATAGTTGGGTTGCTGCCCAACTAAGGGCTCATATTAAAGGACCATGTAACAACCCTAAGAAAGCTCCACAGCCTACAAACGCTTCAAAACATCCGAAGAAATACGAAGCCATAAGACCCGAACCGAAAACCCCCAGAACCCTAGCACTGAAAGGACTTGCGGGGTGCCATCGATCTCGCATACCAGGACTACTTGGCTGGCTGTGCTAGAAGGTCACGTGAGAAGCAGCTTTAGAGCATACAGCAAGCTGTATAGAGCCTGCACTCAAAAACGTGCGTAGACGGAAGCCATTCGTGTTAAAGCTTAAGGCTCTAATGCTCAGCAGTTGGCCCCACAAGGACGTCGCTGCTGCATTCGTGCGCTTTGTGGAGGACCCTGACAACTCCGGAAGGCACCAACTTGTTCAAACCCGCTCGGTCCCCGAACACGCAGTGCACGGCAGCGGAAAGTTCTTTTTGAAAGGTGGGGGTGGGGGGGGAAAGGGCAGCTTACGAGACACTTGGGTTCGCATCCCACGTGCCGCCGTTCGCAGGCACCTTTTGTTGGTCACCTTGTTATAAAAATTGTAGGAAAATTTGTGGGAAGGGGTGGGGGGGGCATCCACATCGAGCCGTTGCCCCGGCACTCGCGTATGCATGTGGCTGGTACCTGTCTTGTCTGAGCTGCTGCTTCGGCTGGTTCGGGATTGGTTGTGTCCAGCAGCCCCAAATGCCCACACAGCCCACACACCCCAGAGGCCCTTCTTCCTGGTGGGGCACAGCCAGGGAACAATGCACCTCATGAGATTGGTGCAGGAAGAGGCGGGGGGGGGGGGGAGGGGGGTGGAAACTCCTCAGCAACCCCCTCCCAGTGTTTGGGCCTCTTATACTTTCCATAGAATTACGCTGTTGAGGGTTTATCTTGGACGGGTGCCAGGTGGAGCCCTATCCCGACAGAAGGGACCGCTTTGTCCATGGGTATTTGGCGGGTCAGACGGTGCCGTTGCGACTCTTCCAGTCTCTCCGCCACGTGCGGCCGAGCGTCCGGGCGACGGATCTTTGCTCTGTATCTAGCTGGAGGACGGGTGCCACACACCATCACGTTATGGTGCACTGCGGGATGATCTTCCATTCGGGAGCTGGTTGGCAACCCCGCTCTGGCAAAAGCCTGGCCACCAATCCAGTGACTTGGGAGGAGGGCCCTGGCAACAGGGAGTCCCATGCGCAAGAGTACCTTGGGGCTGCCTTTCCCATCCCTGAGAATCTCGACCCATGGCAGAGCGAAGGGCTCGTGTCGGGCGTCGCGCTGCGTTTTGGGCGCCAGGTGGCGGCGCAGAAGGCAACCCTTGGGGCGCGCTTGCAGGCGCTAAGCCCGGTCGATTGTGGAGCAGTCACAGTAAAGGTTGACGAGAGCCGTGTGACCCGCGTGCCCAAGCTTCCCAGCAACTCGCTGTTCGCTGTGACAGAGCATGACTGGCTCATGTACCACGACTTGGACATCGCATTGTTCCATGGCAATCTCCAGGCCAATGCCGAAAACCGGCACCATGCCTGGCAAATGCGCGGCCGTAGTCGGATGTAAAGATCTTGGGAAAAAGGAGGTGCTTGCACGGTCACAAGGGGGAGGGGAGGGGCTTAGTTACTGTAGGGAGTTTCGATGTTTAGGGTTTATTCTTCTGGGGGCTAGTTTAGAGAGATCTGGGGGATCAGTACTGACAATAAGAATGATCCTAGCAAGTAAGACGAATATGCTTCATCATGAGATAAGCTCGGAACCTGTTGCCGCAGCACTGGTAGTGTGACAAGGCTGGAATGCAGTGCACCCTGAGCTTGCTTTGGATTCAGATTCTCCGCCGATCAATGCCCTCGAGACCTCAATAACGATCGGTCACTTGAAACGTACATGTGTAGGCACAACATGGCACAACGAATCAGAAGCTTACACACGTGATCACGTCATCTGCCGCGGCGCATCATGTACACCAGCAAGCCATGAGCTGGAACCGAAGCCGCAATGGTCCTGCCACCTCTGCAGCCAACAATCCTGCAGCAGCCACAGACGAATATCGCTACGCGCAGGTTCCTGAAGACGAGTCACAAAGGCTAGCAGGCAGCAGTTGGACCACCACGAACAATGCCACAAGCCCCTCAGCAGGCGCCAGTGCACACGTGGCCCCTGAATATGCCGAGGTGATGCTCAAAGTCCATAGCCGTCGGACCACAGATCTTTGCATCTTATGTACCTTCATTCTGTATTGGGCTGGCATGTGCGGGATCACATTCTCAGCTCTCACTCTTGGGGACCCGCGCAGACTGTACCATAGTTTCGACTATGGTGGCCACCTCTGTGGCATCGATCCAGGTTTTGAGGACAAAGGGCTGCTGTATTGGCCACGGCCGCAAGAGCCAGAGTACGCCGTGTGCATTGGACAGTGCCCAAGCTCAGAGCAGGACACCGTGACGGCCCTCGACGAGGAAGCTGCCATCAAACATGGCGCCAGCGGAGTTGAGACTGCGACCATCACTTCCAAGCAAGTTCAGATCCCAACATATCCTTCCAGGCAAATTGGCGGCCGCTTTTGCTTGCCACTTCCGCTGGCCGAGATTCTAGATGGTGGTGGTAGCCCGCCACACGCAGCTGCAGAGTCGACGGCCCCCCTACAATGGCCCAGGTTTCCTGCAACATCCTTGCCTGCTTCAGCAACATACTCGACAAGTCCTGTACCGACTTCGACCCTGAAGGCTTCCTTCAGCCATCCCCTGCACCAGGCCCAGCCATTCCCGATGGACCAACCTCGCCCAGCTCACCCAGCACGCCCAGCTCGACCTCAGATTGGCGACTTTCCAGGGCTTCTGCCTCCCATGGGACAGATTCATTGGACGCCTCCCCCGCTGCAGACACCTGCCCCCATCGTCCCCTCCGCCCCTGCCGGGGGAGCAGTTCCCGTCTCGCATGTGCAGACGAAGCCGGAGAAGCAACCGCACCAAGAGACTGCGGAAAGCCCACGTGAGGAGGACGAGGACAAGGAAGATGATGTCGAGACTGTCAAGGCTGGACACAAGCAGCAACCCAAAGCTCAGACTGCCAAGACTGGACACAAGCAGCAACCCAAAGCTGAAACAGACGCGGATGCGCAGAAGGATGAGCCAACCCGAGTGGGTGCACCGACCCACAAGCCTTCTGAGCGAAAGCCATCGGGCGGGGCAGTGGAGCATGAGCTCAAGTCGCATGAGCTCAAGTCGCATGAGCAGAAGTCGTCTGCGCAGAAGACGTCTGCACAAAGTGACACCGATGTCAAGAAAAATGAGTCTGCGGCGTTGACTAACGCCTCTTCGCATCACCATGAGCAAGGAAGAAGGATGTGGGAGGAGCCGGCAAGGAACTCAGACACTGCTGAGTTGGCCAAGCTTCTGTCTCAGGATCATTCGCCCTTTGCCTGGCTGCGCAAAGTCACATGGGATGTCGCTGGTGCCTGGCCCATTCTGGTGGTGCTCGGTGTTGTCTTCGCATCTCTTCAGGGTACTGGGTATCTGGCATTTATGAGATACTGCGCCTGCCCGTTCACATTTGGCATCCTCTTCCTGCTCATACTTGCGTCGGTTGGCGCCTCCGTGTATTGCCTGGCAGTTGTGCGCACTGACGAGGAGGTGGCAGAGCAGCTGTTTGGAAGGTATACCGACCATCCGGTTTTGCTCAACCAGGTCGTTGGCTGGTCGAGCGCCGGAGTCTGCGCGCTGCTCCTCGGCATCTCCGTGGCCATCTTTTCCCCAATGCGCCGTGCGGTCGGCTGCATTGATGGGGCCGCGCAGGCCATCTGGGAGGAGCCACCGCTGTTTCGGTTGCCTACCATTGAGATGATCATCAAGATGCTCTTTTCCGTGAGTTGGCTGATCTTCTTCAGCTTTGTCATCACCAGCGGCCAGATCGACCCTCCGACGCTGGACGTCAATGGGACACCTGTGTATACCCGGATTCGGAGGTTCAGCTCCACACCTTTGCAGAAGTTCTACGTCCTGATGTATCTTGGAGGATACCTGTGGACTCTGGAGACTCTCAGCCTGGTCTTCCATTTCGCAGCGAGCTTCTACGCCACGAGCTGGTATTTCACGCCTTGCAGGGCCGATGGCAAGAAAGTGGGCCTTGAGACCCGGCTTTGGCGCACAGGTGTTGCGTATGCCCTCAGGTACCACCTCGGCAGCATGGCCATGGGAGGATTGCTGACGATGCTCTTTCGTCCGATCCATGCGCCAATGGCTGTCTTGGCAAAGCTGGCAAAGGCTGGCGAGAGGCATGCGCCAGAAGGCATCATGTCGAACTGCCTGTGCTGTGTTTGGTGCTTTGAGGAAGTTGTCCGGTTCGTCAACAAGAACGCCATCATCTGCATGGTCTTGAACTCCACCAATTACTTCGTCTCCGCCACAGCCGCAGTCAGGACCTTGGCAAAAGCTGGGCACGACGTTGCGTTCCTGAATGGCTTTACCGGCAGCCTTCATAGTTTCTTAGGGGTACTTGGAAATATTTTCATATTTTTGGTTACTATCATCCCTAAGGAACGGCTAAACTTCCTATTTTTGACAGGGTGCCAAGTTCAGTATAGGTTTGGGCATGCTGGCCACAGCCTGCCTCACTGCCTATGTGTCGTCGTTTGCCATGGGCGGTTTGGACATGTTTGCGGACCAAAGCTCGCCCATGTTCGTGGAGAACCGCATCGCCGTCATGATCGCGGTGGGTCTCCTTGCGGCTGCTGTGGCTTCAAGCTTTATGGGGCTCTTCGATGTGGTCTTCGACACACTCATCTTCTGCTGGCTGGCAGACTTGCGACCCACTCAAAGCGGCGTCGTTTTTGTTCCGCAAAGCTTGCTGAGGGCTTTGGGCGAGCCGCAAGGGCGAAAGGAGCTTTCCGAGACAGAGATTGACGAGGGTTTGCGCGGCTCAGCTGCGTCTCCTGGCAGCCCATCAGACATGTCATCAGACCAGGATGCGAGACAAGCAGCAAAAAAGGATGCCGCACGAAAGGCCGCTGCAGAGCAGGACGCTCTTCGCAGAGCAGCGGAGCAAGAGGCTCTTCGGGAAGCCGCAGAGCGTGAAGCATCTCGAAGAGCAAGGCAAGCGCGTGAAGCGGAGGAGGCTGAGCGTGTCAAATGGCGAAAGCTCCAAGAGGAAGAGTCGGCACGGAAGAAAGCACAAGCGGCTGCACAAGCGGCTGCAGCGGAGCAGATTGAGCTGGCAGCCCAGAGAGCTGCTGAGGAGGAAATCCGGCAGCACATCTACGGTCAGGTTGAGGAGCAGACAAAAGGCCGGTCACAGGATGCTGTCAGGCCGTTGCAGCCCCCTGAGTCTGCTTCCGAATTGGCAGATGCTGTGTCGGCAGGAGGTGCCAGCAGCAAAGCAGAAGCCACTGTCGAACCAGTTGCGCAAGCTCCAGATGCTTCAGCTGATGCATTGCCAGCCAAGGAAGCATCGAATGATGCAGCCCCTGCAGCGCCTGCAAGTCCTGATGCTGAACCTGGCGAAGCTCCACCAGAAGACCGTGGAAAAGCCGCTGGCCCGGCGTCAACACCGTCTGCGGCACAGGCTGGCCCGGAGAGGAGCCAGGAGGATTCTCTGCAGGCAGCAGAGGAGTCAGAGGTTTTCAAGGCCGTAGGTCAAACAGATCCGTTTGCGGCTCCTTCCTCCGAGGTACCTTCCGCACCAAATTGGGTTGCTGACTTTGAGTCTTCATCACCCAAAGAAGGGCCCGAACAGCCTCGTCCTGATGCAGAGCAGACGTGGCCGGCTGGTGCCGCAGAGACTGCGCGCGCAAGCAGCGAGGATGCAGATGGCCCGAAAGAGTCTGGCCAGGCGCCTCTACAACCAGAACAAGATGTAGCTGCGGGTGTAAAGACATCCACTGCATCAGTAGATTAGTTAAAAATGCCGGCTACTTGATGCGCTGTGCGTTTGTTGTCCAGCAAGAACCCCAAACCCCAAAGTCAGGCGCTCCTGTCACAATCTGTCTCAACCCGCAAAGGCCTGGCTCAAGTATCCGACGGCAGCGTTGTTCAGAACCCCCCCCTAAAGAGATCTGTTAGTTATAATTGAAAGTCATCCCTAAATCGCAAACATAGGCGATATTCGGTGAAGGGAGTAGCAGATTAGCCACTCGCTCGGGCAGTTCTCCTTGAGCTATGGAAGAGTGGCTGAAGTTGAAGCCTCACAGCGAGTTTCAGAAAATCAAAGAGCTCAAACAGTACCAGAAAGACGTGAGTGGCAATGTAAAGATTGCGGAGGTGGAGCAAAAGTGGTATGACCAGAACATGAAGCCGCTGGTCGATTTCATGGGCGACGAGCACATTTGGAAGTTGGTGTGCGGTAACGAGCTCAACATCTTCCACGACAAGCCGTTGAGGTCACAAGATGATCTCGCTAAGGCCGCAGCAAGCTTCAAGGCTGGCCACTGGACAAGCCGTCGAGCTAACGCCAGCAGCAAAGATGACATCTATGATCCCTTTCGTAACCACCAGATTGGTGGCACAAACCAGTTTTGTCAAACGTTTTCCATGATGTATTTGAAGCAATGGATAGAGATGGAAGAGAAACCGCCAAAGAAAATGGAGGACTACTACGCAAATGCGGAGAAGGCGTTGGCATTCATCAAGTGGGTCCTCGAAAAGGGGATTGAACCGGCAACGCTGGATGATTACTTGAAGAAAAGTCAAGACATCTTCGAGGATCACAAGGATCTCCAGTCTCCCCGGCTGCGGGCAGACTTGCTGAAGTGCCTCGCGGAGTGCCTCAAGACCCCATGCATGTGTGTGAATGTGGCGACAGTGGGGGAGTTGGGGACGGAGCACATTCAGTGAGACCCCCTAACCCTACTTGGAGGTTCATGGCTAGTTATAAGTGGGGTTATCAGTACGGTAACCATAGACAAAACTGGCTACCCTTCTTTAAGTGCGTCTTATCGTCGGGTGATGTCAGCGTGCAGTTGCCTACATACCGGCCCGGTGCTGCGAAAAGAGAAGGCATTTTCTGGAAACGAGCAATGCGGCAACTCTCCCGAATCTCCATGTTGTCATATTGGGCCAGTGCAATAGGAATCGTCTTGTAGAGATGCGAGTTTGTTGCGAAAGCGCCAGTTGTATGAGTTGCGGAGCACAAGGCGACGGCAAAACTTGTCACTGGCAGCAATGTTCAACACAGAATGAATGCCCAACAAAAAGTATACGGCGAAAGCCCAAACTCCATAAAGCAAAAGAAGACATAGTACACTATGATTCCAGTCAGTCCTATGGCTATTATTTCCTTCTTGCCAGTCTTCTTACCACTATCTTTCAGTACTGCTCTTATCGCTATTGAAATTGCGATTCTTATTACAATTCTTAATACTTTAATTTCTGTTATTACTGTCATTACAGCTATTTCTATTTCTATTATATGATTGTTGTTATTATTGCTGCTACAGTTATTACTACCACTACGACTATTCTGACTATTAGTATGATGATTACTACTATTACTTATTGCTACTCTCATGATTACTACTCTTGCTACTATTATTATTTTTATTATTCGTATCATTATTCTTGCTACGGCCCACTCTGCTGCGTGCTAAGCCACCTCGGCAGAGTGCTGCCTCGGCTCCTGCGCGCCGCGCGGCATCGTCGGAGTGTGCCAGGCCGGCGATGTGGGTATTTCCCAAAAAAGCCCTTTTATACCCCAAATAGCCCTTTTATACCCCAAATAGACCTTTTATACCCCAATTAGAATCGAATTCCCTTAGAGGGGCTCCCAAGAAGGGTGCCCTATTTTCATAAACCCCCATGTAGGTTTTTGGGTTTTGGGTCTAGGGTCTAGAGTGTTGGCGTATAGGGTCTAGGGTGTAGGGTTTAGGACGGTAAGTCTCAGGCTTTCGTTTGAGGGAGCAGTACGAAGAAAGCCATCAAAGCACAAAGCACAATAGCTTTTCAACTGTTTCACAATGTTGGAACTCGCATTGGTATCTCTCCAGGATGCAAGTACTATGGAAGCTTTATACATTTTTCAAGTATGACTGACTATGCTTTACATTTTACTTGTATGTTTTTTGATGATCATATTTTATACGTATTTATCATCAATAAGCAAGATCCGGTCCCGGACATCGCATGGTACGCTGTGGGTGGCCGGCCCTGCAGGTCAAGGAAAAGGCCGACCGGCACTGCGTGCCTTGGATCTAGCTCCCATGCCGCCCTTGCCACGGATTGATTTTTGCCGCTCCCATGCCGACTCAGGACCAAACCGACAACGCCACTCCACTTGGCCGCGAGGCGCGGTGACGAGTACATGGAAGCTTTTGGAGAAGCGGGCTCATCCCAAGTAGAATCTAGACGGACCGTGCGCTGACAAAGCCAGCTACCGTTTCCTTTCTGAGTGGGCTTCGGAAAGCTCGGAGATCGCAAATAGCATCAAACATGATCAGGATGCGGAACTACTGACAAGGCGGAGCGCTGATGGGGAGCTTGAGGGATAGAATGCTGATGACGCCCTGACGTCCAGAAGCCCAACGTCATAGGCCATTCTAAAGCCTGTAAGCTTTGCTACCCCCCCTCCCCCCCCCATCCCAATATTATGGGATCCTTCTTAAGCCACAACCCGGACTCTCAGACATAAATGGTCTTCCTGGTGCTGAGTAATTAGGGAATGAGGGAATGGAAGAGGTACCCTATAGAATCCTTTGCAGGGTATATGTAGGGGGATGTAGGGCTTATGTAAGGAATAGTGACTTGTCCTTAGATTCGAACAGGAGTTAGAACATGATTCAAGGAACATTGTTTCAGGAACATTCCTTGAGTACGAAGTCGCAAGGAATGCTCTTTGAGATAGATTGCGGACACATTATGAGCGGCTACTCCTTCTTGCAGCGGACTATGAAGCCACAATTGCGTAGGTCAAGGGAAGAAGGCAGGGATCCTTGTAAGGGACCTTAGGGGTAATGTAGGGGCTACTTAGGTATGCAGGGACCATATAAGCTATATATAAGCTATATGATATAATAATAATAGTAATTATCATAAGCTATATGTAGGGGTAATAAGGGGGTAGTGTAGGAATAAGATTCAGGACCCATTCAGGGATCCCTCCTTATGTCTCCTAACTGGCTGGTTCTTAGTAGGGAATGAGGGAATGAGGTACCCTATACACTCGACTGAAATTCTGAAGTTCGTGCAGGTAATTTCAGCGCTGCACGCCGCCCGCCTCGGACAGGCCCGGAATTCAGGGGCTTTTACGGGTGGAGCGTCAGGGTTCGGGGCAACCTTAAACGAACAAGCTTTAAGGAATAAGGCCGAATAGGACCCAGAAACCGAACCACCACAGGGCTTATAGGGTTTATAGCCTTGTATGGCGGAGACGTTACATTGCGGCAGTGTTGCCCCATGGGATGGTGCGTGTGCCCTATAGAAAGACAGACGTCAGCCGATGGTAATCAGGTGCAGTAGAAGGTTGTCCCAACAATGCCCACACCAGAGACATGCCGACTGCACAAAATGGCTCATGTGGGCTTCTTCAAGCAGAAAGCAGATGGAACGTGAGGGCACGTGACAAGAACATTCATACGGCACCCTTTTTCTCGAATGAGAACCCCAATTGCGCTACGGTCACGCAGGTGCGCTTGCGTTTCGCTCTTAAGGGTTTAGGGATCTTCTGGGCTTATTGGGTTTTGACTCTGTGGAGTTCAGAGCGGGAGGGTGGGTTCATCAATTGTCATAGCCCGGATGCAAAAAGGGTGGGTTCAAAAGCTCTCGAGGCGCCTGTGCACGACGCGGGAAGGATTCGCGCACCGGGCTCTAATTAAATATAGTTAAATATAGGTAAATATAGTTAAATATAGTATAGTTAAATATAGTTAAATATAGTTAAATATAGTTAAATAGTAAAAATATGGTTAAATATACATACAGTTGAATATAGTTAAAATAGTTAAGTGGGTTTTGGAGGCTGTTTAGACTGAAAGCAGCACGGCCTTGTTGTTAAAAGCAAACTATACCTTGAGATCCTCGAGACGCAGCTCTGGGTCATGGCCCAGATTCCCTGAGGCAAGCCTATAGAAGCCTTGGGGGCCCAGCTATGTCCGTCCAGCGGCTTCTGCCGCAGAATGAAGTGGATGCGCCATCCGCCTATGCCTTAGGTGGCGCAGCCCTGATGATTGCCATGCTCTTTTCGTGGTACTGGTTCCAGTCCACAACGGATGCGGACGTCATGCTCCTTGGTATTGCCATGGCCTTCTACTTGCTCTTCTTGCCACATCCCTGTAAGGGAGCATGTGCCCCGACAGCTGAATCGGAGGCAGAAGCCAAGCCGTTGTTGGAGAAGCTACTACCTAGCTCGTCTACGATGCCTATTCCTGGAAAGTTCTGGAGCTCTATGAGCATCTCGGCGATGGCAGTTTACCTGGCTGCGTCTTACTTGGCCCGCTACGAAGTACAAGAATGCGTATGGCAGGTGCTCTTGATCTCCACTCTTTGTGGCTCATGCCACTTGTCTTTGAGCTGCCTCGTAGACTGGCCAAGCTTGGCTGCTTTGCCAGTGATCGCCAACGCATGCCTCCTCCCCCTCGTCACGCAGGACCGTGTGCCATTTTCGTTTCTGCCGCCAGGATGCCCGCCAAGCACGTATTATGTCATGATGGCCTACACTTTGATTTTGGCAGCTGCCCTGTGGCCGCGCCAGCCTTTCTCGATCAGCATTGTTCATCAGCCAAGCCGGTCGTGGAAGCCCGAAGTGCACAGCAGCCGCTTCGCTTTCTGCTTCGAAATTGTGCCGATAGCCTGTGCTACTCTTTCGGTGGTGTACCTGGCATGTTGCTTGAAGTGGAGCGGCTCAGGAACAGGTTACCATGATAGTCTCTCAGACATCATCTACCACGTAGCCTGGGCCTGGCTGCGCCCTGCCTATTTCTTTATCTTTGGACTCTACTGGCTTGCCATTCGCCCTGTGCACTCCAAGATTGGGTCATTGATGTGTGGCTTTGGTGTTGCTTACTTCGGTTGCGCCTGCGCCCTGGCAGACACGTCGATGACCCATCACTTCAACTCTATGTGCATAGCCGGTCATAGTTTGCCGGTGCCATTGCATGGCACATATGGCCAGAACTGGTTGGGACAAGCCGCACATCACACGGAAAGGGATTGCTTCTATTTTAGCATGGTCCTTTGCGTGTCGTTCTTTCGTGACGTCGATCTGGGAGAGAGAGCTTGGTCTCTCTGGAGGGGTGCCATGGCTGTTGCCTTCGGTGTGATGGGCCTTGTGCGATTCTTCGAGTTTCTCGGGCATGCTGTTGCTTTCGATGTGTGGGTGATCACGCACTACTACCTCGGATATTTCGCCATCATATTCGTGGAAGGCTATGCGCTGCTGACGCAGAGGTGCCATTATGTCATCTTTGTGGCCCACGCCTCAGTTCAAGATGAACCCAAGGTATGACGCGGACTTAAGTCCACAGCTGCGTTGAAAAATGGAGCGTGCTTGTGTGATCCTCTGGGGAGAGGCACGTGCAAGTCTGCCCAGCCTGGATTGCCTAGCACGAACGATCAAGACCCGGCCTCCCCATACCCATACTTGGAGGCTCATGGTACCTTATAACCCAATGAGAACTGTACTTATAAACCAAAAATTGCCATATCAGGGCACTTAAGGGGCTTATAAGCGGGGTGATGAGTACAGCTCTTATTGGGTTATTATTAAGTACCACGAACCTCCAAGTAGCCTGTGGAAGCTTTCCCCTAAACCCTAAACCCTAAACCCTAAACCTTAAACCCTAAACCCTAAACCCTAAACCAACCACAAGTGCTGATCGCTTCTGGATGGGTCCGCAATGATCTCTCGCGTAAACCCTAAACCCTAAACCCCAAACAGGTGCCGCCTGCGCAGCCTGGAGCTCTCTTCATTGGCCCGGCGGGCGAAGGTGTCGCGCAAGACAGTAAACTCCAACAAGTTGGAACGTCCTTATCCCCATACCCCAAAAGGTATACAAGAGGAAATCCCAGCTCTAATCATCCTTAAACCATGTTCCAACTTTCTGGAGTTTACTGTAGGGCTTCTGGTGTCGGCCTTCGCATTCGGCTAGGAGTGTCGGCTTGCGGATTTCGGGCTTTGGGGTTATCGGCCTCGACAAAGTGTCGCCCTGTATACCCTAAGCCCCTGAGGGCCCGCAGAAAGCAAAACGCCCAAACCAGGCAAAGGTGAATCCTGGAGTGGGGCCTTGGGCCTTAGGGCTGAGGGCTTCTTTCGTAAAGCCGCACCGGTGGCTGAGAGAAAGCCGGGGCACACACTACTTCCGGCCCGGCTCATCTGGCTCCCAAGCCGGGAGCAGAAGTACTCCGACACCGGCCCATAATGCAGATCAGGCAATGCAGAGGCACGGAGTGTTGGCTTCCTGGGTGAAGTGTAGTCGTACTGTCCACATGACATGTCATGTTCCAGGCGTCGTTGGCTTGCATCTGGCTCGCTCTCCGTCGTGCTGTATATGCACTATGTTGTAGCATGTTGCACAGTTTTTGCAATGTACCATCTCCGAAGTCAAGTCTTCGCCAGTTCTTTGCCGCAAGCAAGGGTGCGCTGATTTTGTATTCCAGAATTTTGAGTGAGGCAGAAGTTGCAGCATCAGGAGCAGCGAGTTGATTCCAAGAACGGTTGCCCACAACTTGTTTTTCAAATGTTTTGTGTTTCAATAAGTACTCCGCTTTTCTTGTATCATGTGGAGAAATAGCATTCATTAAGTACCTCTTGGTTTTTCGTGACATTGCTCGTATCAAAAACTCTCTGCTTTTCCGCCATGTTTGCACCATATTTCGCTTGCAGCACTGCGCGTAAGTTTTGGGGTTTGGGGTTTAGGGCACAGTGCCCCTGACATATGTGTTGCGCAGGCGGTCGATGCGTGCAGCACGTTTCTGCAGAAGTTACACGCGACTCTATCGCCCATCCAAATTTCGTGAGCAGGAAGCTTGTTCCAAATAAATTCTGAAAAGTGTTAATGTGGGTGGGAGGTTGGGATGTTATCCCTTCTACTAACCGTCCGCAATGAGGATTAAAGAACCTCCTATTCTAATCTTTATTAAGGACGGTTAGCGTAAGGAACCCTAAACCCTAAACCCTAAACCCCAAACCCTAAACCCTAAGGGGGAACATCCCAAGTGGTGGGGGTCGGGTTTCTGCGGTCAATAAAGGGGACTGTTTTTTGGTTGTGGGAAGGCACCGCAGGGATGCAATTTCGTGAAAACGGGGCAGGGTCTAGGGTTTAGGGTTTATGTATCGTCAGGGCAACATAAGGGCATCTCGTCAAAGCCCAGCTGGGCAGTGGCTGATCACTCAAGTCACCTATACTATCCCTTTGTAATCCGAGAAAAACAAGAAACGTACACATTCTAGTAAAGTCGGCCCCTGAGACACTGAAACTACTTTGAAAATCGCCTCAAGAACCCCAAAACAACGTATTACACATGGACGAAGAGCCAGCGTATTTCACATGGACGAAGAGCCAGAAACTGTGGGTACCGAGGGTGGCCAGCTAGGCTTTTATTCCGCAGCCTTCTCTGGGGCACACTGCGCCTCATACTGCGCTATGCCATGCCCTGATGTACACGGAACTCCCAAGTCGCACAGCAACTATCTGAGCAAGATCGTCAGAACCTGAACCCAGCAAACCCAGCATCCTGAGCGTGGCAGGCCACTCAACGACTAAAGAAACCCCAAAACCTTTAAACGGTTTAAACCTGAGTCTCTGCAAAGCACCCGGAAGGCCGAAGCCCGCAACCGTCGAACGCTGAGCCGCTCTGAGCCCTCAAGCCCCTAAGACCCCCGAAGCAGGGTTTAGAGTTTATAGGGTTTAGGGGAACCCTAAACCCTAAACCCTAAACCCTAAACCCTAAACCCTAAACCCTAAACCCTAAACCCTAAACCCTAAACCCTAAACCCTAAACCCTAACCATAAACCCTAAACCCTAAACCCTAAACCCTAAACCCTAAACCCTAAACCCTAAACCCTAAACCCTAAACCCTAAACCCTAAACCCTAAACCCTAAACCCTAAACCCTAAACCCTAAACCAAAAACAAACCCTAACCGCTTTTGGGGTCCTCCGCCACCATGGCGGGACAGCCTTCGCGGCCTGCACGCGAGAGCTGGTCCTGGAAGCGCTATGAGCGTCCGGACCGCTGGGAAGGGGCGTTGGGGTTCAGGGTTCAGGGTTAACCCTAAACCCTAAACCCTAAACCCTGAACCCTAAACCCTAAACCCTAAACCCTAAAACCCTAAACAATAAAACCCTAAACCCTAAGCGAACAAAAACCCTCAACCCTCAACCCCAAACCCCAAACCCTCTTAAGCCCTTAAAACGCGCCCTTGTAAGCCCTCCAAGAGCCTCGGCAGGGCCTCCTGCAAGAGGAGATTGAAGAGGCACCCTCAGACTTTCAGGGTTTAGGGTTTAGGGTTTAGCGTTGCAAAAGGGTTTAGGGTGGGGAGGCTCAGGATTTCACGGGGCTTATTGGGGCTGATGGGGGCTGATGGGGGCTTCTGTAGGGCCTACGGGGCCTGATGGGGGTTGATAGGGCTTGTAGGGTTTGGGGGGGGCAGTTTCTTTGTGGGGCTTTTGGGGGAAGCGAGCTTCGGTATCGCTTCTCTCTTTAGGTGAAGTAGGTGTGGAAGGCACATGTCACGAAGAGACGACTTAGGGCGAGACAAAGCGCCAAGTATACAACATCTCTGGGAGTCAGCCTGGCTGCAGGTATGTTTGCCTAGGGCCACCTATGCGCTCACGTGCGTTAGCACACTCCTTTACTTCGCATGGGCGCACACAGCGCCCACACACACAAACACAAGCAAGCAGACAGATAGTCGACAGACCGCGCGCGTGAAACAGACAAGGGCAGGAAGGATGCATCTAATCTCGTCGCCCACGTGCGCCTGCTTCACTGTCCGAAAGCCACAGGTGCCTTGACGATTACTGGAGAACGAGCGTATCACCTAGGAGCTCTCAGACGCGATTGACTCGTGGGCTGTCAAACAAGGTCGCATACGCAGCTGGCGAGTCAAGAGATGCATGATGATGCATGTGTGTATATACAAAGAATATGAGCATGGCAGGATTTCATGTCACGAGCTCCCCATGGTTTCCTCAGCTGTTTCAGAACATGTCATTGAACTGGACTGGGCCTTGTTTTCATGCAGAATGCGCGCCATAGCCATGCCTTGTGCCGTTCGTTACATTTTCGTACGTTTGCTTTTGTCGTTCAACTCATTCTCTTCACTCCCAGTTGAGTTTTAGTCAATGAGTGCAGAAGGGCACGAGAGAGTTTCGCCCGAAAGGTCAAGGAGGCCTTCGACCTCTTCGACGTGGATGGGACGCAGCGGATCAATCCTCGAGACCTTAGGGCTTGTGTGCAATCGCCCCCTGGCGAGGTCAGGGGGATCACGAGGACGTACATCTGTATGAGCGGGTGCTACCTCATGTTTTTCTTCGCACTCTGAGGCTCAATCTGCGACGGAACCAGGCGGGAACTGTACATGTTTGCGCCGGCTCTGTGCGTCGCTGCGGTGCCTGTCGGTCCTTGGACACTTTTTTTGGAGTTCGAGTTTGAGAGATCGAACCATCAATCCTAAACCCCCAACCTGACCCGAATCCCGCAAGCGGCCTGCGCCCTAAAGTCGGAGGTCGTCCATCACATCCTGAATGACTTGGAAAGGCCAGGCCATTTTGTCGACCCAGGTCTTTTCACTGGGGTCTTTTTCCCCTACTTAGGGGAGGGGTGTCCTAGAGGGAGGTGAGGCCAGAGCCGTAAACCCTAAAGCCCGGCACCCTTCAGTCCCCAAAGCACCCAGCAGCCCAGCAAGCGTAAAGCGGGTTTAGGGTTTAGGGTTTAGGGTTTAGGGTTTAGGGTTTAGGGTTTAGGGTTTAGGGTCCAGCTTGGGCACCCTGCACCAGGCTGGGTGGCAAGCCGCTGGACTTCGGTGCCTTCCTGGACAGCTGATGTTCATGTGCGTTTTGGGTTTAGGGTTTAGGGTTTAGGGTTTAGGGTTCAGGAAAAAGGGTTTTGGGTAATCTTTCTTGCCACTTCTTGGGTTTCCTGGTCGACGCACTTCATCTAGGCAGGTCGCAAACACAAACAGCAAAACCATCGAACCCTGAGCCCTAGAAACGCACCCCGCTTTCAGACCCCTGGGCCAAAACCCCTGGCCTGAAAAAGCAATCAAGCCTCTGGCTGCTCCGCCTCAAGCACCCTAAATCCTGAGAAAGCTGGCTGTTGAGGGTTTAGGCCCTAACAACTTCAGGTCTTCCCGGAATTCGGGGTTGATTTGGCAGGAGTCCCAGCAAAGCTTGTCCGGGTCTGGGTTCAAAAGGATTTTTACCATCGTCGAGCTTGTCTCTGCGAAGAAAAGTCCCCCACCCCTCAACCCTAAACCCTAAACTCCCTAAACCCTGAACAAGAAACATCTAAAAAACACAAAGCTAAATCTCACAGAGGACCTGATGACTGCCAAGATGGGGGAGCGGGACACGAAGGAGGACGTCTCGAAGGTCTCGGAAACCTCTGTCTGCAGTTCCCGCGGCCCTAGGAATCTTGATTCGGCAAAGCCTTCTTTGTCTTTCAACTGTGCTGCAGGTCTTCCGGCTCTTCGACGACGATCGGACGGGAAAAATCTCGCTGCGAAATCTGTGCCTAAGCTTTCCGAGGAACCCAGCCCGGCCCCAAACTCTAACCCCCAACATCCCCAAGCCATCCTAAACCCTGAACCCTAAACCCTGAACCTTGAACCCTAAACCCTGATCCCTAAACCCTGAACCCCAAACCCTGAACCCCAAACCCTGAACCCTGAACCCCCAAACCCTGAACCCTAAACCCTAAACCCCAAATGGCTAGGTCCCTCAACAGCTCATGGGTATCCCACTACCCCCCTCTATACAAACCCCCCCCCTTTGGTTCCCCCCATAAGTAAAGATATTTAGGGATAATTAAGGTTTCTTAAGGGGGGAACCTAGGGGGGGGGGTAGTAGGGGAACCCGAAACCCCAAACCCTAAACCCCAAACCGCCCTAGGGCCCTTAAGAGCTTGTCGGACGAAGGCAGCGGGTGGCCCGGGAGCTTGGTGAGCAGCTGCCGGTCGAAGCCCTTGAGGCAGCGAGCGGGATTCGCATTTAGGGTTTAGGCTTTTAGGGTGTAGGGTGCAGGGTTTAGGGACAGGATTGAGCCTGGGTTGGGCTTAGGGGTTTAGGGGTTTTGGGGTTTATAGGGGTTTAATGAGTTAGCAGAAGCCTTGCCCATTTTGGGGCACATTACCACCAGGCACCCCATGAGAAGATTACTCATACTCCCGTGATGTAGGAAAACTCAGGGGACACTTGAGTGAAGAGAAGTTCCCAAACCTTCGGGAGCGACAAGCGCCTCAGTATCGCGCATCATCAAGCTTCAGCCGCAGGCTCACGCGTCGCCCAGGCAGCAAGAGTGACGGACAAGCACCTCTGCACCTTTTTCATCAGGGCATCGCTCAAATCGGGACCCCTGTTCAAAGGAACAAGACCACATCTGGCAAACATACGGGGAAGGACCGAGGGCAAATGCCACCCGGCGCGCATCGATTCTACTCATCGGCCACACCTAGCACAGTTAGAGTCATAATCGACGCCTATCTCCTCGCCACGAGCCCCATGAACCCCAAATGACATGTTGCCATTTTGCAAAGCAACGACCGGCATCATACTTGTCTCACGATCAACCCCATGCTGGGCACCTTGCAAGGATGGACGTTTAGGACCACCAACGACGAAGCTCTGAAGTGCGAACCAAGCTCTATGATGCGACAGGAGTTCATCCCACCGTTCCTTACTTCCAATCAACATACCCAGAAGGCGTAAGAGGCCTTTGTGCAAACCCCACCGTCCCAATCCAGCTGCGCTGGCCCATTCTCCGCAAGTCCACGACAATGTTGGGGAAGGCACTGGCAAAAGACACGGGGCAATTTCTGAAGCAGTCCGGTGCCACGGCCCGAAAAGACCGAGAGTGGTCGCAACACTCCTCATGCTACTACCATGCTTCATAGTCGGACCCCAGTAAGCCCTGGTCATGGCAGCGCACTCTATCGCAAACCTTTCAAGGGATGATGTTGGCTTCAGGATAGTGGTGATATAGTTGGTGAGATGTAGGGGGGAGAAAACGAACAATCTTCTAATGGGGTGGCTGGTGGAATGATTTCCCAAAACGGGCAAGGGCTCTGCTAACTCAATTAGGGTTTAGGGTTTCGGGTTAGGGTATAGGTCCAAAGGTACCTGCCCGGCCGACGCCCCAAGCCAGGATGTAAAAGGTCCAACAGTTAGGGATCCTTTTTGTGATTTCTTCGACTGGTTTGGGGGTTCCGACAATAGGAGGAAGATGCTGAAGAGGATTTTTTGAATGTTTATGAAATGTAGGCATTAGGGTTTCCGGGTTATGGAGCTTTTGGGGTGTTCCTTAAGGAGAGCCCTTGTGTCATCAGGCGTTCTTTGTAAGGGCACCAAAGTTCATGAAGAGCCCCAATGCCTTTTAAAGAGGGCTCTGGGCTGTACGTTTGTTTGGCAGTTTTCGTTTGCAAGGCAAGGGCAACTGACATGACCCGGAAGCCAGGAAAAGGCAAGAACAGAAAGGTGTGAGTGATTGCTGGAGGACATGATCGCACGTGCCGACTCGGACGGTGACGGCGAGGTGACCGCCGAGGACATGTATAGGGTCTTCAGCACTAAGTTGGTGGCCGGGCAAACCCTCACGTTGCCCCCACAACCCTGGCCAGTTCCGATCTTGCATCAGCAAGTCTATGTGTGCAAGCCATTGAGGACTTCTACATTCTCATGACACAGAAGACATTTCCGTACTGAGGGACTTTCCAAATCTGAATGCAAGAGCGTGTCACCCGGAGCCTCTCCAGGGGATTTCGAGAGGCGAAGAGGATCGAACAGTGTACGCGAAGAGCTTGGACCCCTCGCCGGCAAAGCAAAAAAAGGTTCCTGAATGCTGTCTCTTTGCTCTCGGCTTCAGCGTGGTCTCTTACAAGTTCCCAGCTCTTGTAGCTGTGACGAGCTGGTGTCTTAATGGGTGTGGCGGTGTCCGAAGTGCCGTCCATGCTGCAAGACGCTTTGGGGCAACTTTAGGTACTACGGTTGCTTCCAATCTGGTTTTCCGGGTGCAAGGTCCCTGCAGCCCGCCATAGACTAACCTGCCTCGTGACTTTGCAGCCGAAGGGCTCACGAAGTGGAGTAGACCTTGGTAGGATCAGGTAAGCCTGCTGCAAGCCAAAAGTTTGTATTTACGTTCGTATTTCTACCCAGGTACAGGAGTTTGAGGGTACGGATCCTGAATCCTCACATTAATTCCCGCCGCCGTTACCATAAGGATCCACGCAGCTTCGCCGCAGTTGCTGGTGGTTTCGCCTGGGGGAGTGGGAGTTTGCTGATGTCGGGTTCAGTGGGATGGTTGGGCAATTGATTGTATAGGCTTAGTCATGGACTTGGCCTGGCATGTCTACCACTCTGCCCGAGGTCATCGTGCGATGGCGTACTTTCGTGAGGCTGCAGCGGGTGCCCATTATCGTGGTTGTGGGCCATGCATTGATTTGGTTAGGACTTGGGGCTCTACAGGGATGTTACTCTCTGAAAGTAGATCCGGTTCAGTGGCAGGAGACGCTTTAGAAGTCATGAGGTGTGCTCAGCGAAGTAGCCTAAATGCACCGCGGTTTTTGGCGCTTCCTTCAAGCTCGGTGGAAACTTGCGGTGTTGTAACCGAGCTTCAGCTGTAACCCCCAGACAAAAAGTCGAGACCTCAACCCTCTAACGCACAGGCAAAAGCGCTGGTGGAAGTAGGTTTGCACCTCATGCCACGGGCGTCGTCGAGATTTCTAGCTCCCCGTAGTTGAGGATTGAGGTCGCCTTATCATGTTACTTCACAGAAGTTCAAGGGCTTGCAGGGGTGAAGGGTCTAAGACCTCGCATCCCCTCAACCAACGTGCCGGCCTCGGAATCTGCGCCATCCTTGGCTCGCAGCAGCCAGGCGCCAAAGGGCGTGAGGCGAGCGGCCTAAATCAGCATCCCTCACAGGGCCTGGCCTTCGATAGGGTTTGAATATTCACTCTTAAGGGGTATAAATCCCTAGCTTCTCTTCCGTTCGGACTCTCGATAAATCCCTATGTAACTCTTATATATCCCTTACATAGTCCCTTCAAACTAGTGTGTTTCTGAATCCGGGTTGGGAGTGCCGGGCGCGACTGTTGAGATTGTGCTTGTAGTTGAGGGTGCCGTACACAATGCCTCACCTGCGCAGCATCCGGCGATGCACCCATACAGCACAGGGCTCGCGGAGTCGCTACACCTACACACCCGAGTTTGCAACCAAGAAGCAGTATACTACCATTTGCTTAAGAACCCCCCCAAAAAACGATAATCCCTATATTGCCCCTCAGAAGGAAGAAGATTTTTCATTTTGTCGGGGTTCTTAAGCAAGTAGTAGTATAGTGTACGAGCATCCAGGAATCGAAGTTTCGTCGTCATCCCCCCCCTCCGGCCATGGCGCAGACGCGCAGCTTAGTGTTGGCGCTCCAGCCAAGCCTTGCGTGGCTCGGACAGCTCCGGGCTTTGTGATCTAGGGTTTAGGGTTTTAGGGTTTTAGGGTTTTAGGGTTTTAGGGTTTTAGGGTTTAGGGTTTAGGGTTTAGGGTTTAGGGTTTTAAGCTTTAGGGTGTAGGGCGGCTTGAAAACTTGTAGGGCTTCTTGGGGTTCATCTGTATAAAGGGGTTCGATCATGCAAGGGTACCTTTAACAAAAAGGGCACCCTAGTTTAGAGCACCCTTCCATGAAAGCTTATAAGGTCCAGTGACTGAACTTTCAGCTTTGCTGGAGGCTGTTTGTGTACGAGCTAGTTCTAAACCCTCAACCCCAAACCCCAATTCCCAAGCACCCTACACCCTACACGCTACACGCTACACCCTACACCCTACACCCTACACCCTACACCCTACAGCCTACAGCCTACACCCTAAACCCTAAACCCTAAACCCTAAACCCTAAACCCTAAACCCTAAACCCTAAACCCTAAACCCTAAACCCTAACCCTAAACCCTAAACCCTAAACCCTAAACCCTAAACTCTGAACCCTAAGCCCTAAGCCCTAAGCCCTAAGCCCTAAACCCTAAACCAGAACTTTGGCCTTGCAGACCTTGAAGCCCTTTAAAGCCGAAATTGCATGTTTGTGCGTGGGGATAAAGGAAGCAGAGCCTTGTACTCCCCTAAAAGGGACTATGTAGGGGTACCTATTGTTTCAAGAACCTCCCTACTAAGAACTCGTAAGCAAAGTACTACAGGGGTCGGAATAATTACTCGTATTGTTCCCTTATGGCCCCTTTGTAATTATACCATAGTAACCCCCAAACCCCTGTTCTAATAATTAAGGCCCCTAAACCCTAAACCCTAAACCCTCAACCCGATTCTAATCATTAAGGCCCCCCATATTATCGCTTTCAAAACCCTCAGAGCCTTCAGCCCCCCAGGCCTCATCCGAGGCCGCTGCGCGAGCCGCGCGCCCGCTGGTCACGCGAGGGGGTGGCCGCACCAGTGTCCGAGGTGGAAGTTTAGGGTTTCGGGTTTAGGGTTTAGGGTTTAGTAGCTGCCTCCCGAAAGCCAATGGTGGGAGTGTGGGGCTGGGTCTTGGGGTTTCGGGTTGTTGCAGAACTGAGCGCTTAGGGCGGAGTTTTGGCCTCGAGGTTACCTCTAACCTCAGCCTTCGAGTTAGAGCTCCCTTCTTTAGGGCATAGGCCCCCCCTAGAACAGCGAAAGTATGCCTGGAGACTTGACAGCTCACATCTTCAAAAAAGCCCTCAAGAGTGGAAAATTGAGGGTTCCTAGAGGGTGTGTTAGACTCGATAGAACATAAAGGCCCTAGGCCGAGCGACTTGATGACTCGTATGGATGGCCCTGAGCTGAAGGGCTCTTCTTAACTTCTTAAAGCCTAAGCAGGACTTTCCTTTGCAAGCTCCAAGGCCCTGGACTCCTGGACTGCGGGTTTAGGGTTTAGGGTTTAGGGACTGCCACCCCAACATGTCAACAAAGTTCCGAAGCCCTCATCAGGCCGAAGCCCTCGCGGGCGTAGCCTTGCGCCATAGACAGCGAAAGCCTATACCCTAAACCCTAAACCCTAAACCCTGAACGCCTAAACCGCCTGAACCGCCTAAACCGCCTAAACCTCCTAAACCGCCTAAACCGCCTAAACCCTACACCCTAAAGCCTAAACCCTAAACCCTAAACCCCAAACCCTAAACCGCAAACCCTAAACCCTAAATCCTAAACCTCCCTGCAGGTACATCCCTCCGCACCCTCCCGGGCGCCGCTGCGGCTGGTGGCCGCGGGCTGCTTCCTGGCCGGCGCGGCCAGGAGGAGCGAGGCGAGAACCTGAGCCGGGGTTTAGTCAAAAGGGTTTAGGGTTTAGGGTTTGAGGTTTAGGGTTTAGGGTTTAGGATTTAGGGTTCAGGGTTTAGGGTTAGGATTTAGGGGTTTTTAGGGTTTATAAGGGTTTAGGGTTTAGGGTTGGGGTGTGGGGTTTGGGGCCTTAGGGTTTTTTAGGGGCTTAGGGGTGTTTAGGGGTTTAGGGGTTTGGGGTCAATGAGGTTGTCTGAGCTTTAGGGACTCTGGTTCATTTTGTAGAGCCCATCTGTAGCCTCAAAAGAGGCAGGTGTTTTTGGGGGTAGGGGGGAGTCCTTGAGGGCGGTTGGGCTGGCTTAATGGAGGTAACGGCAGCATGCAGAATTTCCGCCGCAAGAAGTGCGCGGCGAAAGTTTGGGAAACCTCACTCTGTTTGTGTATTGGGCTTTGGGCCTTCAAGGAAACTTCAAGGCTTCATGGATATGGGTTTAGGCTTTAGGGTTGAGGGTTCAGGGTTTAGGGTTTAGGGTTTAGGGATCCCATAAGAGTTTCTCTGAACTCAGACCCGAGTCTGGGGTCTGTGCCTCTGCCTTTCAGCTACCCAAGCGCCCAGGTCCCAGATGCCTGCACCATCCGAGCGCGGAGGAAGGAAAAGCGAGGCCTGGCCCCTAAACCCTAAACCCTAAACCCTAAACCCTAAACCCTAAACCCTAAACCCTAAACCCTAAACCCTAAACCTCTAAACCTCTAAACCTCTAAACCTCTAAACCTCTAAACCTCTAAACCTCTAAACCTCTAAACCTCTAAACCTTTAAACCTTTAAACCTTTAAACCTTTAAACCTCTAAACCTCTAAACCCCTAACCCTAGATTTTCTGGGCTAGCGTTGGCCGTGGGCAGAATGCCTTTGGCCTGCTTGACCTTTTCAATCAAGGATATATGTATATATATATATATTCCGCTGACATTGAAATCCACCTCCTGTGACCTTCAGTGCGGGGAGAACCTGCGAAGCCAACAATGCAGGGAGGGCCAGTTTAGGGTTTAGGGTTTACCGTTCCGGGTTTACTTGTAGGGTTTAGTTTGCCCAGTCTCCTTCGCTACAACGCGGCGCGCGACAGACCCCGAAGAGGCCGCTTGGCTTGGGGTCGGTGAAAAGTATGTCAACGTCACGGGTGTTTCGCGATGGTTGTGGTTAGCGCTGCTCATGCAAAAAATCGTAGAGGCTTTAGAGTGCTCATTTGCAGCAGCTCCTGCCATCATCTTCTGTATGGGTTCTAATTATGCGGATTTCGGTCAGGATGTTGCTGCGCCGCTGTCTGGGTAATTAGAATCAAAAGCTTGTTCCAAGCTGCATCTGCTTATTTGCGCAGATTGACTGGTGACAGGGATGGAGACTTGGGATTATATAGAGATGACTTGGCATGTTTCCCCTTATGCTGACAGTCCTTAATGGGAATTATAATAGGGGGTACTATAATCCCTGCTAAGGATCGTATAAGGGGGAACATCGGGGCCGGGCTGTAGCAGGCACGTAGAAGGGTTCGAGGTCTCAAGGTTCTATAGCTCAAGCTACGGTAACATGAGGGCATCGGCAACCGTCATGTCTACACGCCCCCGCGCCCCTCAAGGTTTTGAGGGGTTGAGACCTGGAGACCCTTCACCTTAACCCCCAGGGTGGGGGCTGCGGGTTTCAGGTTAAAGGGTTTAGGGTTTAGTTAGGATTTAGTTTTTGAGAGAGAGAGGGTTGCAAGAAGGTTACAGGGTTAAACGGTTAAACCGCCGTTTTTTCTTCAGGATACTGCCATGCAGCTTGCGGACGACCAGGTCGGGTGGGGGCGGGTCTACATCAGCCTCATTAGCGTTCCTTCTTGCTCCCACCCCAAACAACAGCCGCCCTTTTCTGAGTAGACCTAAACCCTAAACCCAAAACCCTAAACCCTAAACCCCAAACCCTAAACGCCTAAACCCCAAACCCTAAACTACAGAAGCCCGGGAGTTGCACAGTGCCGCGGCCTCTCCCAAGTCCAGCAAAGCAAAAGGAGCAAATCACAGTTGGAGAGCCCTAAAACCCGAACTAGGCTTCAAGGGCTGAGGGAATGAGGGCCGCGGCCCAGCAGGAGTAGCTGCAGCATCAAGCATTCAGCCCTCAGTTCAAGAGCACCGATCACACATATAGGACAGAAAGGGGCATGGGCGCCGCCCGATGGCGGGTGCTCACCGCTGTAGCGGCAGTGTGGACGCTGTCAGAGGCGGAGGAGGCAGAGGAGTGTGAGTCGAAGCCCGGTGGATGCCGTTGCTTCTATGATGCCCTGGCAGCTATATCCCCCTTGGGAATTTTTTTTGTATTTTTGTTCATATAAAACCCAAGAGGATATCAAAACCAATATTTTATTAAGGTTCTAAGGGGAGTATAGGCAGATGGGTGCCCCATGTCACTCGGCCACGACGGCAGCCTTGCAATGTGCAGTTGTGATTATGCCGACAACACCTGGTTGAACGTGCTCTCCAACTTCATCTGGGCCTTCCAACAGAGTGATCCATACTCGCTATCAACAAGGTTCAAGCTCGAGATGGAAGAGAATGGCATACTTTCTTTGGACGTTGGTTACACCACGAGGATCCAGTGTGGCGCCCCGGTGGCCGCTGTGTATCCTGGCACGCTCTTCGCAATCGATGTGGAAGAACTGCACAAGTTCGCACGGAACCTTTTCTGGCCTCAGGTGCGGCAGAAGCTGAACGAGGTGTGCGTGCCAGGGCGCGTCGCCCTGCAGCTCCTCTGCCTGCACGCCGAGCTGGCGCGGCGAAACTCGCACGGGGCCGAGGCATACGCCTACCAGCTCCGGCAGCTTTACCCACTGATCCAGGGCTGCGTGCAGGGGACGACGCCCTGGCCCCTTCCAGGGCTTGACTCGTACTTGGAGAAGTGGGTCGACCCACAGCTCCCCCCACATCGGGTCGCCTTGAACCCCGAGCAGGTGCAGCGGCTATCCTGGAACCCGGACAAGAGGTTGATGAGAGGCAAGCTTCCCCACGAGAGTGACGGGCACTACTTCCCATGTGTCCCCCTGATGGACCCGGCGTGCTTTCCTCCCGGGACCCCGAATTTGCATATGAGCTGCGAGCACTGTTGTGACCCGGGCCGGGGCCCTCAGGGAGAGGCCGCTTGCTTCGTCGGCGAGTGGTCCTTTACCCGCTGCTGCCGCACTCCCAACAACCAGGGCCGCTTCTGGTAGTCTGCGTTGTGCAAAAGATGAAGAGCGCCCTGGGAAACCGTCCCGCAGAGTTTCGAATCGAATTATATATATATATATATATCTAGGTGTAAGCGAGTGGTTTAGGCCCTCTGGTTTAGGGTTTGGCGTTTAGGGTGTTTGGTTTAGGGTTCAGGGCTTAGGGCCTTAACCCCCAAATCTCTAAGCCTTCCTGGCCCTGAACCCCGTTTGCTCTGCCCGCGCTCAGGAACCTGAGGGAAAAATACAAGGGTCATTGGTAGGGTTCCCCACAGAGGAAGGAGTCTTAGGGTTGAGCAGAGGACGTCCTTGTCTTGCCTGAGTCTTCGATTCTCCCTGGTCATTCCGGGCATTCCCGGGTCAATGCTGTCCCCGGTATTCCCCGGTAAAGCCGATACAGATACACGTAGCGATGGGGTCCTTTGGTGTTGCGCTGCAGCCAGTTTGAACACAGTCCGAAACCTTGGTGAACATGGGTGTGGGGAGTACCAGTGGGCGACGTGGGAACTTTATACGCAGGGCCTTTGGCATGCTTGGGCCTAGGTCTATATGGTCTGTGTTGTGACCTAAGGCAACCAAGACCTAGCTCAACAATTGCCAGAGCAGCCGTGGTTGACCTTTCTGGAAACCTTGTTGCTCCTGACAGAAACTGCGGTTTAGGTTTAGGGTTTAGAAAGAGGATCCTTCAGAGCCTTTCCATAGGCAGAGATCGCCGAATCTCCACAGCGGGCAAGGAGTGCTGGCCCGCACGGGTGAACTGAGGTTAGGGTTTAGGGTTTAGGGTTTAGGGTTGTATACGGCTTAGTATGTTGGATTGCGGGACAAGTGCCCCGTGTAGCTTGAAGCCAAGAAAGGGAGATGCTCTAAAGTTTCACGCGTCCGCATTGAGGTCCCCCCCCCCCCCGCCCCAAGGCTTAAACCTTGAACTCCTGAGCTCTGTTGGAGCTGCGTCCCCCTTTTTCCGATGGTATGTAGGACAGTTGGACATGTCATTTCTTCGGTTGCTGCTTGATGTTTCGATGCCTTGGGAGATTCGGCTCAACCCAACCAAGGCTGCTGGAGCGTCTCCGGGATGAGGTCGTCCAAGGGGCGCCCGGAGCCCAGCAGTGTACAAAACGGGGCCAGTTATGAAGCTGAATTGATGTCCAATTCAGGGACACTTGAGGGGTTCAGCGTCCGGGGGTACTCACAAAATACCCATCCCTCAATGGATCTGAGATGGGTTTGCGCGTGGGAATCCTCAATGCCTGGGCATATTTGTGCGGGCGAGGATTTGGTGCCGGCCCTGAGCCTGCCCTGAAGGCTTCATGCACGGACTAGGGGGATCTTCTACTGGCCCTCTCACAGATATAAACCCTTGCAAGCCCTTCTAACATGCTGGGCCATGACATGTGCTCCAGGCACGACACTGTTGCGCAGATGTTCGTATCCGCCGGCAGCCATGCCCTCAGTTGCTTAAAGGCATTCTCCGGTGCAGCAGGGTGAAGGGTTAGGGTCTTGATGTTTCTACAGCTGCTCCTAGGGTTCGTGGCGGTTCAAGCCTCCAAAGCTTGGGCATGGAATTTAAGATTCCCAGAGGTGCAAAAAGACCCTAAACTTGAATCCGTGAATCGGGTCTTTTGGGGACATGTGCGCTGTAGGCATCTCTGACAAGATGTAGAAGAGAAGATCCACTCTCCAAGTGCTCCGGCGCAAGGGTGTCACTTGGGAGAAGCCGCGACAAACACCGAGAGCTGTGAAGCCAGCAGACCTGACATTCCTTTTGAACCGAGATGTCTCATGCACTTTGCACGTGCGAGCGTAGTTTTGCCTGCATGCAGTCATGCATGGTAATCACTGCTGATTCTGTGCGACTGGTGCAGCTGTAGAGTTGTAACTGTATGCAGGCAGGCAAGCAGGCGTAATGCTGCATGCTTTTCTGTACTGATGCACGTGCTCAGCATGCGTGCACGTATGCATGCACATGACGCACGCGACGTTACATATGTGCGGTCCGGTCTTTCTCACAAGTATTTACGTGCATCGCTAATTTCTCCACTCAGCCCGCATTCACGAAGGAGATGGGACTTATCAGAAAGATCCTGCTGCTAGACAACACAGAGACACAGCAACAATGTGAGCTCACGGCCCGGCTGTTGGCCGTGTGTCTTCGCATTTGAGAATGGCAAACGAGGCCTGTCATGCAGTTGAATCCGCACACCTCCCGTGTGGTTGAAGGCGACTTGCGGCACGACATGCTGGACGTGATGGCCGAGGATGGGGCCACTGACGTGGGGGTTGCGCTTCTGCGCAGAGCTGGGGCTGCACAGGTTTAGGGTTTAGGGTTTAGGGTCTGTTTAGGGTTTAGGGTATAGTTCAAAAACAGTGTTTCGGGGTTCCTGGGTTGTGGTTGGTTGGTGTAATTTCCTAAGCAGGCATTCGGGTCATTCTGACCACTTCCTGACTTTGATGCGCAGGAGACGATGCAGATGCCAACGGAGAGCTTTCGCCTGCTGCTTCGTGCCACTCTGCACAGCCTTATACAATCTTGTGGGCTTGGTTTAGGGGGGGTTTCATTAAGGGGGATGTAGAGTCTTAGAGGGTTTCTAGGCTTTGCAAGGTGTTTTTTGTTCGGCTAGCAGGGTTGATACAGAGGTTTCTTAGGTTCCGTCTTCGCGTCTTTCTGGGGCCTGGTGTGCAGGCTTGCTCGAAGTGAGTATCACTTTTTGAGAGTAGGGGGAAACTATCCAAGGAAGCGGTCTAGGGCATAGCCTGGGTTTTCACAAGTAGCCCGGCATGCTTGTCTTCGGCAGGCCATGAGGCTCGGGGACGTGTCGGCGGAGGTCTTGGTGTGACTCCGTCAGCATTTTTGTGACACCAGGAGCATCCGTGGAGGTAAGGCTACCTCACCACCATGCAAAGGCAGTACATCAAGCCCTGTAACACAGGCGTATGTGTTTGGGTTTCGCTGTATGAACTCCGAGGCTACACCGCAGTGTGTGTTTGGGTTTCGCGGTTCAGGGCTGGACCAAGTATTAACACCGAGGCTTAAAGCGTCTCCAGGACTTTCAGAGACTTGAATCATAGGAACGTGACTAATATCGACCCTCCACCCCCCCCAATTCCCTCAGGCAGACACTGCCAGTGCTCGCACACCGAAAGCGAGAGAGGGAGGGAGCTGCTTCAGACCTGCAACTCGCGAGGCAGCTCTACAAACGTGTGGAGTCATGGTTCTGTGCCCAGCGGCCGAATGTCGAGGAGCTTGTCTGCCGCGGTCTGATGTGTGTTGAAAGGAAACTTTGGGTGCCATCCCCCGCCCCCCCTCCCCTGCTTTAATTCCCATGCTGCGCTGCGGTGCACCTTGTGTTCTTGTAGAAGTCAGCCAGTAATACTGCAACGTGACACCCCACGCGAGTTGCAGCGCAGCTTGAGCCCTGGAAGCGCATGAAACAGTGCGCAAGGCTGCCGTCCCGAAGCCCGAAACCCGGAGGACTGGGCCCAAGTAGTCTATGCGCTCGCGCTGAGCGGTCGCGCCTGGGCTCGGCGGCAGCGTTCTTTTTTTGGGACTTTATAAGGAACCGAACCTTAGGGTTTAGGGTTTAGGGTTCTTGGGTTTACCGTTTGGGGTTTAGGGTTTAGGGGTACAGGGTTTAGAGACCTCTTGTCCCTGAGAGCTCTTGACAAGGACTGGAAGATGCCGTCCAGATTGTGGAGACCATGGAGACAGGCGGCTCGGCCACACCCTGTTTCACTGCTGCCCCTGCAGTCCTTGTCCTTTGGGGGTCATTTATATTATAGGGGATACTGAGGCACATAGGGACTACAGAAGGTATGTGTATATATATATATATATGGGGTTATATGGAATGAGATGAGGGTTCCTTCTGGGGGTCCCTCCATATACCCCTTAGTATGAGATCAAGCCCTGCAGGAGCGGATCCGCTCTATCCGAAACCGGATGCGCGGATGTACAACTTGCTGATCAGGGAGCTTGTGAAGCAGCGAGGTGCCATGGAAAGCCATGGAAAGTCTAGGCAGAGTCTGGCTACAGGCCTTCAGGCCTTCGGTTCAGGGTTCAGGATGGGGTTCTCAGCGTCAGAAGCCTGGGAAGACTTGGGAAACTGGAGGTTAAGTCGACTTCTGTGCCCTTTCTGCCAGGTGCGAAAGCATTGAAAGACCCGTTGACCAGCCCGGGGGCTTTGGGTAAAGTGACATGTAGGGTTTCGGGTTTAGGGTTTAGGGCTTGGGAAAACAGGGGTTGCCTTCGGAAGCCCGGATGGACAAGGGTTTAGCAAGCAACTACGCGGGTGCCAAGGCCGGACGTCGAACTGAAGTCACAAGCGACACCGGCACAGAAGTCACAGGTGACACCCGATAGAAGTCACAAGCGACCCCTCTACCACCCCCGGCCCCTCGAGTGCGGCGACGCGCTCGCTCGCGAATCCGGTCCCCGAACCCGAAACCCTACACAATGTCTAGGTCTTTGGAATATGATAACTTCACTTAATCGTTCCTTTCGCCTTGAACCCCGCACAGGTTCAAGGCTGTTGGCGTAAGGCTTAAGGATTGTGTCCGAGCCCCAACGCCAGGCTTGAGTACGGCTACCAGGCTATGGTCCAGAATGGCGGAGCTTTGGCCACAGGTAAAGGGGGTTTAGGGTTTGGAGGGCTTAGGGTTCCGGGTTTAGGGAACTTGAGGCTAAAGCAGGTTTGGGGGTTTTGGGGTGCTGGGGAGTTTGGGGTCTGGGTCGAGGAGCAGAGGCCTGAAGCCATTGGCCTCTTCGTGCATCCAAGCTTGAACCGCCCTGAACCCTAAAACCTCGGAAGCCCAAAGACCCTAAACCCTAAACCCTACACCCTAAACCGTGAGCCCCGAACCCAAAAGCCCGGAAGCTGATGTTGGGGTAATCAGCTTATCCGATCTTGGCCGTTGGGTCGGGAGCCCTGTGCGTGGTGTCGATGGACTCCTTGGCTGCAGCACTGGCTTCTGGCTTTTCAAGAGCTTGTCAATCCCGAAGTTGTTTCCCGGCAGTGTGGCTGGTCTGCTTGGCGGGTGGCAACAAAAACGCCCCCAACCCCCAATCCCCCCTAAATCCTAAATCACATCCTAAACCCGAAACCCCTATAAACCCAAACCCCTAAACCCGCGAAACCCTAAGCCCCTATAAACCCTAAACCCTAAACCCTAAACCCTAAACCCTAAACCCTAAACCCTAAGCCCCTATAAACCCAAACCCCTAAACCTTACAAGCAGGGGAGGGTCGGGTCTAAGGCTCGCGGCCTGGTCCCGGATGGAATGCTGCCTGGCGGTCTAGGGTTGACTCAACTGGGCTTCAGGTCTGGTGTTTCGGGTTCAGGGTTTGGAGTTTAGGGTTTAGGGCTTAATTGGGGGTGGGAAATATTTTTGAGCAGCAAAGGTTCAGGGTTTAGGGGCCTAGGGGTTCAGGGTTTAAGGGTTTAGGGGGCTGTGGGCCTGCTTCAAGGGGCCTGGATGCAATTACTTTATTGCACTGCAGTCCTTCCTCGAAAACAAGGCAAAGGCGTTCATAAGGGGTTCAGGCTTTTGGGTCTAGGGGCTGAGGCCTCAGGGCGTAAAGCAAAAAGGCCACCAACTCTGAGCCGTATACTGACGCACCCCAAGCGCTCCGTCCTAAAGTGCTGCCAGTTGGCCAGCGGTGTCATGTTTGAGAACGGCCAGGCGGATCGAACTTGCCTGAAGCCACAAACCCTTGCAAGCCTGAAGCCCTGAGCTCAAAAGCACAGCCTCAAAGTTCCTCGAATGGTGACTATAGGGGGTTTGGAGTTGTAGCTTCTTCTGAACTTAAGCCTGGAGCTCAATTCTCGAAGCGGATCCAGATACTTCCTGCTCATGGTGGCCGTGTGTGCGAGCTCCTACCCACCACAGCTGGATCGAGCCAAGCAGTACCTTCGCAGAGGCAGGGCACCCTTCCACCCCCTCCCTCCCCCTGTAGAGTTTTTGGTGTATGGGTCTTGCCCACTGTGCATCACCAGCGCAGGGAGTCCAATCAGGAGGCTTTTAGGACTGGCCAAGAGCACCTTTGCACACAGGTTTGCGCGTTACAGCCCGGGTGGAATACTGGCTGCGCGTGCTGACGTTGCATTCGGCAAATCCCACACATATTGCACTGCAGTACCAGAATAGCAATATCAACAAGAACAGCAACAATAATCAGCATAACAATACAGAATAAGGACCCACATTTGCAGGAAGGAAGGCCATTTAGTTGCCATTCCCTTTGATTCGCTCGTTGTTAAGGCCACCAGAAACCTTTCCAAATCTTTTGCTTGGAGGTTCATGGTACCTAATAACCCAGTAATAACTGTACTTGTCACCCAATTATGAATTGTAACCACATTAGGGCACTTCAGGGGCCAAAAAGGTGGGTTACACGTACAGGTATGCCTGGGCTATACGTGCCATGAACCTCCAAGTGGTCGACCTGCCCAGGCGAAGAGCTGATGAAGAAGCAGAAGGTAGCTTTCCGCTTCGATCGCGAATATGCAGCTTGTCTTCCAGACTTGGCTTCTGAGAGTTCGAGAGAGGGTTTAGGGTGTAGGGTTTAGGGTTTAGGGTTTGGGGTTCAGGGGGTTTGCAGGTTGCAGGGCTTGCAGAGGGGAGTCTCTGAAGAAGTGAAATAGGTGTGCATGGATTGTCCTTTAGCGCAGATCATCGGGAGCTACTTGTTGACGATGGTACATGCTTTTTCCGGGCCTCGCCCAAGCCAAAACCCGAGGATTCCTGAATCCGCAAGCGCTCAGCCCCTGCTGCCTGAGGACATCTCTTTCCTTTACACAGCTCTGATGGCTGGCTACCTCAGGCAGTGGGTGTAGGAGGATGTATTTGAGGTACGTGTATCGGTTTTGGGTCCCTGGGAAGGCCCTTGGGACATTGCACATCTTACCTTCTTTGGTTTAAGAGGGCCACATGTAGGATTATATTTCAACCCTGAACCCTAAACCTTAAACCCTAAACCCTAAACCCTATTGGCGGGCCAACCCGTTGCTCTCAGGGCAACACCCGCCCCCAAGCACCACCAAATGCCGGAGTCCACAAACTTGAGAAATCCCGAACCCCTCGCGAAAGAGCTTCTTCAAGCCCCTAGTTCAAGGCCCACTTCGTAGGCTATGAACCCGAGGGTTTAGGGTTTAGGGTTCCTTCTTCCTGACATCCCAGATCCTTGACGTAGGATCTGGTCCCCCTAAGCCCCCCAAATCCCGGGCCCTCAACCCTCCGACCTCGCGTGTACTTCGTTTCTTTGAGGCGTGGGGTCTTTTGCCTTCGGTTTGAGGCCTGAGTGTCGGGCGAAGATAGGTAAACCCCAAAACTCAAAACCCGAAACCCCAAAACCTGATGGCCAAGTAAACCTAAGCCCTTAACCCTAAGCCAGAGACAGCGCCGTGTAACCTTAGCCAGTGTGGTTGCGAGGCTGCTAGGCAGGTGGCGAAAAAAAATCTGCCCTAAGCCCTACCAGGATAGGCCGAGTCAATGAAATCTTCAGCATCCTCGGGGCGATGCGCCAGCACGGGCTCCGGCCGGGACCCGCGCCTTGGCTTCCTTGGCCGCCACCTTCTGCTAATTGAAGCTGCTCTTGGGTTGGGACCCCCGGGCCGGCGGAGAATGATATGTGTGACTCCATTCAAACCCTCAACCCTAAACCCTCAACCCGTTACCCTAAACCCTAAACCGCTTTTTGGGAGTCCAGGTCATATTCTCCATTCTGCAGAAGTGCTGCCACGCGCGCCTGGATCCTGCATCCGACATACGGCAGCTGCTGCGAATCATGGAGCAGATTGGTGTACCACCCGCCTCTTGGGCGCATGTGTGGCGAAGGTGGGGGGGGTTTGGTTTTTGCTCGGCATCCATGGGGTAGAGGAGGACGTGGCTACTCCCTATGGCCAAAGTGGGGTTCGTCTGACTTGGTCCTTTTTTGGTTTTGGGCCTCTTGAAGATTGTGGTCCTTCGAAAGATTGGGTTTGTAATTTAAGGGCCCAACGTGCGATTCAGAACAGCCACGTGCCCGTGCTAATGCTGGATAGATACGTGCTACATGCAAGCCTCATTGACGCCCCATGGACGAAGGAGACGGCAAATTACAACGAGCTTATCAGGCATCTTGGCGGCACGAGGCAGGTCCAGTGCATGTAGCCTGCTTGGTCATGCGATCGCATGTTGGCCTCAGGTTTTCGGGCTGAAGTAGTTTCGGGATACATCTGGACTGCGGATTCGGATCAGGCTCGGACTTAGGCTTATAGTTGCGGTTGATTTCTGCGTCGGTTGAAAATCCGGAGCTGAGAAACTCAAGCGACTAAGCTTAAAGTTACGACCCACCCCTGGGCCTGACCTGCTTCAATGACTGAAAGAAAGCCTTGTATGTCTTAGTAGGGAATATGGGAATTAGGGTCCTTCAAAACTATAAGGGGGGGTTAAGCCACCTAATGACGAGGAAACAACCTGCGTTGCAAAGGTCTTACGGCCTGACTGGACAAATGACCTTGGCACTCCAAGTGGCAAATCGAATGCGCGAGGCTCCCGTACTGCAGCTGATGTCATAAGCTGCTGCTTCTGGGGGCTTGTGGAGATTGTTGAACCTCATGCAGTGCTCTGTCCCCTTTTCCCTCCCCTGCCTGTACGAGGCTGGCATCGCGTGGGACTCCTTCACCTACCTCTTCCTGATCCAAGCCGTTAGCTCCGCTGGACAGGCGCTTGTTCGGTTTCTGTCGGTCGCATATCGTCTCTCTCTTTTTTTGTCAGCACTGGCATAGACTGGCATAGACTGGCATACTATGGCAAGGAGGTATGGGTTTCTGGACAAGGTCGTGGGAGGTTTGCGGGTCCTGTGCTCGAAGCGCACTGGGAGCTGGGTGGTAAAAAGCAATTCTCGGACCACGTCCGCCCACGCCCATCCCAAAGCCCTACACACAAGAGGAACTCCCTCAGCAATGTACAGTGCACAGGTGGAGATGGCTATGCGCTTCCTGACGCGGATGCGCCAGGAGTGCTTCCGCACAGTTCTCTTGCTGGCTTCTCCTTCTGCTTCTTCTGCTGCTTCTTCTTCTTCTGCTTCTTCTTCTTCGGCTGCTTCTTCTTCTGCTGCTTCTTCTTCTGCTGCTTCTTCTTCTTCTTCTTCTTCTGCTGCTTCTGGTTCTTCAGGGCGTGCTGCGGGCAGGGGTTTGGAGGTTTTTGTTTTAAGTAAGGTGCAGCAACCTCTAGGTTAAAGCTTGAGTTAAAGTACCCTTAACCCTATCCACAACCACTCATGAACAATCAAACATCAAACAAGTTCCAGAGATCTCCTTCGTAGATCGCCGTTTCCAGGACGCGATTCGACCAGGGGTGTCGCACTACACGCGCCCTTGGCTGAACCTCCTTAAACCCTAAACCCTGAACCCTAAACCCCCAAAGTACCATAAGTTTCGGGTTCAAGGACATCATCAGCCCTAGCACCCCCAAACTTTCAACACCCTGCACCGATGATAGGGGCCGCGTGACCTACTTGGAGGTCCCATGGGTAGTCATAAGTGGGGTTATAAGTAGGGTAAGTGTAAATATAGCTGGCTATGCCCTTTTTTTTGTTGGGGTACTTATAACCCTACTTATAACTGCCCATGAACCTTAAAGTAGAGGCTTGTGCCCGAGCTGGGATTCTTGTGCCATCGGCCAGACCACCGCGAAGCCGCTTCAGCTGCGTCGCTTGGGATGTTCCCCCTTATACGAACAGTCCTTAATAGCGATTATATTAGGGGGTACTGCAATGATTAAAATTAGGGGGTACTATTATGATGATATTGGGGGGTACTATAATGATTATATTTGGGGGGGTACTATAGTCCCTCTTAAGGACTGTTTGCATAAGGGGCAACATCCCAATGCGTCGCCGTCACGAAGCTTGCCTCTGCGGAGGTTTCGCGAGGGGGCTTTGGGCTGGGGGTTTAGGGTTTAGGGTTTGGGGTTTAGGGTTTATAGGGTTTAGGGTTTATAGGGTTTAGGGTTTAGGGTTAGGGGGGGGGAGTTTAGGACTTCTGCAGTGTTTAGGAGGGCTGGGTTGAAGCAGGGTTCCGACTTCTATGGGCACTCGTCTAGCCTCTACCATTCCCAGGGCGCTGTCGTCCTCTTGGGTCGCTCCTCCCCAAACTTCCAGAGGTTACTTGAACCCCATGCTCCTAGACCTTGGGTCCATGAGAGACGTCGGGTCCTGAACCCTTAACCCCTAAACCCTAAACCCTAAGTATCACCAGCGCCCAGAAGAGCTCGACCTGCCCAAACGGGCTCTACAGCAAGGCTATGGGACAGAGTGTGCCTCGCCTGGCGCGTCCGAGTGTGAGCAATTAAACCCTATCCCTAAACCCCAAAACCCTCTCCTAACCCTGAACCCTGAAAGCCTAAACCCTAAACCCCAAAAACCCTCTTCTGACCCTGAGTCCGCAGCCGAGCCGAGGTGCACGTTCATCGGCTTGGCCACCGCAGGCGGGGATGCAGATGGTTGGGGGCAAAAGGGAGAGGTTACGTGGGTTACAGGGGTTTGCTGGGTTGTGCTTTGGGAGAATTTCAAATTTTCCCTTCTTTTCCTATTCATAATTCATAAATCATTTTCAAAGCTTAAAGCACAACCCAGTTTAGGGTTTAGGGTTTAAGGTTTGGGTTACCGGTGTATTGAAGGTATGGTAGGCTGGGCATGCGGTATCCATAAATATCGCGGCCAATGGAGCCTCCAAGAGAGGCTGCGTGGAACTTCCGAGAAGAGTCGCTGAGCACGGCAGGCTACTACGAGGATGCTTCCCGCGTTTTCCAGCGTCTGGTGGATGTCGGGGGAGCGCGGAGCCAGCCCCCGAGCAGAATTGGCTGGGCTGCAATTGCAGGTTCACGACAAAAAGGCTTTTGGGCGTTTGAGTATAGAATAGTATAGACTTGCCCTTGATTATCACAGGCATTGTGCCGCCAGATCGGCGAATAGGATCTTCTCCATGCACGGATGCTTTCCTAATTTTACTGGGGCAGTCCATGGACACCTGCAAGACACGCTCTTTGTATCTGGTTCTGCGCTCAGTGGCATGGGGCTTCTTGCACCTAAATCCGTGCCGACACTCTCGGCTTCCCTGCATGACATCGAGAGAGGGGCCCTAATCTGGAGTCGACCACATGTCAGTGCGCTGCAGATAGATAGCATGGCGGACATCTAAGGTTCCCGTGCGGGCCTCAGCGTTGTTGCCTGTGCATCACGGAAGCCGCTATCGGGCTTTTGCGGTACGACTTTGTTCCGGCTGCTGTAAGTCCAGAAAGGCATTTTGTTTCGGGAGCACACGAGAAACACGAGGTACAACATGATGATGGCCATCCATGCCCGGCAGGGCGACATGGGTGCGGCAGAGGAAGTGCTGGCACGCCAGCCGCAGCAATCGGAGGTACTGAAGTGTTTTTAAGGAAGCGCTGAGGGACCTATCATCACCGACAGGGATTGTGATAGTGCTGTGCCTGCGCGCCTATTCCGTGCTGCGGTTGACACTTCTGCCCGACACTTCTTTTCAGGACCTAAAACTGTAAGGAACCATGGTTTCGAGCAAGAAAGTCAGGCTTGAACGGGTTCGTGTGGGTCTACTTCGAGTTGCGGATTGCGATCAGAAGCTCTTGCAGGCTGCTCCGCCCCAAAAGCTCCAGGCCCCATTGCAACCCTGGCATCCCAAGGAAGACATGACCGAGGCTGGATGGCCACCCGACGTGCGCCTCAGGTGGCAGGATTGGTGTAGAGGACCTAGGCAGGATAAGGGAGGGTCTATATCCCCAAGGGTCTCCCTAATCGTATCTCCCAGAAGTGGACTTCAGCCCTGAATTCTGTATCTACTAGCCCTGAGGCGAGGGCCGGGTCCGTTTGGACTGATCATCATTTTGGCATTTTGCCTTGCCTGCCTCGTGCGAAAGTGAGCGTCGAAAACTCTGAAGCCCTACCTGAACCCCTACCACTCTGTTGACATCATATTAGCCCTTGGGACTTTAGGTGGATAAAGTGCTGTTGCAAAGAAGGACTTCATGGATACAAGCAGCCATTCGCCGGGCTAAGGACGACTTACCAAACCCTCCTGCAAGGCTATGTTGCAACTTGGCTGTGGACTGACGCTTTTTGAGTTTGATGTGCTATCTACCTGCCTGGGACCGAGGGAGGCTCAAAATGTTTACAAACCCCCCGCCCTCGCCACCTGTCCCCCCCTCAACCGACGCCTCCGGCCCAAACTTCCTAATCGCAAAGCGTGAAAGTTCAGGCTTGGTTAACGTTGCTTGAAGCGAGGCTGCGTGCGACTGGCCTGCAGCACTGGCGCTGCAAGAAAAGGCTCTGCCTGTCTCTGCCTGTAGGTTGTTCAGGAGTGACAGGTCCGAGATGTCGAGGTCTCTTTGGGAGGACTTCTGCAGGTACCTGGCGGTCTTTCCAGTTCCAGGGAGTGCCCTGCATGGTTTATTCTGCAGCTCTTCATAGTTATGAGCCGACACGCGGCCGCCATAGGGACGGGAGTGGCTGAAACGTTGGGATGCAGGGCTGCAGAATCGTCGAACTACCCCTGAATCCCGAAACATGCGCTAGCAAGAACCCAGAAGCGTACCAAGGCAAAGAAACCCTAAGCCCTGAATTTTGTTGACAGCGTGAGCGACGAAAGCAACATTTAGACCCTAAACCCCAAGCCCTAAACCCTAACCCTAAACCCTAAACACTAAACCCCGCTGTCTGGGAAGGTCCTCGACCTCCGTCGTGGCCTCGTGCGAATCCAAGAGGCGCGTCGGCCACGGCAGTGAGCTCAACTTTACCGTGTACAGGGGGCTTGGAAAAAGGGCTTAGGGTTTAGGGTTTCGGGCTGGTGTGTAAGGTTTCATAGTTTCAGTATGGTAGGTTCCCTTAGGGTGCCAGTTGTTGGGTATTTAATAAGTCTATTGCCCCATCGGCCCTGACAATTCGGGTGCCCGAACGAGGTCGCATATGTTGAAAGCAAGGCTTTCAGGGTTCTGGGTCTGTAGGGTTTAGGGGTTGCCATCCCTCCTCAACCATGTGATGAAGCGTTCTTGCAGAGGGCGGCGTCTATGAAGTTCCAAGAACTTCTTGTGCTGAGAGTTCCTCAAGCAACAAACCTCGAAGCCACCTGGACACCCCCCCCACCCCCCCACCCTAAACCCAAAGCCCTAAGCCCTAAACCCTAAACCCTAAACCCTAAACAGGATTCTGGAGTCACCCAGGCGGCAGCTTGGTGCATCTCATCAGAGGTCGGGTTTGAAGGTTGGAAGGTTTGAGGGCTTTTGGAGGTGAACCCTGAAGGGCTGCTCCGGATACCAGAGGGAGCCGGTCCTCAACCCCCATCCCCTGAACCCTAAACCACAAACCCTGTAAAAATAGGGGACCCCCAATACGGATGTGCCCCTGAATCATAGCCCGAAACATACCCGCGAAACATACCCGAAATATACCCCCCTCCCCCCCCCCCGCCCAAAAAAAAAAACATGTTGATAACCCGATACATGCCCGCGAAACATATGCCGAAACATGCGCCCGGTTCCAACCTGATTTTTTGGGGACTCGGGTTTGGCTCCCCAAATAGTAGGATCCCCTGAAAACCGGGACCCCAACAAGGTGCCAGGTGGGGCTGGGTTGTATGGCTGTTTTTTGTCGTTCAAGTCAAGCTCCTGGCAACTTTCCATCCACAGCATGGATTGCTGCCGTTCTTCTGGGCGAGTCGCTTGCTATCCTTGCCTGTAGGGCCAAGATGGTGTGCGAGTCTGGCATTTTGCTGCCGATATGAGTTTACGTAGGTTTTCTCGTTGACCTCCGCTGTGCTTTGCCTGTTTTGGGTATTTGCACCACAAAGTTCTGTAGTTCCCACAGCAGGGTAACACACTCCCAAACACAGTAATTAGTAGAATCCCCAGAAGAGGCCCTAAACCCTAAACCCCAAGCCCAGGCCCAGGAAGCCGCCAGGGCGCAGCTAGGGCAGACGAAGGTGTGGACCAAGGCCCCAAGATACGGGTTTAGGGTGCTGGGTTCGGAACGTCGCGAAGACCATGCACGTCAGGCTCCGGGATGAATAGGGCCCGGGCCATTATTGCAACCCTGCTCTCAAAGCACTCAGGGAAGTAGGCCCCCCCAAGGCCCAAGACCTGCAAAACACCCTTCGGGAAGCACCCTAAACCCTAAACCCTAAACCCTAAACCCTAAACCCTAAACCCTAAACCCTAAACCCTAAACCCTAAACCCTAAACCCTAAACCCTAAACCCTCAAAAACTCCCTCAGCCCTAAGCCCGAAATTCCCAAGCAAAGTCATGCCAAGGCTCCCCTGGAGCCCTACTTGGAGGTTCATGGTACTTAAGAACCCAATATTGTAACCCAATTATAGATGACTGTACTTAGAATTATAGCCCCTCAATTTGAGCCAAAGTAGGGGCACTTGAGGGGCTTCTGAGTGGGGTTATAAGTGCAGTTATGATTGGGCTGTTAAGTGCCATCCCTAAACCCTAAACCCTAAAAAATAAGCCCTGAATCTCCAAGTAGTCTGGTCTCTCTCCGCACCGTCAGCTGGCGGAGGTGTATCACCTGCTGGTGGATGCTGCCGTCTACAATGCCGATGCTCGCAGAACTTCGGGTTCTAGGGTTAGGGTTTAGGGTTTAGGGTTTAGGGTTTAGGGTTTAGGGTTTAGGGAAACAAAGGGTTTAGGGTTTAGGGTTTAGGGTCAACGGGTGGGGGGTGAGGAAGCGCTGGCCCTTGGCCCACATTCGGATCTGTAGTTCGTTCAGATCCGAAGCTATGCAATAGTTCAAAGCACATAATTTGTTCCGATCCGAAGCCCTAAACCCTAAGCCCCGAAACCCTGTAAGCTGAAGCTCGAAGCCCTAAACCCTAAACCCCAAACCCTAAACCCTGAACCCTAAACCCTAAACCTACATCCCAAGAGCTTAGCTCGGCCCAGGAATGGCCCCGTGCTGTGCAGCTCATGGAGGAGTTGGTCGGCTACGGCCTGCGGCGTGGATGCACTCCGAATTTTCGCTCCAGAAAACATGGGCTTTCGAAGGTTTAGGGTTTAGGGTTTAAGGTTTAGGGAATAAGAGCCGAGCGTTGGAGGGGTTAAGCATGGTTTAGCATTTAGGCGCGGAACCTCATGTTTTTTCATGCCCCTGCGGATATGTGAAATCTCTAGTCTCACTGCAATGAGAGCTGGCCAGATTTTCTGGATGTCTGTGTGCGGGGGAATGTAAGGAGGAGAGGCTGAAGTTTGCACATGTGAAGTGTTAAGCACCTCTGAAGAAACACTGGGCCAACAAGCTGTGGCAGTCAGGGGGGGTTGTAGCTTGCAACCATACACTCACGGGGCTGTCCGACGAATCTCGGGAAATCTTCCTAGATCCCAAAGCTCCAGTATAGGGGCACCCCAGCTTGGCACAAGAGAGCCTCAACTTCCGTTGCCAGGCCCGTCAACTACGCGAAGCATGCCCGTGCCGTCGCGGCAGCTATGGAGGGGCCCTCGAGACACCCTCAACCCAAACCGGCCCAAACCCTCGGATTTGAGGCTTAGGTGTGTGGGCAGGACAGGCTCTTTGGGGGTGCTCGTGGGCTGCCAAGCTCAAGCTCGGGAGTTTCTGGAGCCTCCAAGCTCAAGCCCGCTGTAAGCCAAGTATGCCGATCCGATCGACACATCTTACCCGAAGGCTGTTGAACGACCTCCGCTCCCTGACGCGGAATCTCCTTTTCCGTAGACTCAAGCCCAGGCAGTTGTTGCTCCAAAGGCCTGTCGACCTTATCTCAGGCGCACACTCCTAAACCGTCATCCCCTAAATGGTTGACCACGCCTTCATGGTTCAGTGTGCAGGGCCTGTCGAAGCCGAGCCGGCCTAAGTGATGCCGGCGCAAGCGCCCAGGCCTGCTGGAAGACACCTTGCCTTCCACCCGAGCTGGTCTGGCGCTAAAAGGTGCCCTGGACTTCAGAAGCCTCTGCATGGTGTTCTCTTGGACGCTCCGGGTTTGATGTTGGTGCTTGGTCGGCGTGCTGAAGCCTAAAGCAAGATGCGAGCAAAGGTGGAAAGCCGGGGGACCCCAGAACATGATTCAAACTGCACCTCCGCACCCACGAGATCTGCAAGCGTTTGGCAGTTCCGGTTTGGGTTTCAGAGCTGTAAATGACACCTTCAGAGTAGCAAACGTGTCTACAAGTCTCCCGAGCGTCTAGAAGGTTCTAAGGTCCTCTCAAATGAAATTTACATCGCCATTCACCTTGTAGTATTTTTACATATCAACTGCGGGGCGAGTACCCTAAACCCCTAAACCGAAGGGTTGGAAGGGCTAGGTTGTGGGCGTGAGGATTGGACTAAGCTGCTGGGCCTTCGCCCCGGGTCTTCAACTATGGACTCATGAATCCACGAAGTTGTTCCCTGCAGTGTGGCTGCTCTGGTTTGGCGGGTGGCAAGAAAGAACCTAAGCCCTAAGCCCTAAACCCTAAACCCTGTGTTGAAGAAAGGTGAAGCTGCTCAGGTGTCTACAGCCGGAACGCGCAGACGGACTGGACCACTGCCGATGAGCGCCAGAAGGTGCAGGGCGGCCTGCATTGAGCTTCTTGGTGCTGGGTTTACGGTTTATACCCTAAACCCTAAACCCTCCCCTCGCAGCCCGCGACGCTCCAGACCACAAGCATCGGGTTCAATTCCCTCAAGAGACGCAGTGCCCATTTTGGGAGTTTCCGAAAGTAGGGATAGCTTCTGATTGGTTCCTATCAGAAGGAGTGCAGCATTTTGGGAGCTCGCGTTTCTGAGGCTCTTGAGTTGAGGGACCGCTCCGCTTGCGAGTCTGGGGTTCCTCGGCCCCTCCGCCCGTGGATCGTGCTCAAAGCGCCGCCAGGGTTGTGTTTGCTGCTGTGTAAGGTGCACAGCTCAAGAGCTTTCTGACGCTTACGCCCAGCACAGTCGCGCAGCACATGTAGCTTCCAGGATGCTAGGTTGCTAGACCACACTCCAAAAGACCCCATCTAAGCAAGCAAGAGAGATGTCTTTCCTCAGCAGCACCTGCGTCTCGGACCCCCTCTGAGTCAAGCTTTGTTCAAGGAGGACCCTGGAACCTCAGCCCTTTAACACCTCCAGACCTTCAGGACATCCTGGCTCCCACCACTTAGGGCAGCCCTGCGGCCATGGATGCGCGTGCCACGGAGCTATGGCCACATGCACCGGCGATCATCGCAAAGCTGGAAGCGGCCATCCAGCAGTCAGGGCCCCAAATGTTCGCTTGTGTTTTGTTCTTGTTGATGGGGCTTTGCGTCTCTTAAGGGTTTTTCATGCTTAAGACCGCCTTGTCCATCGACGTCGTGGTAACGATTCTGCGTGGGGTGATATCATAGTCGATCTGCTGCCAATGCTCGCAGCTGTTGCCTGTTCCTTTACCCTAGCCCTAGCTAAGCCCGAATGGGATGATGCTGTTGCTGCTTTGTGTCGCCCTTGCCATGGCACACATACGACAGTCCTCTGGCAAAAAGGGTTCTGCGAAGGGCTTAGGGTCCAGGAGGGTCTCTATAGGTTTGAGGGATGTCGAGGGGGTGGAGATTCTTCCCCGAGAGCCTTTACTTTATAGCTTTTTTGCAATTGGGAGACTCTAGACCGTCAAATGACCCTTAATGTGTGGGTGTGGGTTGACGAGCAAATCACGGCGACAAGCTGCGACCAAAAACCGTGGCAGTCTGGACGACAGATCCGTCAGGATCTGCACGGGGGGCCGGTGACAGCTGCTACTGCTCGAGTTCCAGCACCTCCTACTGCTAAAGGTTCCTCAAGAACACAGTGTAACATTCAAGAACATAAGAACTTCAACGTCTAAAATCTCTTCCAGAAAAATGATGGCCCGGCCGGCCCGGCACAGCGTGGCTGCGACCGCAGGACTTGTGTGGCACAGCCTCCGCCCTTGCCGCTGCCAGTCCACTGGCACTGGGAGCACTGGGAGCGACCAGGCCAGGCCCCAGCCGCTTCGGCATCCCTCGACAGGCCGCTTTATGAACCCTTGGCTAAAGGATGGCCGGGACCCCTGCGAGAAGAGTGCCCAGGACATGGCCGGCTTCTTCCGTGATTGGCTGCGCTTCGACCCCGAGGTTGAGGAGGACAAGACGGATGGCTCCTGCATCACTCCCGTGCCCGTGGCCTGGGAGGAGCTTCGAGCATTGCACGACGCGGGGGAGCTGGCGGCGTTGTGGCTGGGCCACGCCTCGGTCTTTTGCATGTACAAGGGCCAGCGTGTGCTTTTCGATCCGGTTCTCTCCGAGCGTGTCTCACCTGTCACCTTTGCGGGGCCTGGGCGCTTCAAGCCGCCCCCTGTGAGGTCGGACTTCAGCGACTGGCCGGCAGACCTGGCACCCAACGTCGTCGCCATCTCCCACGCGCACTATGACCACTTGGACGAAGCCACAGTCGTCAGCCTCCACACGCGGTTTCCCGACATCCGCTGGATAGTTCCGCTGGGTCTGGGCTCCTGGCTGAAGCAGCGCGGCATCAACGCAACAGAGATGGATTGGTGGCAGGAGGTACCATTGCCTGGTACGGACGACCTTGCCCTTGTAGCCTTGCCTGTCCAGCACTGGGCCAACCGCTTTCCTTGGGACAGAAACACGACCCTCTGGTGTGGCTACGGCGTGGTCTGCAAGGTGTCGGATGGCGACGGCGCCAAGCAGAAGGTGCCTATGCCCCTGTGCTTCCTGGGCGACACAGGTTACTGTCCCATCTTCCAGCTTCTAGGGGAAAAGTTTGACATCGGAATGGCCCTGGTTCCGATTGGCGCCTACCACCCGCGCTGGTTCATGGCATCGTCGCACACGGACCCAGCAGAGGCGGTTCGTATCGTGGGCGAGCTTGGAGCAAAGGCTGCGCTTGCCATCCATTGGGGCACCTACCGGCTGACGAAAGAGTCCCCTGGAGCACAGCTTCGGGACCTCGCGGCAGCGCGCGAAGCGCACGGAGGCGATCGCCGCCTCCGCGCCGTGCGACCCGGAGTTCATGTTGTGGCCTCGGGCACGGTTCTGCCGGACGAAGCAGATCGATTGAACGGCTGAGTCCTGACCTCGTGTCGAACCCTTCAGACCTAGAGTCGGGGCCTGACCTTTGCCTTTGCATTTCCGCGGAAATGAAGTTGTAGAGTTGTGCCCCCAAGCTGCAGTGCGACAGATGGCCGGATGTAGGCACTTTCAGGCTAAATGCGTCGGAGGGGCCCTCTGAGAATCTCTGCAGCTTTGAGGTCCTCGCCGGCGGCTCGAGAGGAGCTCGAAGCGGGCTTCGGGGGCAATCTCAGGGTCTGACAGGTTGGGTTTGCACGGGGCGCATGCCGAAGGCGGTTCTTGGAGAATATGCCTGTCAACAGTACGCGGAGTTCTTAATTTTAAAGCAACGGTACGGGTACATTCCCACAGGACATGCACTCGACTGCATGGCACCCGGCCTTCCAGGCTAATGTCCAGCATTTAACAGGAGCTGCTAGCCGTGCTGGGTATCGATGGCGGCCCACTTACTGTGGAGGCATTCCGAGAGTGTGGCTTGAGCTCGTGTCTTAGTAGACATGCTTCTGCCTAATCCACGCTTTGCCATTCACTGGCTTAGGGCCGCGAGTTGCCCTTACACCCAAAATTCTGGCCATTGCATGGACAGGGTGTGTACAGAGGATTTTCAGCACCATGTGTATACGTATGGTTGTGGCAAAGGACGCGAAGCCTGGCATTGATGACTTCGAGTATGCCCTGCAGGCCTTTGCCGCACGATGTGTGATGCTGGGGCTGGTTCCGGTGTGCTTGGCTTTGTCCTTTCCGGTGCTTGCCCGGGTCGGCACTGCATATGAGGATGTTTTAGGGGAGCGAATTCTCGGAAAACATGTAGCACACTGTAGATACTTCTAGGGGCCCGCGCCTCAACCTGGCACGTAACCTCTAACCTAGATCGGATTGCGAATGGCTTTCGGGGACAGGCAGCTGTACTGGATCGTCTCGAGCCACATCCAGATCCAGCACAAGCCAAGGAGAGGGAGGTCGGCGTTTTGTTTGAGCAGGGCCTTGGCCATGTGACGGGAAAGAGGGGCAGAGCATCTCGAGGTGCGAACTAGTGAGAGAGCAAGCAGTGACCACTACGTTGCCACGGCTCATGCTTGGGAGCCTGTCAGGTATAAGTACGGCTCAGGAATGCGAATATATCGGGATGTTCCCCCCTAGACAAAGAGTCCTGAATCGGGATGATAATAGGGGGGCACTATAATCCCTCTTAAGGATTGTTAGCATAAAGTACATCCCATGCAATCTAACTTACCATCAGGCGCAAGTTCCCCGAGCCCTGGAACTTGCGGCCGATGTGGTCGCCGCGCTCTTTGAGTACTCAGCGGCGCCCGAAGTTTCTGCCGCAGAGACAGACAGGTGCACTCGGCGAAGATAGGTTTAGGGACTGCAGGTGGTCAGGGGTGGTTCTGTCCTTCTTTAAGAGAGTTTGTGTGTGTTCAGTGGCCCACAAACACTACACTAGTGCCAAAAGCGGTGGACCAGAAATCCAGCCAATGCAGCGAGAAAGTGACATGGACAGCTTCGTCATACTTTTTGCGACAGTGGCCGTGTCGCCACACCTCCTGTGTGGTCTCTTGGACCCTCTTCTTCTACTTGGCGACTCCCTACTTGAAGGTTCATGGGCAGTTAGAAGTAGTGGTATGGGTGCCCTGAATAAGGTTAGAACCAGTTAAAGGTATAGTTACCTACTTGTAACCCCACTTATAACTACCCATGAACCTCCAAGTAGCGAGGTGCAAGTCCTGGTGGATGATCTTCGTGCAAATCGCGGAGGAAACCACCAAGCTGGTAGCTTTGGGGCCGCCGGGACTTATTGGCGTTGGGGGTTTCGGGGCTGAGATGCTGATGCTTGGAGATGAGTCTGGCTAGTCTTCAGGTTCAGTTGCAAAAAAAGTTTTAGGGTTTAGGCTACTCCCAGGATTTGTTCCGGCGCTGGGTCAGGGGAAGCCAGGTGGTAATGACAAACCTTGGGGGCCTGGCCTCTTCTCTGCGCCTGCTGGAAAAGGGCCCTAAACCCTAAACCCTAAACCCTAAACCCTAAACCCTAAACCCTAAACCCTGTCTACCGGGAACTTGGTTTCCATGCGTTGGTCCCGAGGCAGTTGGAGAAGCTTGTGGAGGTCTTCGAGCGCAGCCTCATGAAGCTGCGCAAGGTGCTCTCGGGTTTCAAAATATCCTGAAGGATAATCGTGTGGGGGCGGTTTACGAGAATAAGGGACCCCGAATATCGCCCCCAAATCGTAGGCTCCTTAGAGTACGGACCCTAATAAGGTGCCCCGAATTTCGGAAACCCGCATGTGATGGCAAGGTTTTCAGACTCAGGGAGGGTTTAGGGCTCCCATTTGCTGATGCAGTGGGCCGCCGGGAGAAGTGCCAGCTTTTCACCGTGAAATACCCACATGCGGGGCAAGGCTTGGCATGTTCCGTGGTAAGCAACTCTGACGGTTTTCTCATGTGCTGCAACCCTGAATGAATCAGAGGTCTCCAGCGCATTCCAGCGCTGTGCTGTCACATTTCCACAATAAACGCAGTGAAGAAAGA